CTCTCTCTCTCTCTCTCTCTCTCTCTCTCTCTCTCTCTCCCTCTCTCTCTCTCTCTCTCTCTCTCTCTCTCTCTCTCTCTCTCTCTCTCTCTCTCTCTCTCTCTCTCTCTCTCTCTTTCTCCGTCATTCCTCTCGCCCCCCCCCACACATGGTGCTGGCTTTGTACGCCGATCCCTAGACCCTTGGCCTTGGTCGGGGGAGTCCACCACACCTCACCTGCGCAGCTCATGTAGCGCCTGCACACCCGGTCGCACGTCCCCAGGGCGCTGGCCATGCAGCCGTAGCACGTACATGTATTATGATTATTATGTATAGGATATTGCACGGTTCCAAGGGGATTATTTGTCAAATGCGCGCCGCGGGGATTATGAAAAATAATCCTCGCGGACGCCGTGCAATATCCTGTATAGACCTCGCTTTTCGGGTGATCAGCAGCGCTGCATGCAGCATGAACCAGTGCACTGTGAACGGAACACCGAACGCAAAGTACAGGTAGTTCTGATTATAGTCATTTGTTCGATCGACTGAATTTCCATGTGCACGACAGTACATGTACTCAATCTGCAGACAGAATGTTTCGTCCAGTTTGTGGACTCATCAGCGCAGCACAGAGGAAATGAGACCGAACCTGGTAGCAATGAAGCATACAATTTTCCAAAGCCAGATTTAAGGTGGCAGACTACCCACAAATACGCTGAAAAGTCGAATTTGTATATTCATATCGAGTGCTACATCAGTTGAAAGAGCATGAATAGCTGCAAATTCTCTGAAAATTTTGTCTCCATCTGACCAGCCGTCCAAGATTTAGGGCCGAAAATGTTCTCTTACTAGGAAAGATTTTTTGTTGCATGCACGCTGTCATTTTTTTGCAGCACTGTGTTTTACGAAGTAGTGGTTGCGACCTCGGCGATGATTTGTAAGAAAGGTTTGCTCCCCACACCGGAGCTCGCGCTATTCCGCCGACTTGGGTGAATTCCCCGAAACACTGTGTATTGAGCAGGGAGTGGTGCTTTCTTGCAGGTTTGCCGAGTCGAAGGTTCGATGGACTTCTCGTGTCCTCTGGATGGCAGTCGTGAGTCAGTCAAGTGTCAAGTAAAGTCGGCGGAATAGCGCGAGCTCCGGTGTGGGGAGCAAACCTTTCTTGCACTGTATTTTATTATTATTATTATTATTATTTATTACAACATCTCAAGACTCGGCGGTAAGAGTTATGGCCGAAAATGTGCCTTTGCAAGGAAAGATTTTTTGTTGCACGCTGTCATTTGTTGGCAGCAGTGTTTTTGAATGTGAGCAGACTGTGCGCAACTTGTCGTATCATGGAAACACGCGAAAGTCCAAAAAATCACGTTTTTGAGCCACGTATTGGGCTGCACGGCGGCGGGCTTTGCCCGCCGCCGTGCAGCAGGACTTTTGCCAGCACCCTCGTGACGTTGCAGATATGTGGCTTGATTATTGTAGTTGACGTTGATTAAGTGACTTTGGCAAGTTTGAGTCGTGTCAAGAAGTCAGGTAGGATTCAGTACTAGGCAGTCGTGGAACGTGAGTGGTAGTCTTTGCCGGTTTCTGAGGGTATCCTGGATTTGGTGTGCAGCGCTGTGGAAATGGCTTGCTGTGGACGTCCCAGCACTGGATGTTGTATCAAAGGTACGACCTCGTAGCACGTGCTAAACCTAAAAAATTCAAAAATTGACTTGGGTCTGTGGGAGTCCAGGTCAGCCTACCCATAAATTTCATAATGGCATTCAATTGACCGTAACTTTGGTGTTTCTCAATGGATTTGAGTGAAATTTTGACCACACACTCCTGCCACTATGCTGGCCCTCAGGACATGATTTACAAGTTCTTGCGCCTCACTGACAGGCTTTCCAGGCCGGAAAAACTCAAATTTCCGGCATAGTGCCACGGTGTGCGAGCCACCCAGGAGCCAAACAAATCCATTTACAATATTTTCACATTTTCGTGCTCATTCTGTTCGTGCGCGGGACTCAAACCTAGAACAAGTCCAGAAGCAGCCATGGGTGATGGGGTAGGGCCCCTCAACGGGGCCCTGGAATCTGTCACAACGGAACGAGTGGGCGTTCTCTCACACACTCCCACAGACCCAAGTCAATTTTTGAATTTTTTTAGGTTTAGCACGTGCTACGAGGTCGTACCTTTGATACAACATCCACTGCTGGGACGTCCACAGCAAGCCATTTCCGAATTCTGCACACTTTCGCGTGTTTCCATGATACGATAAGTTGCGCACGGTCTGCTCACATTCAAATACACTGCTGCCAACAAATGACAGCGTGCAACAAAAAAATCTTTCCTTGCAAGGGCACATTTTAGGCCATAACTCTTGAACGGCTGGTCAGATCGGGACACAGTTTTCAGAGAATTTGCAGCTATTCAAGCTCTTTCAACTGTCGTAGCACTCAATATGAATTTACAAATTCGATTTTTTAGCGAATTTTGGGTAGTCTGCCACCTTAATTTTAATTAGGGTGGCAGACTACCCAAAATTCGGGGGCAGCCTACCCATAAATTTCATATGGTATTCAATTGACCGTAACTTTGGTGTTTCTCAATGGATTTGAGTGAATTTTTCACCACACACTCCTGCCACTATGCTGACCCTCAGGACATGATTTACAAGTTCTTGCGCCTCACTGACAGGCTTTCCAAGCCGGAAAAACTCAAATTTCCGGCATAGTGCCACGGTGTGCGAGCCACCCAGGAGCCAAACAAATGCATTTACAATTTTTTCACATTTTCGTGCCCATTCTGTCCGTGCGCGGGACCCAAAACTAAAACAAGTCCAGAAGCAGCCATGGGTGGTGGGGTAGGGCCCCTCAACGTGGCCCTGCAATCTGTCACAACGGAACGAGTGGGCGTTCTCTCACAGACTCCCACAGACGCAAGTCAATTTTTGAATTTTTTTAGGTTTAGCACGTGCTACGAGGTCGTACCTTTGATACAACATCCAGTGCTGGGACCTCCACCGCAAGCCATTTCCACAGCGCTGCACACCAAATCCAGGTTACCCTCAGAAACCGGCAAAGACTACCACTCACGTTCCACTAGTGCCTAGTACTGAATCCTACCTGACTTCTTGACACGACTCAAACTTGCCAAAGTCACTAAATCAACGTCAACTACAATAATCAAGTAATCTACGTGGAGATAAAAGTTTAATAATAGCTATGAAAAGTATGAATGCCGCAGACATCACCACGCAACATGACAATTTGTTCAAGGTACACTGCTGCCAACAAATGACAGCGTGCAACAAAAAAAATCTTTCCTTGCAAGGGCACATTTTTGGCCATAACTCTTGAACGGCCGGTCAGATCGGGACACAGTTTTCAGAGAATTTGCAGCTATTCATGCTCTTTCAACTGACATAGCACGCAATATGAATTTACAAATTCGCTTTTTCAGCGAATTTTTGGGTAGTCTGCCACCTTAAACCAGGCCCGAATGTACCTTGCCAGAGTGCTCAAACTGACAAGTCAGTGAGCTCTGCATAACGGAAACAAAGGCACTAGATCTACCCCACGTGAGAGTGCTCAACTGCTACAAGAGCAGGAGGGTACATGACTATTGTACACATGTGTATGCACTGCCTCCAGCACAGCAAGGTGAGGTTTGTTGCGCGCACGCATTTGAATAGTGAAGTGATAATGAGTGCCATGTTTCCAGACTGCACTTGGGCAGGCCGGTGACGATGTCAGGTGACGGAGTATCGCCGAGTCCTTCTCATTATCGTCAGTGTCCGAAAGTGCCATATATACATACAGACTTGCTTGCTACCTTGTTAATCACCATTGTATTCGACTTGAAACGTAATGGTACGAAAGGCCTAGTCGAAACTATAATGGCTTCTATGCTTCGTGTGGCGATTATTTCCTTATCCTTGCAAAAACATGCATGATGCATACTCAGAAAAAGTCCCAATTTCTGCCGATATTCTGCCGGCATTGATCCGCCAAGGGCTGTTTGGAGGTGACATTTTGAAACAACGATGTCAGGCCTTTCGACCGGTACTGTATACCTCCGTTTACTGATTACAATGCGGTACGCTTACAGATAGTCACCACTTGCCCAATAGATGTAGAACATTTTTGGGATAGCAGATGGTTTGGCCCCGTCGTCCGCCGCCAGACTTTGAAAAATGTATCTTTTTCCAGCATGGATGGTCCACCTCGCCCCGGAATGACAGGCCCACCAATGCCAAAGGTGAGCGGCGCAAAGGAGTCATCCCGACACAAGCAAGCCACAAGCCCCGTTCCCAGGAACCCCGATCGTCATTCACCACTCACGCCAGGCCAGGATCAGGAGATGACAATCTTACCAGTAAGACCTTTTTAAAATCTTACTTCTAGGTCTAAGGAGTACCTAGCAACACATCTGATATAAGCCAAATCGGCCCAAAACTCCTAAAAAGCGCGCCCATCACTCCCGCGCCCCGCGACATCCACCCCCTCGAACGTCCATGAGAAAAACAGCACTAAAATTAAGAAGAGTATTCTCGAGTTGCTCTTAGCCGTGCGTAGTTAGACAAAGCACAGTGCCTGGAGGCAGAGGGGATTACCCTTTCAAGCCAGCGCGGTCGCGTTTTGTCAGGCCTACAAAGACCTGTGTGGTCAAACCCATTATTTCCATGTCAGCGCTCTTGGGCAATCAGGCATTACATTTGCGTTCGATTTTGAAGTAGCGAAGTTCATTACCGAGTGGACCATTCACGAACCGACCAAGGCACACTGAACACATGTCTTTACAACAAACTCTCTGAAAAGATGGGCAGGAAACAACTTCTCCTGCCAAGCGTGCAGACACGTCCTGAGCGTACACTTGACGTTTGTCACTTAGATCAGGCGTGATAGAGCTGGCAGTCGTGTGTGATTCTGGCTGCAGAGCTCGGCACCTGTGCATACTGCAGCTGCTACATATTACGCGCACGTCGTAGCTCTTTGTTCCACTCCATTCCTGTTGTTGTTCCTCTCTCGCTTCTTCAAACGCCGGTTCTGCCCCGCAGCGAGTGGAATGCGTTCGCGTCGCGTCGTGCTGATGATGAACGGGCATGATAAAGTCAACGTCGAATCGCTGTCGCCGCTGTGTTCCTTCCCTGTCGCGGCGCAGCGAACGGTCACCCGTCACCGTGTCAGTCTCCCCATATCCAGTGGCAAAGCGGTGGTCGATAGTTATGTCCACGGGTTAGGTATAAGGGCTGGGCGTAAAGTCACGCAAACTCGCTTGTGTCTCTTATCAAGTTATCTACCACTGGCCCTCAGACGGAGAGAGATACTGCGATGCTATGTGCAGTGCTGAACTTGAAGCAACGCGTTACTTGCGCTTCGCAGCCCCATGCTGCTCACCAACTCAGCACTAGCTCAGCAAAGTGGAATCCGCACTACACGGGTATCCTGGGTGCGATGTAGACTGTAGCATAGGTACCATTATTATTGTGTCGATATTTCCCCCTCTGCGCATGCTAGCAAGGCATTGTGGGATCAAAGTTCACCGAGGTCTGTGCACGCGCGCAGGTACTGCCAGCGACACACTCTTCTGCATCTGGCGCAGCGTGTCTTGGTAACTGTTCTCTCTGTTCAACAAGGCAGCTTACAAACAAAGGACGAAGATTTCAAGTGTTTTCTCTTTCCTTACCCTCTGCATGCTGTCCTGTGCATTGACTATGTCATCGTGAAGACTTGACTTGAGCTCGATAGCTGATGATGGTTTAGTGCCTCGCGCCGAAGAGGCCGCTGTTCACACATACACTTCTCTTTTGTTATTAGCTTCACGGCTGATTTGTTGCGAGCGATCAAACGGTAGCTGAAAACCTGTGCCCGCACGGCCAAAGTTTCCGGCGCTGAAGATCGGGTGTGTGGAGGGATCCGATGTGGCACTGGAGAGCGGTCCCGTTCGGGATAGCGCTATGGCTTTCCTGGGTGCTGAGTTGTTTTGGGCAGCTCACGAGAATGCCACCTTGTCCCAGCTGTAAGTCGAAACCTGTTTTTTTTGCTGCCTTTGGTGACACCTAGAAACGTTAACCCTTCAGTGATGTTCATGGAGTTCATTCGTATTGTACCCTGGCCTGGCTAACCTGTGTCCCTGTGATGCAAACCATCTACACATTATTATTATTATTATTATTATTATTACGCATTGACGTGCTGTGAACACGAGTGTGGCCTCGTCTGTATGCGTTTGGAAAGACCACCGCGTACCGCCACAGTTCAGTATAATTGTATTTCACCATCGAAAAAAAGTCCCAGGTTGCATCGTGCGTGAGCGACGGAGGAGGGCATGCACTCAACGAGCACACGAGTCGCCAGCCGCCCTGTTCATAACAACAAGGCGACGAGGATCGGTAGGCGGCGTATCCGGCGCCGGGGTGTCTTCATTGCCACGTGATCTTATCCTGCTGGACTCCTTTTGACACAGCGTCCGCGGCCAGCCAGCACGCCCTAGGCAACTTCAGTTGACCACTGTGTACAATGGTGTTCCGCATTCTTAAAATCTCCCAGTCTGACAACCCCAATTGTGCACACCCACACTACCCCTTATCTGGGCAATCATGAATATGTCAACATTTATGGAGCCAACCCCAAGTCCAAGGCATTTTTTTGCTTTAGGAAATACGGCTGGAAAAGTGTGCGCACCATTGACCGAAGTGGATTGTGTTGGATAAGGATATGGGCTTAACACTGATCCGTCTCTCCCCTGTAGAATGCTTGCATCAGTATTTGAGTTCGTCATCAGGATGCTCCTCATTGCTGAAGTTATTGCTGCTAGTTTGGGAGATGCACCAGTCGGACTTGTTCCTCTTGGGGAGGTTCTCTATGCTGGAACAGGCTGTTCCTTTCGCTCCGGGGGAGCAGTACGAGTGCATGAATGTGATACATTGGCAGTGCAAAGCTGGTCTGGCAAATTTTTATGGATAAGTAGAGGAAGGACGAAATGTTCCGAGTTATAACCAACTGTCCACCAATGTAACCAGATTAGGCCTTTCCCAAATCAGCCATTTATTTTGGCCAATTCGGCTTTTCGATCGGCTGAAAAAATCACCATAAAATTGGAATAATCCGCCTGTTCGCATCAAATTTCATACATGTTCTACAAGTACAAGTACAAGTAGATGCACCAGGAAGTTGTAGGTTTACGACTCCCTTGATAACATGTCCAGTCCACTACAATCAGTGACGGTCGTAGCTAGGTCGGACGGTGCGTTGGCCCCGTTGAACTTTTGCTACTACAGTACAACGCCCTCTACAAAAACATTCCCCTGTTATTTTGCACAGAACCATTATACATTATGTGAGCATAATGCGGCATAATATGATAACTTTTAGCATAAAAATGGCATAATTCTGCAATTTTTTCAGCAATGCGAAAAGCATAATTTCACGAAAATATTAGCATAATCTGTCAAGGCCTATTTTCGGTCAATGTTTTGGCCGGATAATGCCCACGGGCCGAGACGCAGGCGCGCACGAGCGGTCATGCCCAGTTGCCTACGACCCTGCAAAACATGTACAATGGATATTCCGCGATTTCTTGGTAAAATCTCAGAAATCGGCCAAAAGATCGGCGATTTTTCTGAAAAGGCTACTTTTCGGCGAATTTTTCGGCCGGCCGATTTGGGAATGGCCTAAACCAGATCATATACGGTCTGCAAGTGCTCGTAACATTTTGTCCTTCCTGTATTTATCCATGATTACGTTGGCTGAACATCCCAGTTCAACTTGGAAAGTTGGCACTAGTCCACTAGCCCAGTACTCGATCCAATGCTGTTTGTGATCAGTGCAATTTTAAAAGCTAAAAGACTCTAGCACTATGGCTTTTCAAAGTACCTTCTTGGCCTTTGCAATTATCTTGTCATCTCTGGTTGTGAAGGTTGTCTGCGAACCACTTGAGGTATTCCAGTAGGCCTATTACCCAGTGAGGTATTTGTAGTACTTGGAGCAATTTGGGGCAGTTGAAACTGTCATCTGGGCATTGTCTCCAATTGTTCATGAATCTACACAAAGGCACACAATGAAAACCTTGGCCAAATTCCATTGTGACTCAGATTTCATGGCCCAGCCAATCATCAGAAAACCTGAGCCCTAAATCTAGTGAGTTAGTTTGATGGCTCTACTCCTGCTGAGACACTCATGTTGGAGCACCAGCTACTGGGGTGTATTGCAGCAGGACATGGTGAGCCCGCTCTGCTGGCTATAGTTAGAGGAAATGCATGAGCGGTGACAAGATTTCACTAAGATGCCAGCCGATCACTGAAAGCAGCGCAGGTGGTCCATTGTTTCTGCTTTCCATTATGCTTTCTGTGGGTTACATTGAATTTTTGGGAATAGAATTTGCATCAGCGGTCCGACGGATTCCCCATTATGCAAGGAAATCGGGCTATGCGGAAATGTCTCTATTTCCAACAGCGTTTGTGAAAGAATACACCTAATATGCCCATAATATGCTCTATAATGTTGAGGATCACGAAACGGTGTCCCGGCAGCAGTTGAAGAAAAAGACATTAATATTCAATCGAAACACACAAAGGAGGTTTGCAGAGTATGTCGCGATTTGTGGCAAGTTGCCTGATGGGTCGTCTGATGCTTGATGATTGTATTTTAGCAAGAAACACTGGGAGTGGCGACAAAATCAACTCGGAGTAGAGACACACTTTATGAACCTCCTTTGGGCCTTTTGTGTATAGCAGTGCTCCATATGATTGTGCTGATCCCTCTTGGCCGGCTAAAGTGAACCTCCTTCAATTATGGTCCATCAATAATTTGGCCCGGCAGCCATCACTAGGGTTGATGGTGATATTCGTGGTTCAATTACATTCCAATTTTCTTGGAATGCAAAAGTGATTGTCGAATTAAAAAGGGTTTTAAAGGATTGGGAGAACTTCATATTCCAAAGGATCAGTTGGCGAAGTGAACTGCCTGAAAAGAGAAAAAAATTCCAACCCCACCTGCACTCGAGCCCGGCACCTTGCTTGTCATGAGGAGTGGAAAACCTGTCAGCGCCTTCTGGATTCAGCCTGGTCCCATAGCTCATATGGTTAGAGCATTGCTCATGACGAGATCCCGGGTTCGAGTCCTGGTGCGGTTGGCATTTTTTTCTCTTTTCAGGCAGTTCACTTTCCCGTTTGATCCCTTGATGTTTACTTCAGTCCATTGGCTGCAGTGGACTGTACACACTTTAATCATATTCTGAACAAGCCTAGCACGGGCAAAGATAGTGGAAATACCAGACTGTGTATCCGTGTATTTATCTTATTCAGCCATGCCAGTGGGTACTGATGCCTGCACGTGCCAACAGCCGGTGGAAACCGTCGGAACCCTCTGCTTCGGGATCGAGAGCGAATGCGAAGGGGTACCTGGCACCAACGACAGGTTCTTCTGCAATTGCCCACTGCAGTTCCCAGGCGCACAATGTGAAGCAAGTAAGCGATTCTTTGTTGTCATGTGTACGCTCCTACTGAATAAGGAGGAAGTTCACCCTAAAATGAGAACTTCACAACCTGTGGCGAAAAATGTACTGATTTCAAGGATGTAAGTCCCAGGCTGATTATATGTCATGCGTGTAGCCTAAGTTAATAGATGACGTCATGTATACAGTTTTAGCAATAATGTGATGTCATGTATACAGTGTGAGTGATTATGCGACAATTCTGAACTATAGCCAATAATCCTCGAATCACATGCTTAAATTAAACAACGATCCATCAATTGGAGTCATTCCAACAAGACCAAACAATGCAAGCTGTGTGTTGTGGAAAGTTATCGATCCTCGGCGGTGAGAGCAAGACCTTCCTCAACTGGCATGCTGGGCTCATCCAGAAAATGTTGGCATTAGGATAGGTTTACCTTTCCAATGGCTCAACTGTCGTGTCACCTAGAAGTCGTGGACAGTTTGGGCATGGGAAGGAGATAATGCCACACTGGCTTCATGATTCTGTCTCTCCTCCTCTTCCTCCTCCTACTCGCCTTTCTCTCTCTCACTCTCTTTCTCTGTATGTTTCAGGACTTGAAAAATTATTTATGTTCTCAATATGCCCCGCGCTTGAAACTTACCATTCAAGGGAAAACAGTCTACTGTCTCCCGTGTCCCTGTATACTGCTCTGCATTATGTGGAGTCATGCGTTATTTGCAGCTGTCCCAACTGCATGACCATGGTTGTGTTCGCTCTTTATCTGCTTCCTCAGATCTACAGGTGTGTAGCACGGTGGCCGACTGTAACCAGGCGAGCAGAACTGGCTTTGTGTGTGCAGCGTCAGCACTGACCGGAGACAGGCGCTGCACGTGCGCGCCTGGTTTTCGAATCGAGCGCCGCCAGCCCTCGGGCCGAAACGTGTGTCTGCGAGGTGAGGCTTTGATGTTAGAAAGGATGACATGTCGCACAGCGTGCAGCTAGACTTGGAAGGGCACTGTACACCAGTTGCATACTAATTGTACTACAATGTGTACAGAGTAGGCAAGCCATGAGCTCAGCAGGAGCACAAGTCACAGGTAACCGTACACATTTGGACTTTGTAGGCAACTACAGTCAAACCTGGTTTAAGCGACCACCCCACGGTGCAAGCTTAATCGGTCGTTAAAGCCAGGTGGTCTTTAGAACCAGGTCCCACAGTCTCCGTGTAGAACTGTCCGTGCCTGGAAAAGCGGTCGTTAAGAGCAGGTGGTCGGTAAACCCAGAGGTCGCTTACACCGGGTTTTACTGTGCTGTATAGGAGGAAATTTTAGGACGTGTACTATTTTCGTACGATTTCGTACAAGGCCTCTTTTGTACTAAAAAAATAACTCCGTACTGAAATTTGTTCATGTGAAATTATGTACACGACACATGCGTGCGAACACATGCATTTAGCATGCAGCACTGTGCGAAAATATGATCCGTACGAAATTTCGAAATTCGGCTTTGTCCGAAAGTATTCCCGTCCGGTAATGACTGGCTAGACAGTACTCTGCGATGCCCTCCCAAGTCTAGTTACACGTTTTTGGCGTATCGTCTACGTCCTAGTGAGCATTGCAATGACTGTGTTACGTTTACTCTGAACCTGGCTTACGACTTGTACTGAAGAATTATTGTTGATGTTTTCTTCCAGAAATTTGGCTGCGATTTTTGAGCGAAGATCATTTTGCACCTAGAAATGTTTGAGATCGGAGTAAAACAGTCAACTTTGCTGATAACGACTGCGGATATAACGACAATTCACGAATAACGACTGAATTTCATGCCCAGAGCAAAGTCCCATCCAACTGTAATACAATCTATATAATGAGGTTTCGGGTATAACGACACTTCGCGAATAAGGACACTTTCCTGATGTTGTTATACGCGAAGTTGACTGTATACTATTTTATAGTTCTACACTTCGTGCTGGCTTACTTATTTGTGTGTATATGTCATGCATGTGTGTATGTATGTGTACGTGTTTGTGTACGCACGGCGATTCGCTAATCATGAATTCGCTGCGTTCGCAGACGAATGTGCTGATCCAGCTCTGAATAATTGCAACATCAATGCAAGCTGTAAGGACACGGACAACGGCTTTCTGTGCGAGTGCAACGCCGGGTTTCGAGGAGACGGAGTGCAGTGTGTGCGTAAGTGAGATCTGTGCTCCTACATGTACCGTAAAAGCCCGCCAGAGCGCCCCTACCTCTGCCACCCTTCAAGTAGGTCCAGGTGGGGAGGGGTGGATGGGCTTACTGCATTCAGTATACAGTCGACCTACCCTATAACGATAACCTCTATAACGATATTACCCTTATAACGATATTTTTTCTGCCAAACCAAATCACTCAATTGACTTGTGCATACAATGCCTTACCTCTATAACAATATTGCTATAACGATATTACCCCTGTAACGATATAAAATGGGCTGACCAATCGACATTTTCCATTTTATAACAATATCTAGCAGGGATTATGTAGAGCCCACTAACCATAATGTCTGCACCAGAGCCAGGTCAGCCAGGTCAGCGAACCGGTTGGGTGTTATACTTGGTCCTGCTTGGAAAAAGAACACCGGGTGGTCACTTGCGATCCGGTTGGGACTCGATCGTGGAGCCCTCTGAGACTCCCGGACATCGCGATATGGATGTACAGTAGCCGCACTTGAATGTACCCGGGACTGACCCGGTTGCAAGAGTTGTGCCAGGTACACGTGTACCCGGTTGGTTTGAAATCCTAGGGCAGACACTGTATACATGCACACACGGCGTCAACTGAGAATTTTTGATGAGTGAAAAATGCCTACGCTCCTGAAACCAGATGATATGCTAGTACGTGGGAGCAGCGAGATGAAACACGAGTGTCTAGTTTGTGGCATAGGCAGGTGTTTTATGGAGCTCAGTTATATGATTATATGGTGCACTATAGCAGCAGACACAGGTGCATCCAAACTGCATATGTGTTGGATGCAACTAACTTGAAATGAACAAAGAGTCAAAGACTAATGCAGGCCTTGAAGCAAGTATGCGGTGAAACACACTTCATGTGACAATTATGCAGAGGGCATGCGGAGCAGATGGCTAAAAACGGCCCACTGATGTGCAATGTTCTGGTCTAGATTGTGCAGTCTAAAACGTGTAGCAGGAATAGCACACACATATTGTGGATATGCTGTGAGCCGAGTTCGAATCCCATTCAAAAATCCTAAAATAAATCCACTGTATGGTGTGTAGAGCTTGGTCATTTCCCCCTAGAACAGCCCGTTAATATCCTGCAAAAACAGCTGCGGATGTTGAACGGTCTCTGCTGGGATGACCACTACAGCATAGCTCAGTGATCAGAGCATGCCTAGTCTATAGTGAAGGCCTCTTGGTCGAGCACTGATTGTGACAGTCAATTTCAGCATTTCCTCCCTTTCAACACCCTCAACCAATGGACAAAAAACTCCATAGGCCTTGAATAGTACTATGCATGCACACACACATGCACACACACACACACATGCACACACACATGCACACACACATGCACACACACACATGCACACACATGCACACACACACATGCACACACACACATGCACACACACATGGATGCAATGAATGGGATTGTTTTGCCTTTAACCACTTGCTGGTGAGCTGATCTACTCACCTGACACCGCTTTAGGAGCTGCATCTGCGCCTTTATCCTTGAAGGGTAGTGGCGTTCCTACCGATGCGGAAAACTTGGCCTCTAACCGAGTCTGACTTGAACAGCGATAATTTTTTGATGAATGCACACACACTGACAGCAGGCATTGGTACTGGTAGAGACATCTGACTAAAAGTCACGCACTCTTTGCTGTTCACCAGCAAGTAGGGAAAAAGAGAAGGTAGGCGAAAAACGAAACGATATGGAACTACTGGTGCGACCGCATGATGCTTATGTGGAGCACCTTGGCAGGTACGTAGCTCGTATATATTCAGCGTAGTCCGGTAACCGCACCTGCAAATAGCTGGCATGGGCACTACACAGTGAAAATACAGTAAAACCTGTCAAGGCGACCACTCGGATAAGGCGACCACCTGTCCCAGAAGACCACTACAGCCAGCACCAAGGGATGCTATTTCCAGTTAAATGACCCTGGATAAGGAGACCACCTGGTTCCAGAGACCACATTTTGAAAGTTCCTTGAGCAGTCGTCTTAGACAGGTTTCACTGTAGGTAAAACTGTTTAGTATGAGGTACATGGTCACCACACCACAGATAAGCTCTGGTACAGGGTCGCCACACCACAGATGTGCGAGCTATGCCCCTGCTTGGCCTAATCTAAAACTACACTTTCATGACGCTGTGCATTTGATTCAAAGTTATGAACATTGGTTCGTAAAATTGTGATTGAACACCCGCCAATTTCTCCCCCCCCCCCCCCCCCACACACACACATACTCACCTACGCTTTTCAATGATGTTTGCAGGACAACAGGAGAATGATTTGACAGAAGGAGCTGAGGGAGATGCCGGAGAAGACGGAGAAGAAGAGCAAGACAATGAAGACGAGTGGGAAGGACAGATGAGTCATAGGCCAGAGCAAAGCATGTCCAGTTCGGAGAGCAACGGTAAGCTACTCATGATGTGCTGCTTAGCCAGTTACAGAGAGATGAAGATAGCTAGAGAAAGAAAGAGAGACAGGAAGACAGGCCGACAGACCAACAAAATAGGTCGACAGACACAGGGGCGTGCTTGGCCCCCCAACTAGGGGGGTGCACGGGAGCCGAGGGGAGCCCCCCCCCAGGCAATTTTCTGCAATTTGTTTGCAACCTTTCTTGAATTTTAGAGCATATTTGCATACATTACAATTGCAATTACCCAGATTGAAAATTTTTGGGGGGTGCACGTGCCCCCGTGCCCATCGCCGAGCACGCGCCTGAGACAGACAGGCAGTAAAACAGACAGGCTGACAGACATGCTGACAGACAGACAAACAGCAAACAGACAGACAGACAGACAGACAACAGACAGACAGACAGACAGACAGACAGACAGACAGACAAAGAGACAGACAAACAGAGAGAACGAGAGACGGAGAGACAGACTGGGAAGCAGATAGCCAGGGAGTCAGAGGCAGAACGGGTAGAGTTGGACAGAATCTGTAGCATAGCAGGAGTGTAAGTTGAATGGCATATGGAGGTAGAAGGCTAAAGGATTACGAGATCATTGAGAGGGAGAAAACATGTTGCAAATAAAAGAGTAGATGTATGGATGAAGGCTAAAAATGCACGCATTTGGAGCAGTTTTCGCTACTCCGCTGGTTTCCAGCGCTGGAGAAATGGCATCGTGGTCATCATGTGCGACCCGAGTCTCTTCCTCTTGCGGAGAACTTTCCGGGAAGCCTAAGTTTGTGAAGATTGAGTGAGTAGAACTGAAGTTAACGTACAAAGAACATAAAAATATGCAGAATTTTGAAAATTCCAGTCGGCCCTTGAAGGGTTAAACCGTAGGGCAGCGGTTAAAGCATTGCTGGCATATAGGGAATGTTAGAGTCCATGTGGCAACAGTCAATTTTTGTCTTCAGCCTGTTCTCTTTTTTCAGACGTGTGAAAACGAGGATTTTAACTTTAAAAGTGCACTAACAGTTAGTCGCCAGTGAAATCAAGCTATGGTTTGCACAGCTACAGGGAAGCAACTACTTCTGCCTAAGTTCAATGTTGCTGCTGTTGTTTCTTCTCTCTTTGTTCTTGTGTCGCATATCTGTCTTGTAGACTGAAGAGTGAACCAAGCCAGGAGTGAGCTGTCTGCAATCACAATGTCATCAGAAATATGTGGACAGGTTCCGCAGCCCTGGAAAGGACTGTGCTTTCTCACCATGACAAGACTGTGGTGCGCGCTGTAAATCACTCTGTACACAGGGGTCATGTCATCGCTACTACACTGGCTGATCTCCATAGTGGTGGAGGCACGCACCTGCACAGCAAGCCATAATACTAGCACTGTACACACTGCTCCTTTACACGGACACCTCCTCCAAACCGGTGTCCAATGGTGTACGGGATGATATGCTCTGGTGCTAACTGTCTGAAAGAAAGGAGATGATTGTATCCTCACACTTCACTCCGGCCAATGCCCCCCCCCCCCCTCTCTCACTGTCCCCTGCTACTGTCCCCACTACTGGACTTGGCTCCTGTGTACAGCATTCTGTAGTTGTGGATTGCCCCATTGTCACCCTATAGCAGTTCTAGTACATCGTCACTGTTGCCAACTCATTAATCTTTATTTCCATAATTGCAAAGAGCGTAATTTACAGTCTGCATTATGCCCACTCTTGACACCACTATTTCCCACTGATATTTATAATGTTTACACATTCATACATTATGCACGTAAATCTTGCGTTGAAAACTAATCTGTATCACACGTTCAACAACTGATGGCCACTGGTTATAAGAAAAATATGGCCCTATCTCAACCATCCAGTATACGCACAGGACAACTGCAGTCCTGTCCTGCATGCATGGTCAAATAGAAGCAAACCATCGCAAATTTATCTCCACAAGCACTTTCTACGACTATTAATTTTCATGCAGTGGGTGAATACTCCACTAGTCTTGCAGCTTCAGCTCTCTATACCCGTATAATTATAGTCTAGAGGATATGCAACTGATTTCATGGAGGTCAGTCAGCGGAATCCGATTATCGCGCATAGCAGCTTAGTATACCGCGGAACCGCTCGTGTGGGCTATGTACAAAAGGCACATGTATGCTGATGATGTAATGGCAGAACCCCTATTTTAAAATAATAATAAATACTTATTATTGATTATTGTCAACTGACGAGTAATGGTCAGAACAGTGGTAAAAGAACTAGAAATTAAAAAATATATATAATACTGTAGTTCGCACGTCCAGCATTGGCCATTGTCCGTGGTTCAAGAAGTACTTAGTTGCCCTGTACCACTCCAGTCCAGGCCACCCACTTTCGCCGCATAACGACGGCTACGTAGCTGATCTACTGCCGGCAGGTGGCCATTCGGTTTTGTTATGACGTTCTTGCTTGATGGTATTGGTCTAGGTGAAGCGCCGGCATACCTTTCTCTCACACCACACACACACACACACACAGACACACACACACACACTGCCGTCATGACAATGACTGAGTCCGTGGAACTGGAAGGAGCAAAACCTGCAGCCTGGGAGTGAGAACGCATCTATGGCAAACGCCGCAAAGCCATGTCACTTGTCAGAGGCAGATCTGACTGAAGTCTGAAGAGTTCTGTAGTGTCACTAGTCACTGAGTATGAGTGTCGCAGTAGTGTGTATGCGCATTATGTTGTTCATTTCTTGTCGGCTGACCAGACTGAAGCCAGCAAAGGAGATGGCTCAGGAGTCACGGGCCATGACTGCATGAGTGAACTGCATTGGTAGCGAAAAATGCCGACATGTCGCGCTCAGTGGCGTTTTCAGAACACGAAACGGCCGCCCAGCCGTCGCTGGTCGCACGGAACAGGACGGCTAGTGGTGCTGGCGACAACGATGGCCGAGGTCATCAAACGACTCGTAGATCTACCGGCACTAACAGTGCTCTGCCTCGCATTACTGTGTCTCAAGACAGCTGCACAGCGGCCAGCGCAGAGGCCGCCGACACCGTCGGCGATGCTCCGCCACAGTCGCAGCACTCGCAGGGTAGTGCTGGCCGAAGCTCAGTGGCATCGCTGATGAGCTGCTACGGAGGAGCGGAGGACGAGGGGGACAGTGTTCAGATAGCCTGGATCCGTCAAACACTGCAGGAGATGACACCCGAGGAGCAAGCTGTCCTAGCGTCAGTCTTCGAGCGGCAGCTAGAGGATTCACGTTCGGGTATGAAGTGGAAATGGTAAGAATTGATCTGAACTTGAAGAGGTTGGTCTCAAAAAAGTTTGAACAAATTTTAAATAATTACTCTCTTCGCGGTGAGATGATAATGAATTTAGTGTGTAGTATTTGTACACAATTTAGTGTTTGTGCCACTGCTTATGTGACGTACAAGTAATTAATTATATCCGAGTTTTAGAGGACGGTAGTGCATCGGGGGGGGGGGGGGGGGAACTTGGAAGGTAGTGTCGTGGACATGGAAATCCGGTCGCACGTCTAGCGGCCCCAGGCCAGGGCGCTGGCCATCCAGCTGGGAGTACGCACACCATACCGTGCACACATTCATATCATTTTTTTTATACGCTGAAGCGCGCCTGTCGCGTTGGATCAACATGTGCACTGCATGCAACGATACGTCCTGTGCACACTGAAAGGTCAAGTCACAGATTACCTGTCGGACAAATGCATACTCGCTCATTTCTCGCCTGCCTTCAGACTCATTTCAGAGAAACAGTAGATTACCGGTAGTTACGATAATGTGCATTCCCTTTTCCGTGTATTGGAATGATGTAGTAGGATACATGCAACAGGATACTGGCACTGTGTAAAGTTGTGGTTAACAGCAGGAAGGGGTGTGCGAGTTTCCTGCCGCAGCACTTCTGCTCCTTTTTTGGTGGCTTTTGCACAAGAACTCTACAATTTTAATTTGCGATGTTAGCAACTTTTGAGCTTTTTCTGAAAATATGGATGCGATTTCAGCAACTTGCACTTGTTTTGACACGGTTGCGAAAAGCATAAGTTGCGAAAAATTATGGCATCTTTGGGAAAGGGCTAGGGTAGTTTGTGTAGCGTATAGCGTATCCCCGTACGTTAGCATATCCCGTATGTTACTGTATTCCCGTACGTTAGCATATCCCCGTACTGTATTCCCATACGTTAGCGTATTCCCGTACATTAGCGTACGGAGTCTGCCTTTGCATAAAAGCTGCTGCTCACGATTCTTTTATTGCCAATCAGTTAATTTAGTAGCCAGTCAGTTAATTTAGTTGCCAATCAGTTAATTTAGTTGCCAGTTAGTTAATTTCGTTGCCAGTACATTTCAATTGCCAGTTACAGTGTGTTCACTGAGACCCGTGTGCATTTGCCTCCGAGAGAGAGACTGCGGCCCGCTACAAATTGGTGGCAGCGGTGGGATTCGAACCCACGCCATCGAAATGACTGGAGAGTCCACTATTCACTTGGTACTTCGTTCTGTGGTGGAATGCAGAATTTCGTCACCACTCTTCCTGGCTAGACCATCACTCTTTACGTCGCGCCAAGCGATGCTATCGACAATATGAAGACCACGATGCAAGACGAGGAGGGAGTGATCTGTCTGACGCCGAGCTAGCCGCTCTGAGTGACCGGCTCAACCAAGATGAAACCTGGCTCGCCCTCCGACGTCGCTCCAGCCGCCGCCGTGGTTACTGACGCTGATTCCAGGTATGGCATTTTCTTTCCTGTCTTCCTTCAGTCTCCCTGTTCTCTTCAGTCTTCCTTTATGCGAGTGTGTGAATCCAGTTTAGTTTGGTAGGCGTCCGATCATGGTGAGCCACGGTTTACCCAGCTAACCTGGGACAATGTGTGTGACAATGCCCCTTATAGTGAATAGTGATAATTATATAGTATAGTGTATTCAGTTCGGTTTTTGAACTTCGATGTTCCTGGCGGGTTGTGCCAGCGTTGTGCAGCAAGAGTGCTGTGGTTTTTCAGGTCCTATTTGGAGGACAGTTCTTTCCCCTTTTGACCCCGTGAGATCGTGTGAACCTGGTGTGCTTCTACTTTATGATTTGTTTATCAGTAAAATCTTCTGTCTATTCCAAACGTTATCATTTCCGATATTGTTTGCCATACTCCGGTTGACGCTCTCCCAGTAATTCGCGATCTACTATAATGTTCACGACTCCATACCTGTATTATATTATGCAAGTCATCCATTCTGCCTATCTCTTATCGTCGAGTTTATTCCGACGCGACCATGCATACCGCCAGTTTTTTCTAAATAACAGGCAGTTGTTGGTGTCCAGCTATCACCAAGTATTCGAATCACGAGGACGTGATTGTATTTGAGAGGGGAGGTGTAGCGTATAGCGTATCCCCGTACGTTAGCATATCCCGTATGTTACTGTATTCCCGTACGTTAGCATATCCCCGTACTGTATTCCCATACGTTAGCGTATTCCCGTACATTAGCGTACGGAGTCTGCCTTTGCATAAAAGCTGCTGCTCACGATTCTTTTATTGCCAATCAGTTAATTTAGTAGCCAGTCAGTTAATTTAGTTGCCAATCAGTTAATTTAGTTGCCAGTTAGTTAATTTCGTTGCCAGTACATTTCAATTGCCAGTTACAGTGTGTTCACTGAGACCCGTGTGCATTTGCCTCCGAGAGAGAGACTGCGGCCCGCTACAGTTTGTATTATACTCTTCTTCAAAGACTGTGGACACTACACTGGTGTACAGAGTAGGTGCTGCAAGGACCTGGTGAGTCTGCACGGGATTGGTGGGCTAACAGCAGGATCCAAAAGCTGTGTGTGCATTTACAGGTTTGTGTATTGGTACTACAAGTACTCACATTTAGGCCCGCCACTCAGGAGCAAGGCTTACATGCACTACATGTACCCACATTGTGTAGTCAAAAGGACTCCTGGTGAGAAAAGGCAGCAGGGTTCAGTGACAAAACAAAACACATCAATCAAGCACACACCTTTTGCCCTTGACCTTGACCACACACACGCACGCACGCACGCACACACACACACACACACTGATCTTTTGAAATTTGAATTTTCTCCCAATCCTTTAAAAAGTACTTTCTTTCACCTCTGGTAGTTTGTTCAAACTGGCTGTCGTTGGTCACTGGGGAGTGAAAAACACCTACACTGTACGTGCCATCAGTATGTGTGACATGTATTTTGAGCTGTCTTCGGAGAGAAAACCCTGTCAGCGCTTTCTAGGTTCGGCCTGTTCCCATAGCTCAGATGGTTAGAGCATTACTTATGACAAGCAAGGACCCGGGTTCGAGTCCTGGTGGGTCTGGCATTTGTTTTCTCTTTTCACGCAGTTCACTTCCCCGACTGATCCTCAGAAACATAGGCTGAGTAGGTATTTCTCAGCGTGAGTTGACAGATACCTACTCCAAAGCGGAATGCTGAAGAATAGGTCTTGACATGGAAGTATAAAGCTGAAGACCCTTCAGATGTTCATAGGCTGAGTGAATGGAAGAGGGAAAAGTCTGAAGAAGAAAAAGTTTACTGTGACTGTCACCGCCAGGACTTGAACTAGGGACCTTCGCTCGAGGCCAGCGATGCTCTAACCACTGAGCTACGGTGTGGCTGTCATCCCAGACTCCATTTTCCACATTGATGCTACCAATGGGATTTTTGGTCAGTGAGCAAGTTTGGTGGCAGGTCTGATCCTCTCGCCTCCCAGCACTTTAGGAGCTGCGTCTGCACCTTGATCATTGAGGGTAACTTAGTGCCGTTCCTAGGGATTGGGAAAACTCAATTTATGTGAGTCTTGCACGAACTGTGATTAAAAAAATCCTTTCAAGGAGAATCACACAGCTACCGTCCTAACCCTCCCCAGCGTGATGCAAATCAACCTGGTCTGATCTCAAACATCACTGCCTGCTTTTTCATCAGGTCGATTGAAACCTGCTTGAAACAGGCCAAGTTCGAAGATCCATATGAACCTAAAGTGATACAGGATGAGGATGACACGCCAATGTCAAGCAGCCTTGAGTGCTGCAGACGTTGTGATGAAGTGCGCGCCTGCTTCTTACAGATATACAAATTCAGTAAGGTGAGTTGAGAGATCGGAGTGTGAGTGTGTGTTTGTGTGAGTGTGTGTATGTATGTGTGTATTATGTGTGTATTATGTGTGTATGTGTGTTGAATGGTGCAATCCCAGCACAAGTTGCTACGGCTTCTGCTGTAGTGTCGCTATCATCGCCTCCGGCGATGAGCGTCAACTGGTCAATGTGTGTATATGCCCATGTGTGCATGCATGTGTGTGTATAGTATGCAAGCGTGTGTGTGTGTGTGTGTGTGTGTGTGTGCGTGTGCTTCCATGTGTGTATGTGTACTTTTGTTTGTGTGTGTGCGTGCGTGCATGTGTGTGTGTTTTTCCGGGTGTGTTTGCTTCAATGAGTGCGTTCATATGTGCATACGAATGTCTACCTCGAACTTACTTGCTGCACGATGCATATTATTCTACACGTTGACGGATGGAACACCTCTGGGTTGACACGGATATTTTCTGTAATCAACGATGCACCTTGTGAAATCTAGTTCTCCGTGACTGGCTCCGACTTATCAACAACTGAAAACCCACTGGTTCTTATGTCCAGTGTAACCCTGAAGGGGGGGGGGGGGGTGGATGATTAATGCTGAAGCATTCTATACACCCCTGTGCCGTCAATGGATTGATGAGCAATGTCCACGCCAATTTGGAGCTGACATCAGTATGTGTACGAAGTATTACATGTAGTCTCACGCGTGAAAGGGAAAATACAGTTGGAACTCCGGGAAGATGCACGCGATACCGTCCGTTTTATGCACTATGTCCTCGCCGGCTTTTTTCTTGCTGCACCTACCATAAAGGCCTGGCTGTGCTCGACCTGCATGTTGTCACGGTATGTTGCCAAGGCAACAGGAGAATGGATGCCCGGGCACGAGATCTTCAGTGAGATGAGCATAGTGATGCTAGAGGAGATTAACAAGCAGAGGCAACTCAGTATCTCTCCAGAACAATGGCAGGTAAGGGGCGGTATGTCTGGTGGGTCTACTGTTATTAGACCTGTTGCCTGTTTTGACTCCCACTTTATATATATTGCACAACAACAACAACAAAGTTCTGTGATGCAGTGTGCTGCCGTGGGGTCACAACACGATCTCCTTCTCTCTCCCTCTCTTTCTCTCTCTCTCTCTCTCTCTCTCTCTCTCTCTCTCTCTCTCTCTCTCTCTCTCTCTCTCTCTCTCTCTCTCTCTCTCTCTCTCTCTCTCTCTCTCTCACACACACACACACACACACACGCACACTTTCTCTGCTTCTCTGTTTCTCTGTTTTTTTTTTCTGTGTGTCTCTTTCACTAACTCTCTCTTTTGAAAGTATACTCTATGCGGATTGAAGTTAACAATGTGAAAATCGACTTGCTACAATCACGGCATGGATCGTATTCCGTCCACTTTGTGTCTTCTGTATGGTGTAATGTTGAGTGTACTCCGATTGGGATCCAGATGTTGCTTTCCTTGATTTTTGTCTCTGTCAGCTTCAGTTCCCTCACGATTTTATCATTGGTCTGCTGAGACTCACTCTGTGCTTCATGTGTTTCCTATGGCATTGAGTTGCGCTGATCGCACGCCCACAGCCGCCACCACCACCAGTCGACAACAGGCCGGGGGAGGGGGTATCAGGTGACTCTGATATTTTCTAGGATCTTGCTGTGCCTAGTTACGCACGCGTATATGGTATCGTTTGTTCTCTGCTGTGATGCTATGTCGTGTAGGATCAGTGTCGTCACAAGGCAATGTGTTCCGCGAAGGTATGTATGACGTGCAACAATTCTGGAAGGGATTGGGAATGTAGTACCCTCAGCCATCATTGCATGTTGCCAAGTCCAGCATCTGTGCAGTGCCCTTGAGCTCATACAGCATGTTTCGATTTTCATAATTTTTATTTGTGAGAAAAAAAACCAATCCACTGATTCATTTTGACAGAAAAATTATCTCCGGAATTCTTCGTTGACTACTTCTGATAGAAGAGTAGAGAGACGAATGTATGGTTTTTTTCACTCACATAGCAACCGGGTTGTACATGGGGTAGTGGTCTACCAGAATGTACTCACGATGAGGAAATGAAAAAAATTGCTTAACAAGCGAGGTGGGGGGAGACACCAATTGCTTTCACCTTCCCATGATTGAGTGAAACAGTCAACAGCCGACAAACCTGGGGACCACCAAAGGGAGTTGAAAGTAGGGAGGTGATGGGACAAATGACTCGCAAATCTATCGACAGTATGGGGGCCCCACTTCTTATCAAAATAAACAAACAATACGGCCGAAATAGCCCAGTCATCCATGTCTAGAATCCATGAGAGATAGTCAGCCATGGCATTTTCACCCCGGGGGATCCACTGTGCAAACAGTTCAATGTGTTCGCGTTGACAGAAACGAAAAATGTCAACAGCTTCTTGGTGCAGCGTTGGGTTACGGCTACCGTTACACAAAATGGACACCACGTTCTGGTTGTCGGTATTAAGACGAATTGCATGGCCAGACAAACGCGACACTAAAGAGATTAGGGCAAAGCGGGCAGCAAGCAGTTCCCTCAATGTGGAGCTGGTGTGTGCGGCTGACATGGTCCAGGGCCACTCACCCCTTGCAATTTCAACCCTGTTCATCAGGCTGAAACCACCCCACCCGGAGTCACTAGCATCCGTGAATACCAATTGCAGCGTGCGGGGCCCGGCAGACCAGATGGGTCTCCCGTGAAAATGATCAAATTCAGATTGCCAAAAACTTAATTCAGCCTTAGCAGCATGCTCAAGTGGGATAGCTATCTCCCAGCCTTCTGCTAGAGCTGAGCGACCCCGTTAGTTTGGCAAGCAAGAGTGCGGGGACCACAGTGGGGTAAGACATAATCTCAGCTAGCAGCAGTTTAAATTTGGATTCGCGGCTTGGGGTGACATGAATGCTGTTGTTGGCCGTGTCCAGGACATGACCCAAGACCGAGGCCACCTGCCGGGGTTGAAAATTACTCTTTTGTTTGTTAATGACAAGACCGCATTTTTCCAAATCTGACCTCACAAGTTGGGCGACCCGCTGCGGCTCCTCTGCGGAGTTTGCGGCTCCAGTTCCGTCATCCAGATACAGGAAAATACGTATGCCTTGGTCACGCCAATGGGTGACCAAAGGCCGCAGCACTTTTGCAAACACAAATGGGCGGGCTTAAGGCCAAACGGAAGTGCGGCAAACACAAAAAACCGGGCCTGACCCCGGAACTGCCATTGAAAAAATAGGAACTTCCTATGTTCTGGAGCAATCGAGATGTGATGGTAGCCATCCTTCAGATCAAAAGTGAACAGGAAACAACCCGGATCGAACAGGTCCGGGATGAGTCTCAGGTCCTCGACGCTAAAATGGGAGTCTGCCAAATGCTTATTGAGGAAGCGGAGGTCTATAATCAGCCTCAACTTACCGTTGCCCTTGGGAACCACCCCCAACAGACTAATTACATGGGTAGCGTTTTCCTCTGCCATCTCGACTGCCCCCGAAAGTAACAGCATACGGATTTGGTCAGACACAAAACTGGAATGATCATTAGAAGACTTTAGGTTACATGCCCAGAACTGGGGTGGGGGGGGAGACAAAATACAAAAAAAAAGCCATAACGAATAATACGTAAAACAAAATCTGAGGCACCAATATTTTCCCAAAATGCAATGCAGTGTAATAACCGCCCATGAACGTTATTGTCACAAGCACTTATCTCGCCAGACTCCAGCGGGTCTAGGCACTCATGCTCCGTACATTCGTGGACGAGCTCCGGCAGTGGGCTGTGGTTGCTGAGTCCAGTGTGGTTGGCGACTACTGCCTCGGCCGAACTGGGGGCAGTGCCTGCTGGCGTGACCCAACTGTTGGCAGTTCCCAACGTGGGCCGCTTCCAGGGGTTCGGCCACCGTTGGCAAACGGTCCGTGGCCCGATGGCCTCCGCTCAAATTGGGAGTTGTTGCCGAAACTGGGGGCACGAAATTCCTGCTTGGGTATGGCCTCTCAGTTTCAGGTTGGAAGCGCTCCCTGGGCTGCAGTTGCCTGAGTCGACGAGCAGTGGAGGCTGTGTCCGCGATCCGTTTGTCGTCAGCGAGGCTGTCACCCACGCTGCCCTCCTCATAAACTCTCACAGTCTCCCAGTCGAACGAATCTGCTATTTTCAGGGGCTTCTGCCTTTTGCAGATTTCATGCTTACCCTGCGTCAGGAGTTCCTTGGCCTCGGGTGCGTAGTCCGGGAGCACCGATATGGCGGCATCCACCTTTTGCAACACAGTTTCATTGGTGGCGAACTGGGCCTGCAGCCCTGGTGACTTGAGTTTCGGCTTTGGGGCCTGGTTTATTTGGCTTGTTAGGGACTGCGCTGCTTTGAGTTTTGCCACCTCAGCGCGGGCCGCCGTGGCCTCCTCCTGCACTCCCTTGATTTGTGATGACAGGTTGGTAAATGCGGAGGCGAACCACGACGGCATCTCCTCACCTGTCGAGCTTGGTGTTGGTGGGGCAGGTGAGGTGGCAGAGGTGGCGGCTGGGCGTCGTCTGGCGGTCCTGGCAGGCTCAGGATGAGCTACAGGAGCCGCGGTTCCTTGGCTGCGAGTAGACGGCATAATTTATTACTTTAGATCTCTGGACGTCAAAAAACTCCACGCTCTACGAGGAATACAAGACCACGATGGCAGGTGGGGGAGAGTTGCGCAGTGGAAGAGCAGCAGAGCACGACAGAAAAATGGTGAGTGAAAAATACGTTTTTTACACTCTTTCGCTACGCTCAGCCGTGAAAAAAAAACACATTACTAGCCACTTTGCCAGTCACAGCCTTCAGTCACAGATGCGATTTCTTCACCTTAATTTTGAGGTTTGATTTATTGATACGGGTATGGAAATAACTTGCGATACAAATGTATCATTCCCTTGTTCACGCTAGAAGAAATATTGCAGTATTTTCCGTTTCTCTCAGGTTGCACTGTTCTACAGCGAGGCTATGCATGTGGTGGCTGTGAGTTTAGCAGAGATACGTGGCCTGGCGCTGGAGAACCTTGCTCTACTGCGTGGCTGTGACCACTTTAAGGCACTGGTGTGTCTCCAGCCCGATACCATCTTGAGGTGAGGCGGTGTCCGGATTGTGACCATATCCCTTTCCCATTCTTTGTGTGTGCGTCTTCCTCTCAGTCTTTTATATGTACGCACAGTCAAACTTTGCTTATCCAAACCACTTGCCTTCCGAAAGCAATGGCTTTTAAGCGATTTACAGTATTCTTGATACATACAACATGACCGGATCTCGCGACCGTTATACCGGTGTTTGTGCGTACAAAATTGGGTTCAGACGTGTACAAAATACGTCCTTCTCCCAGTTTCCGAACGGCGTGCTGCAACGGATACAATGTGTATATCGGTATCCAGAAGCCGTAACAAGGCACTTGTGCAAAGCAAAATGGGTTTCAACAACTCAATGACCTGCTTTGCTGCTGACTTCATATACGCAGCACACGCATGAGCAGTGCTGAAACCGAGACCTTGGTCGGTTTAGCTGCCCTTGCCCCGCCTCCACTGCTTCAGCTGCCATCGCTATGCGCATCTCTGTGCGTTTTTGCCGGCGTTTGCACCATGATGGATTGTGGTCATCTTGTAAAGAAAAAGAAAAAAAACAGAATGACATTTCTACTCCTACTCTAATCTTCAAGCAGATCAGGTGAGGTCAGCTTGTCAAACATAGAAGTACCGGTAGTCATTCTAATCTCTATTTCTCTTGCATGAACACAGCCTTGGTTCTCCTGATGTTTCGATAGTAAGTTCCTTGTAAGCTGTAAAGTGTCTCTATGGTTGGATGCTGTGTGCGAATGTGCTGTTCCCCAGTGAGACATTCCGCATTGTAACGGATGCCTTGCCCGCGGTGGATAACTGCGACGCGACGTCGATATTCTACTTTGACAACCAAGATCCGGTCGACGTGGAGCAGAGCTCTCTTTGCGTTCTCCTCTTCTCTATAGGAAGCAATGATGTCATAGCCAAGGTTTGCTTAAATATACCTGCTAGAACCTAGTATTGGAATCAATAATATTATGGCTCCTGCTAAAGTTACGCACTTTGTTGATTTTGCACGTCTGAAGTGAAGACACCGCATACCTCACATCTGAAAATATTCAGGCCGTTTTTTGAAAATCACCAGCACAATCTCTTTTGACAAGATTGGTCCTTTGCACAATGTGGAATGGTGGAAGTTGTGAAACATTATCTAGACGTAATAATTATCAGGAAGTGCATTCCGTCACAGTCACGTAAAGAGTAAGGGGACCGTGAGGGGGGGGGGGGGGATAATTTCATCAAGCAAGACGGTTCATGGATGGTCCTTCGGCGATTCGGTTCTCGGAGGTTTTATTTGTGCTTGAATTTAGGTGTAACAAATGTGATGTTTGGCAAATACAGGTCTTGTCTTTTAGGCTGTGGACCTCCAGCTAGTATGCACGCAACATATTTCATTTTGAAAATTGTTTGCTGCAACACACTTGGCACATTGGTACAAGAATATCTACAGGAAGAATTTGGGCGTGATGAGAGATTGTTTTTCCTAATGTCGTGCTTCCAGGTGGAGTATCCTTTGTCTAGCCTGCCGCTGAATGAGACAGCAACGTTCATTCAGCTCGTTCAGCCAATGGCGAGCGAGAGAGAACGCTACAACGAGATTGTCGCCTCCGCTCTGGCCGAGGGGAAAAGCAGAGGAAGACGGCGCTCGCTTCACCCGATGAACCCTGAACCGGCGCCATTGACCACCCCTGAACCAGAAAAAGAGAGCGAGAACCGCCTCACAGCTGCCGAGAGCCCTCAAAAGGAGCGCTCGCAGAGCTTGCTCCCGGGTTTGGGAAAGGTGTTCAAGAAGAAGGCGTGGGCAAACCGAACGCAGGCAGTGGCCGATGTAGACAACGTGCCTGCAATACCCGACATCACAAACCTTTGGTCGTCCACCGAGGAGGATCTGGATGACGTAGTCGTGTCAGACGGCCCTCGCTTGCCCGCGGTGCAGGCCACAAGCATCAAGCGAACGTTTTGCAGCGTCCGCTCGTTCATCGAGATGTGCGAGGACGAGACGCTCCGAGCCACCAACGAGGCCTTCACGAATATCCAGGAGCAGGATCAGAAACAAGGAATGACGCTGCTGCAGATGTCGGTGAAGTCGTATGAACCCGAGCCAGAACTCCTGCTGCAGAAGAGCAGAGGTCTAGCCGTGCGTGGCGCTAAGAAGGCCACCGAGCCGAGACTGGTGTTTCGCAAAGCTCTGTATGATGATTTGAAGGAGCACGAGAAACCGTTGTACGTGCTGAGAAGCATGATGGTGGCTGAAGGTGAGTACAGCGACACACAGGAATACACGGTGAGGTTTGGGGCGGGACTTTCCCTTTTCAATGTGACCATTATATGTGAATTTGTTAGGACCATAAATTTTATATGAACACACCATGATCAAACCCATTGGAGTGTTTTGTGAGGTTGTTCTTCTTGCCACGTACGTTCTCACTTTTCCTACTTCTAAAATCTTCACTGGACTAACTCTGTCCTGAGGGCACGAGGAAATCTGACAAACCATTTGGACTTGGGACTTAGAATGCAGAGATACCACCTGCTCAAAGGCACACGTTTGCAAGGGACTGATGCCCATTGTCCACAAAATGCTGCATATTTGCATTTCACGTCTAAACAAGATCAAACAGCCAAACACATGTACTGTATTTCCCCGATTGTAAATCGCACCTCGTTTTCAGGCTTTTAAAAGCCATTATTGTTTTGATATATTCACTTCAGTAGTAAGTCATGCTCGAGTGACTTATATTCGGGGAAATACGATACTTGAAAAGTGCTCCGTTTCCAGCCTGGAGCAAAACTGGCAAACCCAACCACACCCAAGCAATGTTGTCCAATGACGAGGTAGAATACTATCACTAAGAGCATTGTGCTATTTGAGCACAGGTCCTTCACCATTGGTAGATATTCTCTAGGCCATGACAATATATTGTAGCGAGCCTTAGGTGGTAGCAGGTTGTGCAAATGCAAATGCAAGAAGCACTGATTCGCACCTATATGGCCCGGGGTAGCTGCAATAGAGCATAAATTATCAGCATTTCAACTCCTATATTGAGGGTTAATTCCCCAACCAGACTCATGGTAGTGAGGGACAACCCGCATTTTCCCCACTACTCACGCCGTGTCCAGCATTATTTTTTCTAGACGTGGTGTTCTCTGAAGATGCCTTATTTAAAAAAAGCCCAGTCAGAATGCCAACCCTGGTAAAATACCCCATAGGATGAATCCCTTGGCCTGACTGTGCACTGCTCTGGACTATTTTTTTTATCCGGAAAACACAATTTACAAACAAGTTTTCAACGGTGGTCAGAGCAGTGACAAAATAGCACCTAAGATAGCGCTAGTGGCCGCTAAAATGCCGGTTTATAAGGACTTGCTTGCTACCATGTTAATCCCCACGGTATTTGACCTGAAAAGTAATGATACGAAAGGACTAGTCGAAAGTGTAAAGCCCGATTCATACTTCATCTCGCGTACGGGAAACCCATCGCGCGACCGTCGCGCGATGGGTTTCCCGTACGCGAAATAGTTGAGCTCAGATCAACTTTTTCGCGACGCGACGCGTTTCCCGTACGCGACATGAAGTATGAATCGGGCTTAATGGTTTCAGTGCTTCGTGTGCTGATGAGTTTCTCTTTGCGGTCATGGTGTTCCTTGCCCAGAGCTTCGGTGCCGAGATCACCGGCTGCCCAGGAAGGCCGAGGCATTCGTTGACATTGTGGTGTCGCATCAGGATGGCGCGGTGGGATGCACCACCCGTCAGGTGCTGATCTCGCGCACGGCTGAGAAGTACCCGCTCAAAGAAGAGCCACAGTCACTGACCTGTAAGCTTTTGTGAACATCTAGCAAAAGTCATCCTAGAAAATACTTTGAAGAATAAATTGGTAAGCACACATGCTCTTTCTCTGGACACTGCAAATTCACAACTCGGTTCACTGTGTCATTATCGACGTTTCGGCAATTTGCCAACATCAGCATGGAAATTGAAGTGGAAGTGGAAGGTTTCAATCTGTTATTCAATAGAGCTTGTGCGGATGTTGTCGGAGATATTTGTACATGTTCTGGCTTGTGCATACATTTATCAACATTTTGGCAAGTTTCCACCTCTTTCTCGCTCAATGCTATGTCTTTTGTTCCCTACAAGGCCCAGGTTACTGTCTTAAATGAATATGCTGGACATGTAGCTTGACTGGTTACTATTGGTGTACTTGAATAGCTGGTGTCAAAATTTTCTACCAAACCTGCTTCCAGGATGGGAGAGTATTGCCGTCGCTATATATAGCAAGTTGTGTGTAACCTACTGTTCGGTTTGCCTTTTGTGGCTCGGCAGAAATTAAGTTCGCTACACAGCTTAGATTACCGAATTCTCCCGGTTTTCGTTTCTCCAGATCGCTACGTGCTGCTCAGGTTTGTGAATGCAAAGGGACAATGCATTGATCGGCGCAGCACATATCGTACCAAACCAGAGCCGGGCAGTCCCAAGGAGGCCGCATCGCTCACGGCGTCGTTCCGCAAGAAGTTCGCCTGGCTGCGCGTCAGCTACAATGCCAGGTTTGATTTCCAGAAAGACGTTCAGCGCAAAGGTGACAAGTACAAACCCATTCTAATACAGGTAATGAGTTGCGAGTCTTGCGACTGCAGCCACCTTCTATCATGCAGCATTCTATTGTCGATGTTTGCGGCTTCTCGTAGGAAGAAAAGAAAAACAAGGGTTGCTTATCGAGAAGAGTTGATGCGGATAATACCATTGCACAATATCTTTTATAGTGTGGCTCGCAAGTGTTCATGGCGTCTAGCCATTCCTGAAAAAAGTTTGAAAATGTGTCATTCGTTTGAATAGTCGTTTTATAGAAAAGTTCCCGCGAAATGGAATGAGGATGTGTATAGACAGAGAGGAGAAGACAGGCAACAAAGGGAGCCACTGTTTGTTGGGCTGTGGCACTGTGTTTGTGGAGTAGTTCACTACACTGATGCTCTAATACGGATTTTGTTTTTGATTTGAGAGGAGAGACGAGTATGCACGAGTACACGCCCGGACATGTTTGCGATTGAATTCAATTTCATCAGCGTTTGAGTGCGGTTTTTTACTCTGCACTGTCTCATGTTTGCGATTTCACACCCAATGTGAATACTCTAATTTCAGAATTTTTAGGTGCTAAATATTTTCGGTATGAGGGCAAAAAGCCAGGTTAGGTGAACAGAAATTTTCGGTACAGAAAAGCAGTTCCCTATTGGTTCATGCGTGTAAGTGTTTGTTTGGTGTATTGAAATTTTAGGTATGAAACAGATGCACCGAAAGTACCGAAAATAAAAGTACACCGAACATTTGTGAAATTACAGTATGGTGACAGTTTCCTGATCTCAAAAGATTCCCGGATACAGGGGCGCGCCTAGTTCGCCTTTCAGGAAGGTGTATGGCCGCATATGTGTAGGATGGCTGTTGCATGTCATTCATGGTCATTATATGCATGCTAAACCTAGGGGGGTGACATGCTCCACGTGCTCCATGCGGGCTCCACGACTGTCGACAACAGTAGCTCAGCCGACCCTAGGGGGCTTCAATTTAATGATCAGGATGTTGTGTATATGTGTATGTGTATATGAGAGTGCGTGTACATGTGTGCGTGTGCCTTTCCACCTTGTGGACTGTGAACGGCTCCATGCCCTGAAAAAGTGGCTGCAGATTGCACTGTATGTTTGATATGATCGCCTCAGACCATGGGCAGCTACAGTCTAAATTTCTTGGGTAACCCCTCTATAAACTTGGAAGTTGCGACTTCGGCGGTATTAGTCATGAAGTTGGTTGCTCCAACGAGGAGCACACGCTTCTTGCCGAACTTGACACTTGACTGACTCAGGACTGCCATCCGGAGCACACGAGGAGCACGTCACACTTTCCACTCGGCACACCTGAAAGAAAGCACCACTCCCTGCTCAATACACAGTGTTTCGGGGAATTCACCCCTCGTCAGTTGAGCAAGTGATCAGACAAGAACATTTTGCTTTGGCAGGGATATTTCAGTTCTTCATTTTGACTTACTGCCCAGGTGTTACTGTGTAGTGCGAATGGTATCAAAGCGGCGGTCAACATCAACATTGCAGACACCACGCAGGAGGTAAGTGGCAGGCAAGCAGTGGCACGGCGAGAGGAAAAAACATTACGGAGTTGCATGCAGTCGTCCGCGATAACAGCTTGGAGAGTGTAACTCAAGTTTGCAGCCAATTGTCCCTCTCCCCCTTTTGCACGCCTTGTACCATAAGCACGTGAGCACGCGGTCGGAAATGAGACATTTTCAAAGAAACGCATGTCCGAGTACATGGAAAGATTGTTTTTGTCTTGCCTGCATGCACATTGTACCCGTAAGAGATTATACACGCTCACACTACCGTCCCAGCGGTCTCTCGGCTACACAAATCACGAATAGAATGAAATAGAAAAGAAAAAAGGATCAAAGAACTACAAGTTAAGCTACAATGTCCACTAACACCGCCAGTTACTGAACAATCAGCTCCTTGGCTCTCCATCCGAGGAAAACATAGAATAAGGTCATGCACGGAACAGGTTATGCACAGAGCAGATCACACACGGGGAATCTAACCAGATTCACACCCTGTGAGGTTACAGCTGGAGCTAGGTGTCCCCCATCCACAACCCTCTATTGTTCCATGTCTGTGACTGGGCAACTGACATATCTCTGCAGTCTTGTGGATGTTGTAAAAGCAATGCTCAAAGCATGCACGTAAAATCCAGTGTAAAAATTTAACTCGGATACTGAGCCAATAAAAGTAATTAAAATAGAAGAAATCACATGGAAATGTCACAGTAACATGTCAGTTTTGTGCCCTGTTATCGCACTTTCTGACAGCTTGTTATCTTCTTACAGTCGTGGATAGTTGCTTCATAAGCGTTTCCATGTGATTTCTTCTTTTTTAATTATAAAATCCAGTGGTAGAAAAATCAGTGCATCTCCATTCTGAGTTTCATGCCGCTACTCCGCAAGCATCGGCACTGAAAGTCCTTCTGTATGTCACGATAAGCAAGCAGATGAGGGTATCGCTACCCAGTCAATGCGCTAGACATGACCCATTGTACTGAGCCATTCATACACAGTCTGCGGACAGAACTGTTTCGTCCTTTGTGGACTCATCGGCTCAGCACAGAGGAAATGAGGCCGAACCTGATAACCATGGAAAATACATTTTCCAAAGCCAGATTTAATTAAGCCAGGCCCGAACGCATCTTGCCAGAGTGCTCAAACTGACAGGTCAGTGAGCTCTGCATAGCGCAAAGACTGAAAGAGCAAAGGCACTGCCCCAAGAACCACTCATACATGTAGAAGACAACACATGCCGTCATCCTTTTGCTTGTGTCAAACTTTCCAGGTGCGCGGCACGTTCCGTCTGGAACCTGCACCCGGCTGCATTCACACCAATCACCACGGCCAGAAAGTAGCCAAACTGCCGAAGGACAAGTTTCCCATCAGCACGCCCTCGTCCAGTGTGTTAGACCCGAAACCAAATGCGGAGCATCCCCGTCGGGCCGTCAAACGCGTTCTGGGCGCCGTGCCCCTGTTGCGTATCGGACACAAACGTGCGAAGAGCGCCGCTGCTGCAGCAAGCATGCAGGACGGACGCGCGACCCGTCTCAGCGTCTCCCTGACCAGCCTTAGCGATTTCACCGTATCACCGGTAGATACGTGCTCGCTAGACGACTACCCCGGAAACTTGCACAACCCCGCGGACACACTGCACACCTGCCAGGTGACACTCAGGCCAACGGGTGGGAAAGACGCGCGGTTGTCGCGGCAACTAAGCTCGTCCGAGCCGGCCCTCGCCACGTCGTCGTCAGGGCAGCAGAACGAGGCGCGCTCTCGTGCGTTCAGCGAGGCCGCCGTTCGTGCCAGCCCAAACGCTGCCGCTGGCGCGCAGCCACCCGAAGAATGGAGCAGTCTGTCGAGCAAACGCTTCCTGCAGGTCTCGCCCAACTTCACGCGTGGCGTGCCATCTTCCGACGTCTCAGATGCTGGAGAGAGTCCGGGAGACAGCAGTAAAGACAGGAGCAGTGGAAGCAAGAGTGGGCGATCAACCCCAGCAAGCACGTCGTCGCCGGTCAAGCAGAGCAAGCCGCCCAAGGTGAAGCGCCGACGTATCGGCCAGAGGCAAAGCGTCAGCAGCACAGCTGCCACCGCCGCCACCGCCACACCGGCTGCTGCCAGCCGCAAGAAGTCACGCAGCGAGTCGCGCCTGAACCGTCTCGGCCTGTGGCCGTTCGCGAAGAGTGCCGGTAACCTGCCATCACTCGGCTCGAGCATGGGGGATGTGCAGCAGTCAACCGAAGCTGACACACCTGACAACGCGTAAAAACACTGGGCTGGTTGCACCGGGCAATGATTGCGTAGGACAATGCGCACCGAAATTCGAACCTACTGGGCTGGTTGCGGAGGATAATGCGTAACGAAGTTAAAGCCTACTGGGCTGGTTACCTAGGACTATTCATGATGGAATCAGTGGTGTACTGAAGTAGACGCGTTATTCACTACCCCTGTCTACCGGAGATGATGATAGGATTGCTCATTCAGGAGCACTTGAACTGTGCAAGGTGTAGCCATTCTATTACCAATTCATGGACCATGATCAAAGTTCCCCACATCCATACACATACACATGTTCAAAAATTATTAACTTCATCCCGAACTTTATTCTCGTCCATTAATCAGACACACGCGCACAACACACGCACGCGCATACATACACGAACACTCGCACATTCACAGCTAGATGATCAGACAGACACATATACACACAGTAGAAAACTTGAAAACTCATAATCTGGAATGGGTGGCTGCTAAGTTCATCTGACAAAACGGCTATTTTGTATTACTTAGCTCGTTAATGTGGCTCTTCCTTATTGAATGTCTCCTACCCTGTAACTGCAAGCAAATGTACTGTTCATCAGTGTACAGCTGGGAGAGAGAATGTACGTGCATGTGCATGCGTGCGTGCGTGTGTACAAGTATTGACAGCTTTTCACAAATTTTTGGCAACCCTCCGCTTAACAATTATTTATTTTCTCTGCTCCAAATACAAAAAATGATTATTTGATCGTTTTCTCGTTTCCCCTTAGTCTGGTATTCCACTGACCATTGCGACACGAAAACATTCTGGACACGACGCTGCGTTGGTTGCAAAGTTTGTGATCATGATTCGAATGTGCACTGTATTATTATTCTTTGCTTTTGTTCAAATTTAAAACTATGCCCCTTCTTGGCATATTTGCAATTCATTGCAGTGAGCCCTTCCTGGTTATAGCCGCGAGAAAACGTTAAAATAACCGCATGTTGCTCTGCGTCTGCGAACGACTGCGTTCACATTGTTCTTATCCTTGTTGAAGTCCCTGTCTCCTCGTTTCGTCTTTGTTCCAAAACATACCCAGTAGCAGAAGTTACCACCGCCGTGCAACCACTGCTTTCATGGTATCCGTGGCGTACACGTGCACTGTAAACCATTTTTAAAATCATGATGGGCAATTGTGCACAGCCCTTCCCAGGTAGCGGGAAAGTGAGTGTGTGGACGGGGGGGGGGGGGGGGGGGGTATGTAGACACAAGATAGGCAGGAAGGAGGTGCAGGGCAACACTGGACACTGCGTGCTGTAGCGCTGGACACCTACTACAGCTTGAGCCCTCCCAAATGAAATCCGGTCCTTGTTTTCCAGCACTAAGCTCCAGGCCTGTGGCTCAATGTGGCTGGACAGTCGTACCACAAGCGACCCACCCAACCCCACACAGGCTCTCCAGCTGGGGTTTGCCATGTATGTGTATGACTGTATAGACGTAGCGTAGAGGTTAAGAGCTAGCATTATCAGTTGACATGCTTTGGCGAAGTTGCAGCTTAGCGACCCACGTACGCTGTATACATAGCCTTGGTTGGCTATAAAACCCTGCAAATCGTCACGCAAAGTGGTCATTGGCTGCGCCAGCCATGTATTGCTTGGAATAAAACTGGGGGAAAACTGGAATAGTAGTAAAATAGCTTTATTTTACTACATCATTCGAGGCAGGCAGGCATAGTGGGTTGGTCTGAGACCATGATTGAGAAACAGAGGGTACCAGGTTCAAGTCCTGCTTGGAAGAGGAAGGAATTTTTCCAGCCGTGCTGCGACCCTATTTGGAAACTTGTGGCCTGGCACGAGGGTACCATGGATGCAGCTAATGGGATTTCGGTCTTTGACCACTTGGTGGTGGGTCTGATCTACTCACCTCCCACCGTTTAGGCGCTGCATCTGCGCCTTTGATCCTAGAGCGTGGTGGCGTTCCCATGACGGATGCGGGAAAACTGGGCTTCCAGCCGAGTCTCACGCGAACCGTGACATTTTTTATATTTTTTTATTCGAATTTAAAACATGAATACTCACGCATTTTCCCCTTCTGTTTATATCTTGCCCCGCTCCAGTAATGGTTCATGAGTCCCCCCAGTCCACACTCCCTGTCCCTTCCAGTTGCATCGTCCTTTCTTCTCTGCTTTACCGTTCTATTTTCATTCGCCCCTCTTGATATTTGTACTGTTGTGGAAAGGACCTGAAATACTAAAAACCAAACCAAACCACCATTGGCGCAGCCATCTCTAGGGTGTAATGCCACAGTTCTCGCAAGATGATGAAGATATTATGAGAAAAAAATGGAAGAGGAAAATAGATTAATGAACAAGGCACAAAAGAGAACACGGAAACAAATCAACGATGGAAGACTACGATTGACGTATTTGAACATGATGAAATGTTTCTTGAAAGTGACACAACGAATCCAAAGGTTCCAGGATTGAAGTAATGTTGACAGTTATGAGCCTTTGAGATCTTAGGAGAGGGTAAGAGAGTTTAGGAGAGAATACGCGTCATGTAAATTCTTCTGACTCTGACCCATGATATAATCGTTACACATGTAGTGTTGTATAGGCTTCAAAATGCAACTTGAAGCCTACATTGTCTATAATTACCGGTATCATAATAACCTTTTTACAAGGTCGATAATATATTGATGCATTTTTTTTAATTGCAGTTCAGAGACCGCATATGCGTTTCTTTTGAGCGATCTTGTATAATAATATTATAATATACACACACAATGTGGGCCTCCATAGGTACATTGTATGTACAACAGTGGGGCTCAACTCGATACATACGTATGTACACTGATATAATGTGCACATTCACATGTCTGAAGGTTGTGGCTTTTCAATAAAATACATAAATAAATTAAAAAAACTCAATTGTATAGCATGTGGTAATGGAAGCATTGGATCTGCACTGTACGTAACGCAAGTTAGGAATAGAGAACATGTGTAGGTGTGTGGGTGCGTGGGTGCGTGGGTGTGTGGGTGTGTGAGTGTGTGGGTGTGTGAGTGTGTGGGTGTATTCTCTGTGTGGGTGTGTGGGTGTGTGTGTGTGGGTGTGTGGGTGTGTGGGTGGGGTTTCCACGAAGCGTGTACATCATAAGTGCACCTTTCCGCGCGAGTGCTTTTCGGTAAGCCCCAGCGAGAACATCTGAATTGAGCTTGACTTCTTATCAGAAACCACTAGGCCTGACGCAACCAAGTGCTGCTTGTAAATACGGAGTTGAATGGGCTGAAGGACAGGTGCTGGAATTGCAGGCAGCTCTGTAACTCTACCACTGCCAGGGTGTGCACTGTGACACTTACCTACATGTGTGTCCCTGTCGGACTCTTTACACACTATCTGATGGTCACCGAAAGTTAATGTCGTACTTCCAATGACGGTAGGAACGTCGTGTTCCACTTCGACTTGCGTCCAGCATGCAGTGCTCACGTCTGCTTCATCCATATGAAACTTGTACACTAGGCGTTCATACTGCACGCGTTTTGTAGCATCTTCGCATTCTGCATCATGACTTGACGCTATCAAGTATATGTCATTGTTCAAGCTTATCAGCCTTTTAGGCTGTCGGATATGGGGCAGTAGTGGTAGACGAGTGAGATCAGTACACGCGTTGACAATCCCTGATGTCACAAAACCAGAACTGTGGATTTGCAGAGCATAGCATATGGAATATTGCCTTTGCGGATGCTGCTTAATGTTCGCGCCACATAGGAACATGACGTTATCCCTGACAAGCATGTTCACGAACATCAAGCCGACGGGAAATAGATCCTTGGTGAAGCGCGTGATGTTTTCACCGTCAATCGTGTGGAGTATTACTGTGCGCATTGTATCAACTTCAAATACAGCGATATATAAGCCGTTGTCCGTTGCATGAGCTGCAGAGGCAATAGCATGGCCAGCAGTGTACACTTGACGAAAGCTTTCTGCTGTCAAGTTGGTCAGATCGTCAGATTCTGTGTACTGGACAAAGATATTAAGTCGGTGATCAGTCTGCACACAGTACAACCTATTGCGGAACACCACGGACAGTCCAAGAAATATTGTACTTCGGGTGCGATCGGTGTGAAATGTCGACATAAAATCTTTAGCAAAATCCCACACAGGTGCCAGAACACTTCTGCCACGCTGCAAGACACACAAAAAGTGGAAAGTGTGGAAATGTAGTGATCAGCGGAAGCCTAGTTATTCCACACACCTGCAAATTTCAATAGGCGTGGTTTAAGGTCTGTGATAGCGCATACTCCACGTGTGAAGGACTTGGGAACTGTACTTACATATACTATGGTGCAGCTCAGTGAGGTACCATATTTCCAGGCGCGTGTCGCGTATGCGTTCCTGGGTGCCCGGAACCCCCCATTTTTTCACTCAAAATGCAGGATTTTTCTTCATTTTTGAAAATCTTCCGCGGGGAGGCCCCAGAACCCCCCCCCCCCCTTAAAGGGCACCGGCGCAAGCGCCTCATTTCCCCCATTAAACGTCTACGTCCACGTCTCCCGTACCAGTACAATGTCATGTACCTTTCCAATTGTAGTGCATGTTAGGTCAAACAGATAAAAGGACACGTCTTTAATAATAGTACGCGCCGGAGTGATGTGATGGGTATTACTGGGGCACAGGTACCAGGGTCCACCTTACTTCGTTTTTCTCACCCGTTTATAAATCGTTGTGTCTTGCTAGACTGTTTCTTACCGTGGTTGGATGTATTTTCAGCCTTACAGCATCATTATCACGAGTTGTTTACCATCAAACCCTCGCAAGTAATCTTTCCACAATCGATAAAAGGATACGTCTTCAAAACTAGTACCGTCTCCAATAGCAGTACCGGTCTGACCCCCTTTGGAAAAATAAAAGTACTGTACAGAGAAGAAAACACAAAAGGACCAGGGAACTACTAGTCACGCTATAATGTCCACTAACATCATCAGTGCCATGCTATCGCATGAGCCGATTGTTTAGTAACTGGTGGCGTTAGTGGACATTATACCGTATTAAACTTGTAGTTCCTTGGTCTTTTTTTTCTTCTTCGATCAATTAATCCTTGGCTCTCCATCCGAGTCCATTACTGTACATTAATTGGGGATAATGATGATGGTATGTTCAGGTTGTAGTGCACACATCATACTGCAGCGCGGTTATTCCGCCCCAGCTGCCTTGCCTGTACACACACAGTGGAGAAAACGAAATAATTCGATTATAAAATCGATTTCTTTAAAAAGCATGCAGTAGTTGTCAGAACTTACCAGCTGATGGCGAAGCATGGGTAGCTTTACGGGCTGCCACTGAAGAAGGAAACACACACACATACACACACACACACACACACACACACACACACACACACACACACAAACACACACACACACACACATGCCGTAGTGTCTTGTATTTGAAGCCTATCAAACCTGTTTGACTACCAGCCTGCTTTTACAGTTTACACACATATACACTATTTGAATACAAACCTGATGTGAATACAAGCCTATCCCTGGCTTCCACAGGAAAACACCCGCCTTTGATACGCGACATCACGCACACAGACATGCACACAAAAACACACATTCACACATATACATGTACTTGTTGTAATAATATAAACACACACACACACACACACACACACACACATATAATACACACACACATAAAACACTCAAACACACACACACACACACACACACACACACCATGTGCCATGTACCATGTGTACGCTTGTTGCAAGAGAAACTGTGACTCAGCATACCCCCCCCCCCCCCCCCTTACAGGTGCATGCATAAATGTGGCCAGATGTGGTGCAGCCGGCATTAGGAATTTGGGGCTCACAGGCAGGGCACAATAGAAGAGCCGGCCCTGCCTGTGAGCATTCCTACCGACGTACCAATCAAATAATAGTAATCACTTCCTCACCTGTCGTGATGCGATATCGGGCGCAAATGGCCCTGGGTCGTTGTTCTGGTTAAGCAAGAACACCAGCATTCCTGTGGTAATGCCTACCAGCAGGCAAGTCAGGAGTATTGGTTCCCAATTGATGCCGGTCTGTACACGGCAATACCAAGAAGAGGTAAACAGCAGCTTGCAATACTGGGGCTGGTCTGTATGTGGCCATGCCAAGAATCATTTTAAAAACAGCAGTGTGCAATACTCAGGCTGGCCTGATGGACAGTAGACACCATGTTGATTCCCCTTTCTGAACTTGTAGTGATGAAATTTAGCGGAGTTCTTCGCCCCTGCTGCTGCGCTTTCTACGGTTGAATCGCCTTCACTGACACAATAACTCTGTCCCGTTACACCTCACACAAACACGTTTGCTTCCACAACGGCACCAAATATCTAGGCCACCTCACAGAGACGTCTGTAGTGCATGCCGCTGCCTGATGATCGCCGAAAATGCGTGAAACTTGAAGTTACATGTACACATATGTCGTATCCATACTATTGACACGTGCCTTTTAGGCCTCTACGGGACAAGTATGCTTTTAGGTGTCTTATTATTTATCTATCTCCCGTAAACGGGTTCATAATCGTCTTTATTTTATATCTTCACGGAAGGCCTGGGGCCTTCCTTATTTGGGTATACGCTGTTATTTCCCCACATGGCTCCCGCTCCTTATGCAACAGTTCGTACACATATTTACTACGGTTTGATACGCTATTGCATGCGGGACCAGCAATCTCGTGGCCATGGACTTCCATGGCCGCAACTAGATACTATTGCCATCACCTTCCTTCTTTCTCTCTCTCTCTCGCAACTTCGTCTTTACGGCAAGTCACGACTTTCTTCCTTCTCGTTTGATAAGTATCGTTTGATAATATGTCTGACCGCAAGATGTGAGTCTCGATGTGAAAGTATAGGTGTGTATGTGTGTGTGTGTGTGTATGTGTGTAAGTATGTGAATGCGGGTGCTGTACATGTGAGGGCATGGCGAGTGAGTGTGTGTCTAGGTGTGGTGTGACCCGAACATGTCTAAATATGTCTGATGTGCGAGTGTATGTGGTGTCGGAATGTCTAATAATGTAATTGTAGTTACGGCCACCACTGCACGGCCTGTAATGGGATAGTTGTAGATTAGTCATGTTGGTGCCGCGGCTCCGGGGCCTAACTCCGGGCCGCCGGACTACGACATTTGGCGCAGTGAACAGGATGTCCAGTGGACGCTCTGATTGATACAGGATCCGCCGCTACGTTGTTGTCAGAGGATTTTGCCGAGCGCCTACCTAAGGAGCTGGAAAAGGAAACCTCTGACCAAGGCCCGAAGTTGATTGGCGCCAACGGACAACCACTGGAAGCCGTGGCGTCAGCAATTGTTCAGTTGGAACTCGGAGATGCAACCTGTTGGCACCGGGTAAGAATTGTTAAGGGGTTGCCGCGTGATTGTATTGTTGTATTATCCCATATTCCTTGCACAATTTCTTCGGGACAAGGGCGAATGTTCTTCTCTACCTCCCCCGCCTCAATCAGTACTGTGGGTTCGGATTATGGAGTGTTGAAACTGAAATCTAAAGTGACGATCCCGAGCAAGCATGAGATGATCGTTCCGGCCAAACTTAAACGATACGGTCACGCAGTAAAACCAGTACACGTAGCATTAGTGGAGGGTCTCCCTGGTCTGTCAGACTCGCATGACATCAATATAGCGTGTTCACTAGTTGCCTTGCCTGCCGGGGAGTTTGGAGTGAGAGTCCTTAACAATTCAGACCGTGAAGTGAAATTGTCACGAAAACTTGAGATAGCCAAAGTGTGTGAGATTGAACAGGTATGTGACGAATCTTCTGTTTGGGAAGATCAATTGCCATGCTCGTCGGGTTGGGAAGAACATCCGCCAGACAAGCCACTTTGGGACACATTGAATGTTGAAGACACCGATCTCAGTGACACGGAAATTCTGAAAGCTAAGGACCTCATCTCCAGATACCGCTCTGTGTTTGCTATGAGTAGTAAAGAGTTAGGCAGGACCACGGTACTGGAACACCGAATTGAAACCAAGCAAGCTGCTCCAATTCGCCAGCCGGTGCGCCGCCTACCGCATGCTAAAAGAGAGGAGGCAAGGGAACTGGTGGACAAAATGATAGATCAGGGGGTAGTTGAACCCTCCACCAGCCCCGGCCTGGGCTTCACCCGTGGTATTAGTCACTAAGAAGGATGGGAGTATTCGCTTTTGTGTGGATTACCGCCGCTTAAATAGTGTGACTGTGAAGGATCCGTATCCTCTCCCAAGAATCGATGACACCTTGGATTCCTTGGGAGGGGCTGCGTATTTTTCAACTCTGGATTTGTGCTCGGGTTATCATCAGATGCCTATGGCCCCAAGGGATAGGGAGAAGACCGCCTTTGCGACCCCAGATGGACACTTTGAGTTCAATGTACTACCATTCGGGGTGTGTAATGGGCCTAGTTCTTTTCAGCGCATGATGTCCGTAGTGTTAAGTGGCCTTCAATGGCAGATTTGTTTAATTTACATTGACGACATCATTGTATTTGGAAGCACGTTCGAGGAGCATTTGCTCCGATTGCAGTTGGTCTTTGACCGCCTCTTGAAGGCAGAGTGTTTCTTGTTCCGCACCAGTGTTGAGTTCCTGGGCCACATTGTTACCCGGGAGGGGGTTAGGACCGATCCGGGTAAGATCGAGAAAGTCAGAAACTGGCCTACCCCTGAAGCAGTTGGTGAAGTGCGTGGTTTCTTGGGATTCTGTGGGTATTATAGGCGGTTTGCCCAAGATTTTGCCACCATTGCCCGCCCCTTGTACAGCCTGACGAAAACTGGCCAAGTGTTTTTGTGGACTCCTGACTGTGAATCCGCTTTCCTGAATCTGAAGACAGTGTTGACAACCGCCCCAGTACTAGCTTACCCCAGGTTTGGGCAAGATGCATCACCATTTCTGGTAGACGTAGATGCTAGTGGACTAGGGTTAGGAGCAGTGCTGTCTCAGGTTCAGGAAGGTCTGGAACGGCCGATAGCGTATGCTAGTCGACTTCTGGCCGATACAGAAACACGGTACGCATCCACGAAAAAGGAATTGTTGGGTTTGGTGTGGGCTGTGCGACATTTTCGTTGCTACCTGCTTGGAAAACAATTTGTGATTCGTACTGATCATCGTTCCCTTAGAACACTTGGCTAATTTCAAAAATCCACCGGCAATTGTGACTCGCTGGCTGGAATTTTTGTCTGAATTTGAGTTCACCATATTGTACAGGGCAGGTCGATCGCACGCTAATGCTGATGCATTGTCACGCCGCCCTGACGCTTCGACGACGCTGTTCGTAGGGGCCGTGAACAACGACGTTGGCAACATCCCCACACCCCTCATCCGCCGTTTCAACTGGCCGTGGTCAAGATGGGAAACGGAGCAGGAGAAGGACCGAGATCTCGCCCAAGTGGTGTCCTGGCTAGGTATGGACTCTCCGCCTTGCCCACAGGACATGATGGGTAGCAGTCCTGAGGTACGTATTTTGTGGAAAATCATGAAATGCTGGTTCATCATGAGGGGGTGTTGTGCCGTCATTGGGAGGACCCTTGCCCCGGTAAGCCGTCTATCTTGCAAGTTGTTGTTCCCCGGCATTTACGTTCATTGGTTTTGCAAGAGTATCATGACCAGGGGGGACATACGGGTTCTACACGCCTGCAGAAGAAACTGACGCAACAATTTCACTGGGTAGGCATGAAGAAAGATGTCTTGGATTGGGTTGCAAGTTGTTCTTCCTGTAGCCAGTTGAAGCGTCCCGTTGGCAGAGGGTCTGGGGCTCCAATACAGTCTTCCTGGACGGGGTATCCTTTTGAGCGAGTAGCAATGGATTTGATCCCCAATTTGCCGGAGACAGCGGAAGGGAACCGCCATATTTTGGTTGTAGTTGACTATTTCACTAAATGGGTGGAAGCTTTTCCGCTTCCGAGAATGGATGCTTCCGCTATTGCTTTGGGGTTTGTCAATGAGTTTGTGTCACGTTTTGGTGCTCCTGATCGGTTGCATACCGATCAGGGCAAAAACTTTGATGGCTCTCTGTTTCGCAGTGTTTGCTTTCTGCTTGGCATAGATAAGACCAGGACAACTGCGTACCATCCACAGAGTGACGGTCTGGTTGAAAGATTCAACCAGACGCTTGAGCGTGGCCTGGCGCACTATGTCTGCCGGAATCATCGAGATTGGGACATCAAGTTGCCAGCCTTCTTGATGGGATACCGCTCGACGCCGCAGACTAGTACCGGCTACAGTCCAAGCTATCTGCTCTTTGGTCGGGAGCTATGCCTACCTCAAGACTTGGCATTTGGATTACCGCCAGGAGCAGCATCCGCAGTAGCGTCCCAGCCGGAATTCGCGAGTGCTCTCCGCCGACGCCTGGAGGACGCTCATGCGCAGGTTCGGGAGCACTTGGGCAACGTGCACCGCTATCAAGCGCATATCCGTGATCGCAACGCTAAGGCCATGACGTTTGCAGCTGGTGATGCAGTGTGGCTTCTGGTGCCGGCCATTCCGACGGGTACAACCGCCAAGTTTTCTAGACTGTGGCACGGACCGTACCTAGTCGAGGAGAAGCTCTCCGCCGTCACCTACCGCATCAAGCTGTCTGAGCCCACGGCACGTCGCCTGATAGTGCACGTCAACCGGCTGAAAAGTTGTCATCATCGATCGAGTCGGCTGCAGGAGGTCCACGAGCAAGATGAGTCGGACCCACCGCAGCCCATGGCATCCACCCTGACTCCGTCCTACCAGCCTGATGCCACTGATGCCGCCGCCCGAGACGAGGAGGACACCGCTCGGGTATTCGACAGTGCTCCGCCAGTTGGCGTGATGGAAAGGCGAACCCCGCGTTCCCGCCATCCACCTCAGCTGTTTGGGAGTCCTGTCTGGCATGAGTAAGGATTTCAGTGGTATTGGCTGGATTGGTTGTGGCTAATATTACAGCTAGTCTTTGAACAGTTTTCGATCGGAACTCCAATTTTGACCAGCACTCGTTTAGTTAATTGTTAGCCATAATCTTAGTCTAATTTATTACGTTACTTATAACACGAGGACGTGTTCTTTTCCGTGTAAGCGGGGGGATATGTCGTATCCATACTATTGACACGTGCCTTTTAGGCCTCTACGGGACAAGTATGCCTTATTTAGGTGTCTTATTATTTATCTATCTCCCGTAAACGGGTTCATAATCGTCTTTATTTTATATCTTCACGGAAGGCCTGGGGCCTTCCTTATTTGGGTATACGCTGTTATTTCCCCACATGGCTCCCGCTCCTTATGCAACAGTTCGTACACATATTTACTACGGTTTGATACGCTATTGCATGCGGGACCAGCAATCTCGTGGCCATGGACTTCCATGGCCGCAACTAGATACTATTGCCATCACCTTCCTTCTTTCTCTCTCTCTCTCTCTCTCTCGCAACTTCGTCTTTACGGCAAGTCACGACTTTCTTCCTTCTCGTTTGATAAGTATCGTTTGATATTATGTCTGACCGCAAGATGTGAGTCTCGATGTGAAAGTATAGGTGTGTGTGTGTGTGTGTGTGTGTGTGTGTGTGTGTGTGTGTGTGTGTGTGTGTGTGTGTGTGTGTGTGTGTATGTGTGTAAGTATGTGAATGTGGGTGCTGTACATGTGAGGGCATGGCGAGTGAGTGTATGTCTAGGTGTGGTGTGACCCGAACATGTCTAAATATGTCTGATGTGCGAGTGTATGTGGTGTCGGAATGTCTAATAATGTAATTGTAGTTACGGCCACCACTGCACGGCCTGTAATGGGATAGTTGTAGATTAGTCATGTTGGTGCCGCGGCTCTGGGGCCTAACTCTGGGCCGCCGGACTACGACACATGTACACAGCTACACAACCCTTCGTCTCCGTTGTTTGTGTATTTGGGACGAGATATACCGGTGAAAACTCGGATCTTGAGCCAACAGTAATATCAGGGTTCTAGCCAGGTCAAAATAGTAGAGGTGGGCATGGGAAACACCCCGCATCCCATTTTTCTACTTTCCAATATTGTCTTGCCATGTTAAATGCAACGTATAGGGCGAATCCCGACTTCGCCCCAGACAAATATGCCTTTATGAACAATCTAATAGAGACTTTCGACTGCATTTTCGTTGAATTGTTTGAAAAAAAGGAAAATCGGAAATGAGAAGGGGTGACACTTTTCACAGGGGGGACATGTAGAGGGGGGGGACATGTAGAGGGGGGGGGGACATGTAGAGGGGGGGACATGTAGAGGGGGGGACATGTAGAGGGGGGGGGGGCTGCGCCCCCCCCTTTGGCTAAAACCCTAAATATGTAAAGAGAAAAAGGACCTATAAGTTACTCTTTATGACTAACAGTTCACAAAGGAAACGAGATAATAATTATACAGTCAGATAGTGCGACAACAAGGCACAAAACTGACAAAGATATTGAGATATTCGTTGACCTGAAACTGAGCTCCATTGCATATACGAAGCGCAAACCAGCAACCTTCCAACAGCAATGAGCCTTCCCAGTTGGGAGATTGTTGGTTTGCGCTTCGTAGATGTGTTTGAGTTAGGTGTCAGGCCGATGAATCATCAGAATGTCTCAATATCTATGTCAGTTTTGTGCCTTATCGCACTATCTGACTGTACATTACACAAGAGATATTGGAAGCTGTGTCGCAACTCTGAGTTTCACGTATTACTACGATCATGCTGTATATTATCTCGTTAACTTGATGGGCTGTTAGTCATAACTAACGACTTAAAGGTCCTTTTTCTTTTTAATTATACACGTACTAAGTTATTTTCCTGTCCCCTTTGCGGTACAGTCAGACCTCACTTAACCGGTCCTCTTTTATCCGGATCCCTCGCTTTCCGGGAAAAAATTGCTGGTTACCGATGTGCAGCATACGTTACGCATACAACATAACCAGACCTCGCGATCCGCACACTGGTACATGATTTTGTGCGCAAACTGTTGGAAATGTGTACAAAAAGCTTCGTCGTATCCGGTTGCACGTGGCTTGCAGAAGCTAGAATCAGGGAGTTGTACAAACAAAAGAAGATCCTTCTCCTGCTGAATGCATGCGGATAGCACTCAGTTGCATGCTCGTGTCATTTTTCTCGCTGGTTTTACATACTGTGCACGCTAGTTGTACTGCATAGGACCCGTATACGTGTATGTACGATGCTGCCCCTTTTGATGTGCCACATGCATACACAGTATGTGTGTTCGGTTATCCGGTTCCCTCGCCTATCCGGATATTTTTGTGGAAAATGGATGTGTGCGGGTTAAAGGGGAAGTTAAGGCAAAAATTAAAATTTCACCAGTTGTAGTCTTCGGGGTGCTGAGTCGAATGGTCGTGGTCCGAGGAAGCTGAGACGCTCCCTTCCTACTTGAATCCCAATCGAACTCGCGCACTTCCACCGAAACTGGGTGACTGCGCCCTACTAGATGGGGATTTGTATGCAAAATGTCACTAAAAGCGCCATTTCGTTCTTATAAAAGCATGGATGACCGCGATTGGCCCATATGTTGTAGTCTTTTGGACGCTGAGTCGATTGGTTTTGGTCCGAAAAGGCTGCGATGCAGCGTTCCTCCTTTATTCCCAATCGAACATGGTTGAACAAGCGGTCACGTGCTCCTGCGTACGCCAGTCACCTGGTCACCGTGCCTGCAGGGTACAACTTACTAGCCTGTTTGACCTTTTTTGGGTGCAATCCTGTCACTCGAGTTGAACTCGAGTTGAACCTTGGTGTGAAAGTTGTCGCCTGCTGGCGTGGTGCCCAGGTGATTTGGGCACCCAGGAGCACGTGACCGCTTGTTCAACCATGTTCGATTGGGAATAAAGGAGGAACGCTGCATCCCAGCCTTTTCGGACCAAAACCAGTCGACTCAGCGTCCAAAAGACTACAACATATGGGCCAATCGCGGTCATCCGTGCTTGTATAAGAAGGAAATGGCGCTTTTAGTGACATTTTGCATACAAATCCCCATCTAGTAGGGCGCAGTCACCCAGTTTCGGTGGAAGTGTGCGAGTTCGATTGGGATTCAAGTAGGAAGGGATCGTCTCAGCTTCCTCGGACCACGACCATTCGACTCAGCACCCCGAAGACTACAACTGGTGAAATTTTGATTTTTGCCTTAACTTCCCCTTTAAGCGAGGTCTAACTGTACAATCGTTTTGACGAGCTGCTTAATAGTGCCTTGAATGAGTAGCACAGGAGAACTGACCTTGTGCTGTGGTGGCTGGGCACAGACGTTGCCGTTACGGTGACGTTTGTCGCTAACCATGGGGTGACCCGTGTCAATTTGCCCATTTCCGTGACCTTCATCTGCAGTCGGAGCCTGGGTCCGGCGTCGACGTGTGAATGCTCGTTGCGTCGGTGTTGCCTGGCTAGAATGGGTGGCTCGGCGTGTCACGAGTTCATCCCGTGGAGCTGGTGTGAGTTGATAGGTGGCGAGCAGAGCCTGTGGAGTATGGTGCGTATGTAGAAAGGGGGCGGGGAGGGGCGAGGCACAGCAATGAGCGTATACTTATAGTCATATTAATTTTATGACCAAATGTTCCATAGTTTCACAGCCGGAATATACGATATTACGTGACGTGGAATTTTCCATCAAATGGGTCGAATTTTTGTCGTCATACGCCAAATTTCGACGCGAGCTGGAGTTCGCTCGTTTTATGACCAAATGTTCCATAGTTTCACAGCCGGAATATACGATATTACGTGACGTGGAATTTTCCATCAAATGGGTCGAATTTTTGTCGTCATACGCCAAATTTCGACGCGAGCTGGAGTTCGCTCGTTTTATGACCAAATGTTCCATAGTTTCACAGCCGGAATATACGATATTACGTGACGTGGAATTTTCCATCAAATGGGTCGAATTTTTGTCGTCATACGCCAAATTTCGACGCGAGCTGGAGTTCGCTCGTTTTATGACCAAATGTTCCATAGTTTCACAGCCGGAATATACGATATTACGTGACGTGGAATTTTCCATCAAATGGGTCGAATTTTTGTCGTCATACGCCAAATTTCGACGCGAGCTGGAGTTCGCTCGTTTTATGACCAAATGTTCCATAGTTTCACAGCCGGAATATACGATATTACGTGACGTGGAATTTTCCATCAAATGGGTCGAATTTTTGTCGTCATACGCCAAATTTCGACGCGAGCTGGAGTTCGCTCGTTTTATGACCAAATGTTCCATAGTTTCACAGCCGGAATATACGATATTACGTGACGTGGAATTTTCCATCAAATGGGTCGAATTTTTGTCGTCATACGCCAAATTTCGACGCGAGCTGGAGTTCGCTCGTTTTATGACCAAATGTTCCATAGTTTCACAGCCGGAATATACGATATTACGTGACGTGGAATTTTCCATCAAATGGGTCGAATTTTTGTCGTCATACGCCAAATTTCGACGCGAGCTGGAGTTCGCTCGTTTTATGACCAAATGTTCCATAGTTTCACAGCCGGAATATACGATATTACGTGACGTGGAATTTTCCATCAAATGGGTCGAATTTTTGTCGTCATACGCCAAATTTCGACGCGAGCTGGAGTTCGCTCGTTTTATGACCAAATGTTCCATAGTTTCACAGCCGGAATATACGATATTACGTGACGTGGAATTTTCCATCAAATGGGTCGAATTTTTGTCGTCATACGCCAAATTTCGACGCGAGCTGGAGTTCGCTCGTTTTATGACCAAATGTTCCATAGTTTCACAGCCGGAATATACGATATTACGTGACGTGGAATTTTCCATCAAATGGGTCGAATTTTTGTCGTCATACGCCAAATTTCGACGCGAGCTGGAGTTCGCTCGTTTTATGACCAAATGTTCCATAGTTTCACAGCCGGAATATACGATATTACGTGACGTGGAATTTTCCATCAAATGGGTCGAATTTTTGTCGTCATACGCCAAATTTCGACGCGAGCTGGAGTTCGCTCGTTTTATGACCAAATGTTCCATAGTTTCACAGCCGGAATATACGATATTACGTGACGTGGAATTTTCCATCAAATGGGTCGAATTTTTGTCGTCATACGCCAAATTTCGACGCGAGCTGGAGTTCGCTCGTTTTATGACCAAATGTTCCATAGTTTCACAGCCGGAATATACGATATTACGTGACGTGGAATTTTCCATCAAATGGGTCGAATTTTTGTCGTCATACGCCAAATTTCGACGCGAGCTGGAGTTCGCTCGTTTTATGACCAAATGTTCCATAGTTTCACAGCCGGAATATACGATATTACGTGACGTGGAATTTTCCATCAAATGGGTCGAATTTTTGTCGTCATACGCCAAATTTCGACGCGAGCTGGAGTTCGCTCGTTTTATGACCAAATGTTCCATAGTTTCACAGCCGGAATATACGATATTACGTGACGTGGAATTTTCCATCAAATGGGTCGAATTTTTGTCGTCATACGCCAAATTTCGACGCGAGCTGGAGTTCGCTCGTTTTATGACCAAATGTTCCATAGTTTCACAGCCGGAATATACGATATTACGTGACGTGGAATTTTCCATCAAATGGGTCGAATTTTTGTCGTCATACGCCAAATTTCGACGCGAGCTGGAGTTCGCTCGTTTTATGACCAAATGTTCCATAGTTTCACAGCCGGAATATACGATATTACGTGACGTGGAATTTTCCATCAAATAGGTCGAATTTTTGTCGTCATACGCCAAATTTCGACGCGAGCTGGAGTTCGCTCGCATCGTTTTCAAATGCATGAGCCAAATAACGAGAGCGGAACTCTCGCCTCACATCAAAGTCACGTGCAGCTTAGTATCTCTAAAGTCTGGTCTGGACCTGTGTATGTAGCATTGGATCTCCTGGTCTTGTTTCCAACACTGCTGGTTGGTAGTGCCAAGCTAACCTTTCAACACAGCCGAATTCATAGCAGCCGCATGCTCCCTACCCCCTCTTCCGTCATTTCATGCATGTGCATAAGATTATTCTCCTCTCGTCTGTACTCTCTCCCTCACTTTATCCATTGATTGATGACTCTGGTTAGGAAGAAAGAGCAAACAAGGCTCCAGAAAATGCTCCGGTTTCCAAATCAGTTTCCGAGCTGACGAATCGTATATGTATGTGTGCAGCCTCAAGGCCGTGAATTTTACGAACATATGGGGGACATGTGCTGAAGAATCAGCGTTTGACTGAATTTTGAACGTAACTATTTTCAAATGGTTTCCATGTCTGCCGTAAGCGGCTGGGTGTTTGGTCAAACTCGCATTCAATTAATCTAACAATTAATCTACTGTCGTCCCACCCGCCTCTGTGGATTCACAGAAAGCGTGAGTTTCGAAGTCGGAAAAAAATGTTGAACGGCCTCTGCTTGGATGACAGTTACACCATAGCTTAGTGGGTAGAGCATCGCTGGTCTCAAGCGAAGGTCCCTGGTTCAAGTCCTGGTGGTGGCAGTCAATTGTTTCTTCAGACTTTTCCCGCTTGCATTTTTTACCCTCAGACTAATGAACAAAAGTAGAAAGGAAAAGGACGTAATTATGGAAACGAGTTAAGAGTAACTCTCCACCACCGTAACTATATACAGTCAGAAAGTGAAACAACTAGGCACAAAACTGACAGAGTACTGAGACATTCGACGTCCTGACACCTAGCTTCAACACATCTCCGTAGCGCTAACCGACAGCCTTCCAATTTGGAAGGTTCAAGGTTATGGAAAGACCAAAGAGGGGAAGGCAAGCGCAACGAAAACAAGCCCAGCACAAGCTACAGTCCCAACGGAACAAAGAATGTCGATTGTTACTCGTTGTTTCACTTTCTGACTGTATAGTATCTAGTTACAGTGGTGGACAGTTACTCTAAACTCGTTTCCATATGTCTATTTCCTTTCTACTTTATTATTGGCTCAATACCCGAGTTACTAATGAGCAAAAGAACATAAACATTTGACTTACAGACTGAGTTTGGCGTGCTACTGAGGCAGCCTCCCTGAACAATTCTTCAGCTTCAGCAGCAGAAGGTCGCTGTGCTGGGTCGTTAGAGAGGCACCTCAGGATGAATGGCTTCAGCATGTGGCTTTCCTCCAGCCGAGCTAGGTCCTTCTTGCGTCGAATGGCATCCGGGATATCCCTCTCGCGGCCATCGACCACTTCCGTTCTTGGTGACCACAGAATATCGTAGGAAGGCATGTGGTCCGTGAGCACACTCAACGCCAGTACACCAAATGCGTACATGTCCACACTTGTGTCGTACTTGCAAGAGAATTGTTTGCCAGTGAAAGCTTCAGGAGCCATATAGAGATGACCACCGGGGCAATCCGTCATCTTGGTGTTGGCTCGGGCTGATTCTCCCTCGCCCGCACTGCCATGAAGCAATCGCGAGACCCTGACGTCCGTTATCTTTGCTGCTTGTCTGTCGTGCGTGACGAGAATATTGGACAACGTCAGGTCGCGATGGATGATGTTGTTGTCATGTAGGTGAGCTAGACCCGCAGCGATATCTCCCAGGTATCCGAGCAGAGTGGCATTGTCACGTCTTCCAGAGCCGATAGCATGTTTCTCCAGCTCGGAACCAAGGTGCTCCATAACGATCGCTGGCATGTGGTTGATTCTCGCCAGCCCGTGGAGGCGCACCACGTTCTCGTGATCCAACGTTCCCTGCCGCTTGAACTCATCACCGAACTTTTTCAGCCTTTCTCTGCGTTCTGCATCAGGTACGTTCAACGAGAACGGAAGCAAGGCCTTAGCAACCGCTGTTTGGCCACGGTAGTCGCATTGGTAAACGATTGTTCCCGATCCTCCACCCAGCACAACATCCTCGCGAACATTTACATCTTTCAGAAAGATGAAATCCTCGCCCTCCAACCCAAGGTCTCGTAGGAATTGTTCATCGCTGGCCATACTCGCTGTCTTGAACAGATATCAGGCAATGTGAGTCATTAATCGTCCGGAGGATGTGGAATCCGTGCCAAAAACGTAACCGAGCACCGGGTCCAAAGGAGGAGTAAGACACAAAAGTATCTTTATTTCATTCCGCTTTGCCAGTGATCTGCAGTGTAGCGAGTATGCTTTTCCACATTATAGAGGTTTTGCAGCGCGAACGTTCGCATGGATTTTCGCGTCTTGACTTGCGAATGTTCGCGCCAAGTAGTTTAGAGAGGTCTGCACGACGAAGTACCGTAACGAAAAAGCTAACGAATATTCGTAAACCGGCGTGAGGCTGCGCACAACGTGTGAACTTTTTCGTAGTAGGTCAACGCTAGCGCTGTGTATAGCACTCTGCAGCCAGATACGAAAAGAGTGAAGGTGAATTATCAGTATTTTTAGTACGGCAAGTAGGGTCCACTGCCGCAGGCATTGGTGGGAGATCTGCGCCACGCCAATGCCGGATTGCTCGGGAACCTAGACGCTCTGCAGAGCCTGCGAGCCATTGCCCATGACCGACCCGCATGGCGAGATCTATGTATGAAGATCTGTGCATCGTGATATTCCAACAGATCCTGAAACAGTCAAACTCAGGAAATAGCACTATTATTATCACTCAGGCTGCAATATTCAATGACATAATTATAGACATATTCATAAATTACATATCTTCAATACCCATGAGCTACATTGTATATGATAATTATATCATTATATCATCGTTCTAGCTCAATTTCTTTCCCCTGTCATAGTCCTGTTTATCATGTTCAGCATAAGCGAAGTTGTGGATCATGCTTGCATGGTTGACTCCAACGCGTACATGCAAGTAATAATATTTATAATTATTATAAATAATAAGTAGGGTCCAGCGGATTCTGCCGGCAGAAAAATTGGCAGAATTCGGTCCTTTTTCTGGTAAGTTTCGAGCATGTTTGGTATGTGGAGACATGGAGCAGAATTCGAGGAATTGCCCGCCATAAGGCTTGTATGGTTCTGACAATTTTTCTGCTTTTCGAGCAGAGTCTGCTACCTTTTCGAGTAGAATCCGCCGGTCCCTAACTGCAAGTGACGAAAAATCAGTTTCGTAGATCTGCTCTGTTTCAGTCGCGTTTGGACTTTATTTTCGTCATTCGAACGCGGACAGTCAAGATCTGTTGTAAATCCAGCAAAGTCAATCCAATTTGCTGATGACATTGAGGTTGAATTCAGCCACACGTCATGTCATCTCAGCTAATCCCTCCACAGCAGTCACAAAGCTCAGTGACTGGCTACGTCAACGTGGCCTGATTCTCAATGAGACAAAGAGTCATCTCCTAGCACTGCTCAGTAGCAGTGTATGCCGGACGCAAACAGGCAACACCACCGATCGAAGTCACCTGCGAGAGAACACCCCGCCCGCAAGCCTCCTCAGTCAAGTACATGTATCTTGGAGTGACCGTGGACAACACGTTGACATTCAAGGAGCGCAGGTTCTGCTGAATCGAGCAGTCCGCACTGTCTTTGGTGTAGATCTGCCCACGCAACACTCAGCTGAACCTTTGCTGACCCGCCTGGGAGTTTTCCAGGTATCAGAGCACTTCCACCAGAACACCTTGGCTCTTGTGTGGAAGAGCCTACATGGTGAGACATCGCAGTCCGTCACGCAACTAATGACTCCACAAATGACCAGAGAAACCCACCTTCAGCAGCAGAACGGACTCAGTCTTCCAGTTGCAAGAACAAACGCTGGCAAGTCGAGGTATGCCTTCAACGCTACAGGTAAATGGAACAGCTGATTACCTGGAAACTTCCGCTCTAGCACAACGCTGGAGACCTTCAAAGCTGCAGCAGTACCCTACGCAATTGGTCATTGACTGTGCGCTGCCTGCTGTATTCCTTGCTAAATACATGCAACAGTAGGAAATGCCATGTTTGACAATGGATCCGTACTATTGATCTCCAGCTGACTATCATTTCCAGTGCATTGTACATTAGGATGCTGTGCTTGGTGAAGTCCTAGCCTTTCTATTATAATAATATTCTTCGGGGCTCCGTTCTTTCGTTCTTCGGCGCTCGACCGTGGGTCTTTGGCTGTGCTTGACTGCTCTCACACCACTTAATTTTAAAAGGGAGCCAGCACGAGGCATTGCAGTCCGAGATACTGTACAAGTCATGTACAAGGGAATGCCCCGGGGCACATCAGGGCACGTTCATTCATGTAACACCAGGGAGTCGTATAGACCCGGGAGGCGACACGCGCATCACTTGTGCACAACCATGATCGACTCAACGATTCAAAATATTACGACCTGCTCGGTGTGGGACAAGTCCGTACATAGGTCATAGCGCCCGGGAAATCCGTACATAGCGTCGTCTTCGTCCTTTCGCTGAACAATTGTGGTCAGACTTTCGATCTCCATTGCCGAAATACAGCCATCTGTGGCCATCGCTGAGGAGTTCACTAATAAAGGGGCTTGTTCACTGGCTTACTCACTGGCTTTGCACTGCCACTCGAACTCTGAGGCACTTTGACCACCTAAGATGAGGTAATCCTTTCTTTACAAATTGCCTCAATATTTTCTCACCTTTAGGGCAATGAAGTAATTTTTTTCCTCGTGACTAACTTCGACCGACCAAGTTGCCCTGTCCCAGTGATCTACAATACTTATATTGCACATTTGTGAAATATTGGACCTATCCAGATAAACGAAATGACTTATATTCGAAATTACATTTTCCAAAGTTTTCCTTCACAAATAGTCCCAATTTGTTCTCACCTTTAGGGCAATGAAGTAATTTTTTTCCTCGTGACTAACTTCGACAGACCAAGTTGCCCTGTCCCAGTGATCTACAATACTTATATTGCACATTTGTGAAATATTGGACCTATCCAGATAAACGAAATGACTTTTATTCGAAATTACATTTTCCAAAGTTTTCCTTCACAAATAGTCCCAATTTCTTCTCACCTTTAGGGCAATGAAGTCAATTTTTCTTCAGGACTAACATCGGCTAACAAAGTGGCGCTGTCCCAGTGATCTACAATACTTATAATCATTGCACATGTGAAATATTGGGAGTCACAGAGTGAGGAAATGGCCTAAATTGAAACTTGAACTGTTCTGCCAAGTTTTATGCAGTGAACGCAGAGCTGAGAGCCCGCAAGAGCCATCCCGGAAGATCTTGTGCACCACCAACCGAACCTTCGGTGAATGTTCACAAGGTTAGAAGCTTGCACAGATAACACACATTGGATGCTAATAGTAATACAATGCACTCAGGAATGTGTGCAAATACGACAGAATTAATTCCAAATAAAGTCAACAATAGCTGCCTCAACACAGTGCTATCAACCTTCCGTATTTTCCATATTTGTATGGAAAATCACTACTTCGTCCACGCTATGGATTTTGAGAAAAATGTACGGAAAATTGAACGGGATTGATCAGTATGTATAAGCATTGCAAGTGCAAGCTGAGCGATGAAAAGAAGAGAACCGAGTGGAAAGAAAACGCTGCAGTGGAGAGTCCTTAGAAAAGACTTAAAAAATATCAATAATATCGCTGCACGAGATCATCCTTATAAGTTATAACGTCGACTGATCGTACTGTGGTTGATTCATACGGCGGTAAATACACACCTGCCTACACACGCTCTCTAAACTGAAAAGTTATTCTGGCACAGAGCTCTCCTTCCCGCCACCACCACCATCATCAGTTCGCGTCTGGCACCTAGTCGATGCAGGGTGAGTGGTGTCCGACATAGCAGGCTGGTACATCAGGTAGCGTATGGCGCATAGCAGATGACACAGCAACAACATAGCTTGATTGCGACGTACCTTTCGTCCCGGCTGGACTCATCGGGCAATCTTCTTCTTAGATGTCTTCACAAGGAGCTTGACTCAGGAGAATGAAGTTGAAGACTCCACTGCAACTGCACTTATGGTTGGTTCATATGGTGGTAAATACACACCTGGCAATATGGGGGTAAATACACGCCTGCCCAGACACGCTCTCTAAACTGCAAAGTTATTCTGGCACAGAGCTCTCCTTCTCACCACCACCACCACCACCATCAGTTCGCGCCTGTCGCCTAGTCGATGCATGGTTAGCGGTATCCGACATAGCAGGCTGGCACATCAGGTAACGCATGGCACATAGAAGATGGCAACGACATAGCTTGATTGCGACGTACATTTCGTTCTCTCGGTTGTGCTGTAGCCTGAAAAAGCAAATAAGACAATGCATCCACATGACACAGACAAGTAATTACTGTTACAAATAATGCATACTGCTTGATAACAGAGAAAGAAAGTCAGTGGTCACACAAGTTTTTGCACAAGTTTTTGGTCGTCCCTGAAACGAAGATCGTTCCAGGGGGGGAGCTAAAATCTCAGTCGACTGACGCTATGCATACACATGTACATGGATGCGATTTTCGTTGTCCATTCATTTCGGAGAGTGGAGAGGAGGTCCGAGTACGAAATGAATGATGTTTTTTTCAGGGATGACTAATCACTTTTGCGATGACCCATTATTGCATCAATTTATCGTCTGAACTGCGCAATTGAGTCCCAATTTCATTATGTTGGGTCCAGATTTCAAGACTCGTGAAGTTCGAGGCGAAAAGCAGGCCGATGAAGGGACGCCAGTAATTCAGTCTAGTCCGGTGTCATGGAGAGGGGCCGATGAACCGGCAACAAGAGAATTCAATACGCATGCTACTCTTCAGTTCATTGCTGGGGAAGACTACTCAAGGCCACGTCACTCTGGCAATTTAATGTACAAATCAGCAGCAACACTTGCAAACGTATTCCTACCAGCTGACCAGCAAGTTACCACCCATCAGCTCTTCAAATAATTTCAACTTAACAAAGAGAGGAGATGGACAGATCGGAAAGTATCGTGGCAAGCTCCGGACAACACACGTCCGGCCCTATGTAACAACAGTGGAAAGTGCGTGCCATGGTATATTTTCGAAGGCATATCAAGAACCAGCTAATGTGGACTGGGAGCCCATTTGCATCGTCCGATCAGCTGCTACAAGTGCTGTGAGCCAATGGCAAACACGTTTGACAGAGACTACTACCCCTACTGAATGCAACTTTGGCATGGCAGAGATCTACAAGCACGTTATCTTATCTATCAATAGAGTTGTATCCTCGTATGACTATGTGAAGTGTGAGGTCGTACTGTACTGCAGACGCGTCTACGACCTGGTTGGAAATGTACGCAACAGTTCCCACCCTCTTGACCAGAGATCGCACACACCCTAGGGTTTTGATGGGTTTGTACGACTCCCAGCTCTTGACTTTTGTTGGGTGTACGAGACGCACGGACAATTTTCTTAGGGTGAGTACTTTTTCATGTAGTACTGAATGCGGCAAGCAGGACTCGCCCATCCGCCCCTCCCCAAATGGATCTACTCGAATGGTTCCGGAGGTAGGGGTGCTCTGGCGGGATTTTACGACATACACAAGCGCGCACACACGCACACAATATACACACGCACGCACACACATACACACGAACGCACGCTATGTCGCACGTCTTGGGCATGGCTTCGTGAATACAAATAATAATTTAATGTTATAATTTATAGGATCCAAATGTTAGAGCAGCTTTACAAAACCTACCGTTCAATACCGGATCATCTTGTGACAGCTTCCTTGCAACACCCATGACTTGACCCCACTTCGTCTTGACGTCGGGAAATCGTTCACACCGGAGTTGGGACACGACTCATTGAAATCCAGGCCTATCTGCAGCTGGGAGCAGGACAGAGCTGATGGACGTCAGCAGCGGCTGTAGAACAACCATAAACGAGTCTTCTTTCTCCGCAGTCAGGCGGGACAGCAGCTTTGAAACGCAAGCTTCTTGCCTTCTGTGGGTCTTTAGCGGCTGGGATTCGGAACGCTCTGTAGAAACCATTGAACAAGTACTGCACTCTATCAACCCACAAGTATTTCTTCCAATTCATGATTATTCGCAACTTTTCATGCAGTACGTGCACCAGATCAGAAGCCGCTAAGTAGCAAGGTTGAAAGTTTCAAGACAAATTGAAAAATATAATAACATAGAAAATTAGAATTCAAACCATACCTGTGGCCCAAGCCAATACAGACTGAGCGTTCACGCGAAGAGAACGTAGATCTACGTCAGCTGAGGTTTCCTTAGGATCAGGAGGTGATTCTTGACCCGGATCTGGATCGCGATCAGCAGCACTCTCTGCCTCAATCACGATCATCAAATGCAACTAATTACTTGGAAAAGTAGTTTATTCTTCTTCTTCTTTTCGAGCTACGATTTCCCACGATCCTATCGATCCTGCACGAGTCCGTTCCCCAGGCCAAGGAGTGCACTCCCAAACTAAGTCCCATGGCATAAGTACGCGGAGTAGTTGGTTTATAACTCAGGGCACGCACCGGGGATATCTGAGGGAAAAGTGGGAGAAAGTGCCGCGAGTCAATCATAGTCGGCCCGGAAGGCCTCGTGTCGCCTCCCGGGTCTATACGACTCCCTGGTAACACTAAGTCTTGTGGGACAGTTTGATGCATAATGACTAATGTCATGTCATGCATGGCGCAGGATCGCCATGGAAACTCTAAATCCTGGGATACGGCGTTACTGCGCAACAAGAAAAGCCGATTTTGAAACGCGATAGCCAGAGAATGCTCGTGCAGCTCTTTGCTGGCGACCCGGCCATCGTAGAGCAGGTAGATCCACAGTACAGTCAGTACTCTGTAGCAGCACGTACCGCTACTTGTTCTGAGCCTGTACTAGGCTGTAGTCCTTTGCCTCTTGATTTTAGAATCTGATAAGAGTGAGACTCAGAGGAGTGCTGAGATAGTCCTTCGCGTATGTGTGTTTCATAATAATTATTGTGAAGTTCGTTATCGTTCACATTGACCAGGTGCTCTTTACTGTTGGTAAACTGCAGTATTATTTGTTGGACTCGTGTCTAGTCTTACTGCGGGCTAGCAGATTTGGAGTCGGAGCGCTATCTCTTTGAGATAATTATTATTGATTTGTCCTCAAGGATACAACACGTAGGCTGGTACTAGTCGCTTGTGCTGAGTCTCTCATTTCAAGTCGACACTGGTCAAACATCAAATACTGTACTGTAGCAACTGTCGACCTTTCACGGTGGTGGGAGGTACGGTAGATGTGCTGACGATTCGACAGTCTGCGAGAAACGTGTTTGCAAGCGCTGGTGTTATGTGTGTGAACCACGAAGAAATAATCACCCTTGAGTTCTACCAGGCGAAAGATTTTTCACCCCCTGCCCTGAGAGCATAGAGGTGAAACGCAAAGTTAGTTTCTGTACAGCAGTCATTAGCAGCAGAACCACCTGTAGGACTTAGCCTTCAGCAGCGGAGCAGCACGGTCGGGTGAAGACACACTTCCAGTCGGTGTTTGGCTGCGCAACGCAACGACCATGTCGTCGGTAAGCTTGTGCCTGCCTGGCTGATTTCTGTATTCTCTTTAGCCTGCCCGAACTACAGTCGTCCGAATCATTGACCAAGAGGGCATGGGTAGTCAGCTGAATAACATGTAACGCCGGAGTAAAATGTCATTTTTCAGCTGCAGAAATTATAAGTAGGAGAAATATCCCTTTCGGTGCGCGATAAGTATTTCAATGGGCAGATATACATGTATCTTTCATGTACTGTCGCGGACATGGAAATCCGGTCGACTTACTGGGGCCTGCGCCCTCAGCGTGTACAGAATGCTGCGTACAGGGCACATGTTGATCCGATGCGACTAGCGAGCTGCAGCGCATAAAATGTATTACGTGTACCGCTTATCCACGGCTAGCTGCATGGCCAGCACCCTGGGGCCGCTAGACGTGCCACCGGATTTCCATGTCCACAACAGTATAAACCTCAAGGTGCACATCACTACAGCAGCAATTTAATATAGCGCACACACACACACACACACACACACACACACACACACACACACACACACACACACACACACACACACACACACACACACACATGCAACTAGGGCAGAAAAGCAGCTTGTTCCACTGACTTCTTGCCATCGTTTCCGAACCCTGGGCTGGGGCTGCTGCGAGCCCAGTTGGTCTACACTAATGTCTGTTGACGTATTCGAATTTTCATGTACTGCAGTCTATGCACTAGGCCTTGGCGGATAATGCTCGAAAAGGTGGCGGATTCTGCTCGAAAAGCAATGAAATTGGCAGAACCATACAAACTTTATGGCGGGCAATTCCTCGAATTCTGCTCCATTTCTTTATCCACATACCAAACATGCATAAAATTACCAGAAAATGTACCGAATTCTGCCAATTCTTCTGCCGGCATTATCCGCCAAGGCCTCCTATGCACAGTTGAGTCACCATGACTACATTGGTATGCAGTGCTTGGTGAAGTCCTAGCCTGCTAGTTCTTCGGGGCGCCGCTCTCTTCCGTTCTTCTGCGCCCGACAGAGGTTTTTGTTGGCTGTGCGCCAGTGCTCTCAAACCACATATTTCAGGAAGCCAGCATGAAGCATTGCGTTCTGAGATACTGTCCAGGGGAATACCTCAGAGTACAATCAAAGACATTAGTAGTCACTGGACATGTACACTGTATATACATGTACACGTACACTCTATATTACTTTTTTATTTTTTTATTTATTTTTTATACACGTACCCTGTACGACAGAACTGTTTCGTCCAGTTTGTGCACTCGTCAGCGCAGCACAGAGGAAATGAGGCCAAACCTTGTAGCAATGAAGAATAAATTTTCCAAAGCCAGATTTAAACCAGGCCCGAACGTACCTTGCCAGAGTGCTCAAACTGACAAGTCAGTGAGCTCTGCATAACGCATACACTTTACACTGTATAATATGTACACTGTATCTGATGCCAGCCCTGCACAGTGGTATGACATCTTGTAGCAACAGAAAGTCAAGAATGGCGGAACTGCCAGGTTCCTATAAATCCATAGAACGGCCGGCCTATGCCATGCACATGTATCTTATCATGCAGTACTGTCGGCCACCGGAGAACGGAGCGCCAAAGAACAAACAGACCAGGGTTTCACCCAGCGCAGCATACCAGTGTATACACGGCGACTCAACTGTGCGTAAACTGTAGTAGAGTAAAACCTGTGACTAAGGACCACCCCTTGGGGCCGCCGGAGAGAGCGGTCTTTAGTGGCAGGCGGTCCTTAGTTAGAGGTTTGCACTGTACAACCGTAATAATTATAATGAATGTGAGACCGTGCCTGGCGAAGTGATCTTTAGTACCGGGCTGGTCGCTAGTCATGGTGGTCTTTAGTTACAGGTTTTACTGTAGTACCAGGCTGGTCGCTAGTCATGGTGGTCTTTAGTTACAGGTTTTACTGTAGTACCAGGCTGGTCGCTAGTCATGGTGGTCTTTAGTTACACGTTTTACTCTACATGAGAATAATAACAGTGTAGACTAGGAGGCTGACTCCCTAACCTAGTTCTTCTGCACCCGACAATACTGTAGTGTTGTGCTGGTGTATCAGGGGATTCATTGCACACCGTTTAAAATCATCCTCTTGTGATTTTTTTAAATGTTATCACCAAAGACAAGAGGCAGTTTTTCAGTGCCTGCTCTAGGATTTCAAGCCAACCGGGTACAAGTGTACCTGGCACAACAGTCTTCCAACCGGGTCAGAGGCGGGTACATTCAAGTGCTGCCAGTCTACTGCATTTGCAGCAGGGAGCTGAAAATAGTGTAGGACACCCTGATGTACGATGTGTGTGTACCATTTATGTGTTCCCAACCCGGTCACAAGTGACCCGATGTTCTTTTGCCAAATGGGTCCGAGTTCCCCCAACCGGGTCGCTGACCCGGCTGACCCGGCTCTGGAGCAGACACTGGCCGTATTTCTATTAAGAATTGGGCCGGGCAACCCACTGCATTATGATCTTTTCATTTTTGCTCTATTTGTGGCATGTTCCTAGGGAGATAGTGCCACACCTGCCACCTCCGTCGCTAAGTCATCACATGGAACGGAGAAAACGTCGGATGTCTACTCCGTTGATCCGAAACTGCCGGAACGCTTCAATAATCCCGGTATGCATCATGTGTATGTGTGTGTGTGTGTGTGTGTGTGTGTGTGTGTGTGTGTGTGTGTGCTTGTGCCGGTGTATGTGTGTATGGATGGATGTATTTTGTGTTTGTTTGTGGGGCAGGGGGGGGGGGGGAGGGGGTGTCCTATATGAGAACAGGTAATAGCTATATTGAGAGATCGTGTGAAAGTGGGACTATTTTGTCACAAGATAACGGTCGGGATACTTGTCATGGCTTAGCACGCAGATGCCGATTGTTCAGCTGGCTGTGTTTCTCACCAAATTGCTCAGCCTGTTGTTAGGCTGCTGTGCAAAATGTAGCAGCCAAATGCTGTTGATGATAATAGTAGGGCCCTGAAGATTGAATAGGCTGGACTTTTATCATAATATATTATACCAGATTTCCATATGCACACGGTGGTGCCAACACAGTATTCTTTATCCACTGACGATGTTGTTCAGAACAACGAAACGTCTGGAGAAGTATCGTAAAAATTTCTATCGTTATTAAATGTTATCAAATATACCACTCTTTGGTCTAGAAAGAATACTTTTTGATATTACAATGAGAGTGAATAATCAACGGCTTGTCCACCAACTCTTTGACAGTGCAGCTTATTGAAATCCATTTGGGTAAGGCAAGTATGCGCCGCGCGTTGCGCAGCCCTAGACATGCGAACGCTGGGCTGCGAAATGGTGCAAGGCGCAAACTTGACTCCCGCGACCGGATGTCATTGAGCAGCACTGGAAGATATGCATGGAAAAGAGGATGCATTGAGTGTTTTTCTGTGTCGAAAATCTGCAGGCTTCTAGTTTTGCGCTGTTTGTGTATTTTTTGGTATTTGGTATTGATTTATTTGAATTCGGTATCTCAACAGTACAATGTACAACTTGGGAAGATCCGAATGACATAGATACATAAACATAAAAGTGGAGTAGCTGCTACAGCTGATCATGTATTCTGTGAATGACTTGCGTGGTTTCCTGCGTGCACGTCTGGCAATGCGTGTGTGTGGCAATGCGTGTGTGTGGTATATTGTCTGTACGGCCGTAGATTGGTTTGAGGGCTACGGTGTCAAAGCCGACAAGCAACATCCAATGTACCGCACCACCACGGCCAGCACCTACGGGTAAGTGATGTCACTGTACACCATGCGCATTCATGGTGGACTGAATAACCATGACAACAAGCCTTACAACCAGGTGGGGTGCCCAGACATCTAGAAACAGCAGCAACGGTATCAGCAGTGACAGCAGCAGCACCAGCACCAGAATCAACATGACCACCACTAGCATCACACGTTTTCACAACCACCACCACCACTACTACCACCACCACCGCCAGAACCACCACCACCACCCCCACAACCACCACCAGAACCGCCACCACCACCACCAACACCATCACTATGACCACCACCAAAGCTGCAGCAATAAAAAAAATTATTCTTGTAATAATTGAAGTATTTAAATAACCGACGAGGAGACAACAGTCGTAAAATAGCAATGAAAAATATCAATTGTGCACTCATAACCATGTATAAACAATTAAAATGAAACAATTCCAGAACGTTTTCGTGTGACTATCATCAGTGGAACAACTGATGATGGTCACACGAAAACGTTTTTTTTACATGGTTTTGAGTGCACAATTGATATTTTTCATTGCTAATAATTGAAGTAAAAATTATAACATGGGGCATTTGGGCCCAATTTTACGAAACCATTTCCCAGATGAGTGGGTCTGTCTATAAATAATTATTGTGAGTCTGTACTTCCTCGTGCAATGCTAATTTACTCATGTTGTGCCTGTGTGTCCATATGGTGTGTGCATGGTGTTTGCATATGTGTCCATGGTGTGTCCATGGTGTGTGTCCATGGAGTGTGTCCATGGTGTGTGCATGGTGTGTGTCCATGGTGTTTGCATGGTCTTTCCGCACCTTGTCTTGTGTTCGCCAACGTGTGCGTACGGCGTACAGGGCAAGGCCACCGTGCGCTCATACGATGCCCACCAAGTTCCGAGGCAAGTCTCAGAAGTTCTCAGAGGTGAGATGACAAAACCGTGATGTTCTGACAAACCCGTATCTCCCCGATTATAAGTCGCACTCGATTATACGTCGCACCCCCTTTTCAGGTGTGAGCCATATTGTTTCAATATAGTCGCGTAGGTAGGATGTCACACTCTACTACAAGTCACATCCCTTCCTTTGCCCTTGAGGTGAACTGTAAACAGGTGCGACTTATATCCGGGGAAATACGCTAGGGTCCAGACTGTGATGTTGCATTGTACACCCTGGTGCTTTGAAGCTAGCAGCAGTCCTGCGGTTGAGCATGCATTGCTCTTGTTGACCCAGGGAATGGGAGTATCTTGGGAGATGCTGACGTCTTGGAATGTGAAATGATGCGAGTGGGGCCCTTCGGTTCCACGCCGCTTTGTGCACGCTTGCACAATCATGGTGCTGCGCTTTGTGCACATTTGCACAGTCATGGTGTTGCTGGACCGGGCCGTGTATCCATAGACCACTGCAGTGTCTGCTCTAGGATTTCAAACCAACCGGGTACACGTGTACAGTCGGACCTCGCTTATCCCCGGGTCCATCGCCATCCTGAAGAAAAATGTTTACCGATCACAGCACCATACATACATACAGTATGTGTGTTCGATTATCCGGTTCCCTCGTCTATCCGGATATTTTTGTGGATAATGATGTGTGCGGTTATGCGAGGAGGTCTGACTCTACCTGGCACCTGGTCAGAGTCGGGGCCTGTTCAAGTGCTGCTACTGTACGCAAGTGGTATTTTAATACCAAAATATTGTACACTAGTATGGAATCGTGCGGGTCTGTCACTGAATTCCTCTCCAACATTAATGTGTTTTTTTTTCTTCTTCATGGCCTGGCACTGTATGTGTGTTCCTGGTGTATGTGTTGTGCATGTTTCGTGTTTCTGCACTGCTAAGGTTAACACCCTGAGTGTTGTATTCTGTGTTTGATCACGATGTGCAGCATCTAGGCCGCGCGGGTATGTACCGTAACGACTCTCTTCACACGACGGTTGACAAGAAGTACTGTGATAAGACATGATGATGGTGGATCAGAATCATCAGCCGCAGCAGCACAGTCGGATAAATGATCCATGCTCCTTTGACTTTCTGCCCACCTGCTTTGCACATCTGCTCGTATCATCTCCGTGTGCAGTAACAACAGCATGATACACATTAACGAGTTTCGTCAGTAGAGCTGATCACGCAGTAGTGTATATTATATCAGAGTATAAACATTGATCAGGTGTAACATTGGAATGAAATTTCCTACCTTTTTTCGTTATTGTTGTTGCTGTAAAGTCCGTCTTGAGATCAAAATAATAACTGCTATACACACATTAATGTTATGCTTCACCGGATTGTTTTACATTCTATGCTAGCGCGGCCTACTCTCTACCAGTACCTACAATATAATGTACCTGCTTAGTGTGAGCAAAAGACAATTCAAGAAATCTCAAGAAGGCATGGGAGCAAACAGCTTGGTTGTGTGGAGTGAAGGAATGCAGGCGAGCTCACGTGCAATACGAAGTTTTGAAATATTCTAAAAGAAAGTGCTCTCGTTTGACGACACCTCCTGGCATACTTACTAGGCTAGTCGTCTACTGAATATGGTTACTATTACAACTATACAACTAGAAGTGTTCCTCTATATTCCATAATTATAAGAGAATCGTGGTTGCATGCTAAACTCGACCAATGTGCCACAAAACCATGCTAGCTAGCAGCTACTGGAAGACTGTAGATAGCAGTCATGTTCGCCTCTGAGAGCATTATGCACAGAATCATGTACAATCACCCACATGCAATACGGTTGGCAGCAGGCCGGTTGACGTGAAGTAATCCGTGTCCAGGTTTAATGTGGTGCATCATCACAGAAGTGACACAGCTTCACCACCCGGTACATTGTTCTGTAGGCAAAATTTCAAGCAAGAAAGATCCCTAAAGTAAAAAAAAGTAAAACTGTTAGCGCGCTTTACTTTTCAACGGATTTCAATGTCCTTGGATTTCCTATCCAAAAGGATATAGACAATTCTAGAAACAGAAACTTGGCATTATGAATGTAGGAAGTTCTGGCCAGATAATTTCGAACTCGTGGATAAGTAGGGACATGTGATCGAATCCATGTGTTCAATGCATTCTAGGTTGCTAACATAACAAACCAGACCAGACACGGTATGGACTCATGATTGTATGTAGGTGTGAACAAGTTAGTTTCTGGCAATGTTGTGGTGTTTGGTTTCCGCCCAACATTGTCGATCTGCATGTTTGCACTAGCGTGCAGCTGAACCAACGCAGCCGAACCAACGTGCCTTGCAATGCTTTGCTAGGCTTTTCTTTCACTGTATCTTTTTGGTCACATATAATACCGTACACTTTTCTTACTCAACAGAATCTTAGAACGAAGAAGGAACGGTCGGTTGTTGTCTTTGGCGGTGTGTCGGATCATAGTGCATGCTACTAGGCGCCATTCGGTTACAGCACTTTTTGGTGCCGAAACCCGGGACTCAGGAGTTTGTGTTGTAACTCGGATTAGTCGGGCGAATTGGGTAGCAGTGCGAGATGGCCAAAGTCGAATGCTTCTTGAGACCGTTCCGCGGGGGTCGGGACGACCTGAGCGAATTCTGGGCGAAGTTCTCAGTTGTCGCGGACTTGCAGAAGTGGGACTCGGACGAAAAGAAGATGGCGAATCTACCGCTCTATCTCGAGGGTGAGGCGTTCACCGTGTGGAACGAGATGGCGGCAGCGGATAAGAAGAAGCCGGCCGATGTGAAAGCGAAGCTGACCGCCGCTTTTGGGATGGCACCGGATCAAGCATACTCGATGTTTACGTCCAGGATCTTGCGAGGAGACGAGTCGGTGGACAACTTCGCAGCGGACTTGAAGAGGCTTCTCACCTTGTCTGGTGAGCAGGTTGATGCTGATGGGAAGAATAAAATAGTGATCGGGCAGTTTCTCTCCGGGCTCCCCTCTCAGTTTGCGAAGGAGCTCCGTATGAGTGGAAAAACGGGCACCATCGACGATTGCGTGGAGTACGTCAGGCGGCTTAGAAGCGTGGAACGATCGATGAAGCCCGGTGTGGCAGCAGTGAGCTACGGTGCTCTAGACGATCGGGCTCCATCAGGCTCTTCCAGGATGACCGCTGCAGCAGGTGTAGGTCGCGACTCCGCAAGACGTGTCCTGTGTTACAAGTGTGGTCAAGTTGGCCACTTCAAGCGGAACTGCCCTGCGAGCACGAGTAGTGGTACCGGTAGCCACAAGCAAGCCAAACACAGTCAGCTGACGTGTTTATTCTGCGACGAGGCTGGGCATATGATGAGAGATTGTGCGGAGTTCAAGGCCTTCAAGCAGAAGAAGCAGCGGGGTGGGAGTGCAGCCGCTGCTCCTGTGCACTCTGGTGATCATGGTGACTCCAAGGTGTTATGCCTGAGCAGTGGAGGTGACAGTCTGCCACGGATCTTTGTGGACATCAAACGGTCCGGCGGTCCAAGCAAGCGTGTAGTAGCTGCTGTGGACACCTGTGCATCCCGCTCCCTTGTAGCTAGCGCCCTGGCAACCGACCTAGCTTTGGATATCAGGCCTACGTCATCGACAATTAATGCGATCGATGGCAGTCCGGTGGATGTCCGTGGCGTCGTGGAGTGTACAATCTCACGGCTGGATAGTGCTGTGGTTCGCCTACGTGAGACCGAGACTGACATGCTGGTGGTGGACGACCTGTCTGTCGTGGAGGCTGATGTGCTGATTGGAGTTAACAGCATCGCGACTTTGGGTGGTGTGCATATGCAGTATGACGCAGGAGAACTGGTGGGGGTTGTATTCGGGACCGTCAGTGCTGCATGCCCATTGGTGCTGGCGTCGAGCACCCCAGATGAGCATCCATCACGCCCCGAGTCGGAAGCACGAGCCGTCGCTGAAGACTTTCACCACGCGGACGTGGAGAAGCTCAGCAATGGCGATTTTGTGCTGCGGGCATCAGATATGATCCTCCGGTGGAGTACGGCTGACAAGGCGTGGGAGGTGCAGTGGCAATGGGCGGACAAGACGGAGCCGACTACGTGCATCGGGTCAGGCCTTGGAGAGTACCCACGATCCAAGCTCTCCAAGGAGCAGGAACAGCTATTTGGAGATGAGGTTGAAAAATGGCTCGGCAACGGCTGGCTAGTGAACCATGGTGAGCCGAGATGTGTGCTGCCTCTGCTCGCTGCTACGCAGGAGCATAAGGCATCAACGCCAGTTCGGCCCTGCCTCGACTACCGGCTCCTCAACCAGAAGCTGACGTCGCACCCTGGCACCGACGCTCCGGCACGTGTGCGAGACCTCGTAAACGAAGAGCTCTCCCGGAACGACACAGAGAGCGTGATCGAAGGAGCAGAGTACAGCGTAGGGGATGCGGTGCTGTTACGTCGGCCTTCCCGGAGCCGCAAATGCCTGGCACCGTACGAGCCTGGGTGGCGCATCGTTCGCGTTGTGTCGCCGTCGACAGTTGTCATCACCCGGGCTGCCTATCCACACTCAGCGGAGAAGATTGTCAACGTGGAGATCATCAAGAGGGATGTCGCCCGTGACTTGGCCCAATCAACAGCGCTGATGGACGACAGTGCAGCGGCTACAGATGGTGGTTATCTGTACCAGCCAGCATCAGTGCTGCCAGGCCCTGAGCCCAACATTGGGGATGGCGGCATTCGCATGTCCCTGCGAGACAGATCTGCCATTAGGCCACCGCAGCGCTATGGCTCCTGAAACTGTACGTGTGCCGTGTTATCAGTCTAGCTTGGCGCGTGCTTAGTTAGGAGCAAGCTAGCAAATGCAAGACCCATTACGCATTTTGCTGTTCTCTTGTTTAGCTGTTGGTGGAGTGTTGTTCTTTTCTTTGGAGAACCTTAGTTCTACGTTTTAGTGCAAGTTCCCTGTTTTGTTGTGTTACCAGGGGGGAATGTGTGATCGAATCCATGTGTTCAATGCATTCTAGGTTGCTAACATAACAAACCAGACCAGACACGGTATGGACTCATGATTGTATGTAGGTGTGAACAAGTTAGTTTCTGGCAATGTTGTGGTGTTTGGTTTCCGCCCAACATTGTCGATCTGCATGTTTGCACTAGCGTGCAGCTGAACCAACGCAGCCGAACCAACGTGCCTTGCAATGCTTTGCTAGGCTTTTCTTTCACTGTATCTTTTTGGTCACATATAATACCGTACACTTTTCTTACTCAACAGAATCTTAGAACGAAGAAGGAACGGTCGGTTGTTGTCTTTGGCGGTGTGTCGGATCATAGTGCATGCTACTAGGCGCCATTCGGTTACAGACACGTTCGAGTGTATAGGGTAGCGTGTGCAGTGCAAGAGCTGTGTATCGCCTGGCGATGTTTTATTTTCAAGAGTACCCATTAAGTTTCGCAATTGAGTCGATTCACCGTCTACCAAACACAAATCCTCATCATCTCTGCTCTCCCTTGGCCATTTCTCACAAATAACAACTCTCTGGAAAGCTATTGATGGCAGCTATGCACTCGTAGAAACTACAACAAGCGCCATTCGTGTGTGCCGCATCGTGACGAAGAGGTCTTCCTGAAGACGTAAAGCCCTCATTTGTAACGATCCGACAATATTTGAGCGTGTGGCGGAATATTTAGTGATCGCCTATTGCATCGATCCACGTGGATTGCATCGATCCACGTGGATCGATATTTGAATGGCTGGTAGTGAGACGGTTAAAAGAGTAAAATGAACACCATGACACAACACACTGGCCTACTCACCTTTTCGAAGCGCATGAAGCGGTGCGGCACTTCCACAGTCGAATCACCCCTGGCAACCCGGATGTAACCGCGGCGGTTCGCTGACACACCGACCAGATGAACCTCTTGCCCAGTCAGGAATATTGGCTCTCCAAACTCTGCCAGGTCACAAAAGCAGCAAGTTCCAAAAAACAAGGGTTGCATCGAACAACGAAAGAAAACATGCCGCTACGTGATACACGTTTAACATACAGAACAACAAGGGTAATCAAGAGTGTTGAGCACTGTCAGCACACTGGGTGCATCCTCCGGTGTGTAACATACAAGTACATGTATCCATAGGAGGCACTAGAAATTAGGTGCATGTACATCTCGGAGCTGCAGGCCTGTCAGATTGCACTGGTCTTGTTTCGCGCTCGTCGTTTACGTATGATACCTTGCAACTGTGGGTGAATGCTGTGCATAGGATTAAAACTTTCCCACAATTGTGGTTGGAATAAAAATAAAATTCTATCCGGGTAGCACGGGTACCTAGTTAATTTTGGATATAGCTTAGACGGTGAGTGTATGCTTGCACTACATAGCAAGTGTACAGTCAGCACGTAGGCGTGCTTTTTATATGCACCAATGTGAAAATACCGTACTCCAACTACCCGGCCGGGTTCTCAGGAGCAAACTGCTACCCAAATGACCGCTCTAATTACGGGTAGCAGGGTTTCCAACGTACCTGATGACAACCCCGCTGCCCTGCCCCATGATTTTGAGGCCCAGAGAAGAGAGATACGAGTATATTCTGTGATGGCATCCGGTGAATGGCAAGTTGCAATGCATAGAGCAGGTTCAGGCAGACATAGTCAAATTATTATTGGAGCAGTGATGTTGGACTAAAGGAAAGAAAAAAAAGGTGTGTCACTCACCTGGGTAGTTCGTAGCCATCTTTCTTGCCTGCGGGAATCCAACCTTGACATTGCCCACGACAGTGTACGGACGTGTTTTCGGCAATGGTGGAGGTGAGAACTACAGAGAGAGAGAGAGAGAGAGAGAGAGAGAGAGAGAGAGAGAGAGAGAGAGAGAGAGAGAGAGAGAGAGAGAGAGACAAATAGAGAGAGATAGGGAGAGATAGGGAGAGATAGAGATGGGGGAAACGGAAGCCGGTGAACACAGGTGGCATACGCATACGCACAAAGTCACAAAATCGAGTCGCCTGATGACTGAATCGTGCAAGAAACCCGGAGTTGCGACATTCTCGGTAAGCCTCCTGTGTGCCTTCTGCGTGCACACACGATCACGTATGTGATTTCTTGCAATTCTACTTGCCCACTATCAGATATGCGTTTAGGTGCTTCCCTTGATGAGGCCTGGGAGAAGAATAAGGTCATTGTGAATATTGGAAACATGACTCCATTACCTGCTGAACTGCCCACTAGCATCAACTGATCAGCTGTGCGCCACATGGCACTCTAGCCTCGTTTACTTTAGTTCTCCCAATCCTCTTCCCCGCCCTGGTATAACTATGTGTTACCTTCCGACATGCTTGGCTTGCACCGTTCATCTAACTAAAATCAGCCTGTAAGTAATGTGCAGGAGATGATGCAACAGTATACGTTTTCATATGAGTATCAATTCAGTTCGTAAAACTAGAGTTACGAAAAAAGCAACTGCTCGTCATTCTATCTGTGCAGGAGATGAAAGATTTTTAAAGAAACCAAAATCTGAATATGTAGCAGAGAGCAGCGATACACAAGTACTGTTCACTGTATCAGAGAGTACTTACACCGTCAGCCGAGTGTAGACATGTGGCAGAGTCATGCTCCACTGCCGGCATGGATATCGTGGTACACTCAGACACACTGCAATATAGTTATGCACAGACAAACGAGAGACAGACAGGTGGATTAACAAACAGACAGACGGACAGATAGAAAGACAGATAGACGGAAAGACGGAAGACAGACAGACGGAAAGACAGACAGACGGAAAGACAGACAGACGGAAAGACAGACAGACGGAAAGACAGACAGACGGAAAGGACAGACAGACGGAAAGGACAGACAGACGGAAGGGACAGACAGACGGAAAGACAGACAGACGGAATGACAGACAGACGGAAAGACAGACAGACGGACAGACAGACAGACAGACAGACAGACAGCCCAAGACACACTAATTGGCAAACACAGGTAGATAGGCAGACAGACACTATGACCGCGTATACACACGTGATCACACAATGCATGCATACGTACACAAACACTAAGTTGCCCACACACACATAAAGTCACAGTTCTAGTGCATATACACATGAGCACATGTGCACATAGGCGCATGAGCACATAAGCGTAGAACCCAGTGTTTCAGCTTGGCTACTACCGTAAAGTTCCGTAAATAAGCCCCGGACGTATACAGAACAAGGGTCTGAAAACTGGGCGATACTTGCGCATGGGCGTTATTTCAGGACTGGGCCTATACAAGGTGCATATTCCATCGCTTGCGTTTTCATAAGCATGCATAACATTTTGCACACATACGCATACACAAGCACAGCATCACCCTGACCGGTTTTTGGGCATGGGCGAACTGGCGGGCTTTGAGTGCAGATGTCGATTCGATGGGCGCTATTTCGGGCATGGGTGTTATTTCGAGTGAGCGTATGCACGGAACTTCACGGTAGTAACTTTCACATCTTCCGCTCTCTCTTTCCTTCAGATACACGTGCTTCACAGAATTAGAACTCAAGTGGCCCCAGCTACAAGTGTGATGACGAGGTGGCCGAGTGGTTAAGGCGATGGACTGCTAATCCATTGGGCTCTGCCCGCGTGGGTTCGAATCCCATCTTCGTCGTTCAATCTTTTTTTTTCACTCTTCTCTTTTGTTCTGCTTTGATGTGTTCGGACTTGCACACGTCATTTTTCGCGTACACTGAACACCCTTGCGCCAGTTTTAAAATGATTTTCGATTGTCAGTTCTAGGATTGTTCGTCGACTTTTTTTGTGATTTCACACCCAGCGCAAGTACCGCCAATTTTTTTACATGTACACAGACTGCGGAGAACGACATACTTGCATCTTATAACATATTTCCTCATGGCTGATGACTCTTGTGCTATGGTACCCCTCATAATTTCTCACCTTGCTCCCCCTTATGTTCAGGCTGTCCGTTTTGGAGCCATCAGTTGCCTGATGATCGTAGTAATACGTGAAACTCAAAGTTGCGACACAGCTTACAATCTCTCTTGTTTTTTCCTTCATGGATATATTGATGAAAAAAATACAACCTCAACCAAACCAGGGCAAAATGGCTAACTCACGTGTCACTCCTGTCCACTGGGTTGCTCCTTTGCTGTAGCAACACTCTCTTCACGTCCGGCCACTGCCGGACGCACAGCCACCTGCGCACCTGGCTCTGCAGCTTCACGACGCAACGCTCGCGCCACAGGTTGCGCCGGTGCTCCAGCAGCTGAAGGGTTACCTCACTGGACAAGAGCAGGGCGGGCACAAGATAATGAATAACTGTAGAACGGGTAATTTTAGGGAGTATTAATTTAGCGTTTTCCCATTGTCAACCGGTTAGCGACGTTCTATTTTAGCGATTTGCAGCGATTTTACTCACGGATCATCAGTGCACTATTAATGTCTCAACGGATTAGCGACTTAAACTTTAGTGAAAATGAGTCGATCGCTAAATTCGCTAGGGTTTTTACGTCGCTAAAATTACCCGATCTACAGTATACAGGAGTAGATTGGCCCACAGATCCAAGAGTACTCACCGCAGTGAGGTCGGGTCCATAGGCACCGTATAGGGAGACAGGACAACAATTCAACGTGATGATAATGATAATGGTATTTGCCGGATCCGATTCAGCATCGCTTGAATATTCGTATCCGCAGGCCACCACTATGCCTGTACAGCGCCACCTTATTGATCCATGAGGAACAATATGTATCCGGTACTCACCACACAGAGCAAGGGATGTAATTTACACATTAACGTGCGGCGAATCTCTAGGGCAAAGTCCGGCCATCAAATCTGGGCTCATGCTGCCGCTACGTCTATAAGGTATTACACACGATAATGTATTAGATACTGATCTTTAACTATATTTCTTAATTGGAAACGTTGATGGTGAAATTTGATGCGCTGTACCTCTATTGATCACCAGAATTGCCGATGATCTTGCTATTCTTATGTAGACACGGGAATTGAAATTTCACCGTTTCAATCAAGGCAGACATGATCATCACATGGGTGCGCACCTGAACAGGACCAGCTTTTCACCGACAGCCCACACCAGGTTGGAGGTCTTGCTGTCGGAGCACACAACACCACTGCCCTGGGCACCTGCACCGAGAGTGGTCGAAGAGCTGGTGCCTTGCAGGGATGCAGCTGATGATGCACCATCGATAGACTTCAGGATACCCTACACAAACAATACCACCAACGAAATCGGAATAAAACAAATTATATATAAAAAAAGCCCGGTGCATACATGATATTTGGTACCATTTTCATTCGGGCCGTCAATTCATGCTAGTAATCGGTTCTTCTTTCGAAGAGGCAAGAGACCATACGGCGCTTGCAGACACCAGTATAAACAGCTGATGTAGAGTACTTGCTGTCATGTCGCTGGTGAACTGTCTGTACTAGTGCATAGTAGCGTCGCGTCGTCCTGCCTGGTCGAAAGACTCCCTTTACTAGTGTTTTCATGATCGACTTTCCTATCCAGGTGATACGTAGGCTGCAGTCTGCAGATAAAAATACGTTCAGGTAAAGTGCCATCAAAGGAGACATCTTGGTCGATGCCTAAAGTTACATCTCCCTAGAGAAAGATATTTCAGAGTTGCAGTGGTTTCTCTAGACATTGCGAAGGTTTACTGCACAAGTTCACCACATGATGTTCGTTCTCCGCTAGGCTATCATCTTACCACAGAGAGGTCAGTGCTGCTCGCCTTCTGGTAGCGAATGTGAGCCACACATGAAAACCTGCACACATATTATATAAGCCATGATCTCAGTAAATGGACCTAGGGGTGAAATTTAGGAAAATCACTTTTTATTTGGAAAATGTACTTCAAAGTACTTTAGTATGTAGACTTCCATGTCACAAAGTTTCACATCAATATTTGCCTTACAAGTCCCTTGAATTCTCCATATTGTAGAATGCACTCTAACCGTCAAATTCGGTTACGGACATGCACATGTATGCAGTATCATACACTAACTCAAACAAACTCATAAATACATACATGCACATACATGGAAATGCACATACACAGGCATGCACACATGCACATTTGTACGCATACCCACAAACACACACACACACACACACACTAACACACTAAGGGGCCATCCGTAAATACCGGTATTTATTTAAAAACGAAAACTAGTCGTTTCTCTTCAACCCCCCTCCCCCCCTCCCTCAGAAACGAACACATACAAACGATGCATAGTATCGATATGTTTTCTTTTCTTTTCTGGACGTGCCCACACATACAAACTGTGCATCTATATTTTTTGAGAAACGAACAGGCGCTCAACGATTAGTTTTCGTTTCTAAATAAATATCTATATTTACGGATGGCCCCTAACACACTAACCTTTGATTGAATTTCTCAACAGACCAGTGGTGCGAATACCCTAAAATATATATACATGGACAGGAACACAGGTGGCATTTGATTGGTCGGTATACATTGTATGCAGTAACAACACTACATAACTTTGACTGATATGTGCCACAAAACGTAACATTTACATTCAAATATTACGGTGTACCCATGATTATTGAAAGTTATCATACAAATTTGAGTGTAGCAATTCATTAAAGTCATAATTTTCAGACTGCCGGTTGATATCTCAAAATCAATGGTGGCAAGACCGAGGCCCTGCCAACTGGTTTACGTTTGTGATCAGGGGCATTGTTCCGTAGTGTGCATCCATGTGATATGCTCATACCACCATATTTCGTAAAATCACAATCAGGCCAAACAGTGCAAATGCTGATAGCTAGACGGTGCACACACACACACACACACAATGAAAATATCGCTTCATACCAACTTGGGAGGGGGTGCTTTGTTCTTCCTGCTAGTTAGGATACAGCAGACAAACACCTAGTATTATTTCGCGTACTAGGGCTCCACCCCCTATGATGTGAGTCAACAAACATTCGGCGCATATTTGGAGCTATCTTTGCCGGGCCTGAGCATTTTGGCCAGTTTTTTTTTGCGTTGCCTAAAATTTGGTTTGCAAGGTTTATTGTGACAATGTATATAGGCAGCAGCAGTACAGGCTTAAATTGTCATGCCCCTGAAATGTGTTTTAGCCTTGGGAGGCTGAAATTTAGTATTTGTAGACTTACAGTACAAACAAGGCCGGTCGAGGCAGCTCGGACTCGGAGCAGAGTGCTCAATGCACAAATGTGCAGAGCAGTAAACACATACAACAGAGGCAAACAGGCCGTGTACCTGTAACTTCAAGACCTAAATCAAGCATTCCTACAGCAAGCATGCTTACAGCAAGCATGCCTACAGCAAGCATGCCTACAGCAACAAAACCAGCCAGGTCTATGATGCCTACCGTATTTGAAGAGGGCTAGCGTGTCCGGCACATCCAGCTGTCGCAGTTGTCTAGCCACCGTGCTCTCGTCAAACACACCAGCTGCTCCCGTACTGTTGCTCTGCTCCATATACGTATACATGCATTCAGGCACGCATACACGCCAGTACACACGCAAAATTTACACATTCGCATATACATACACAGACACACACTCTCACACACACACACACACACACACACACACACAAACACATGGACACACACACGGACATACACACGGACATACACACAATCAGATGAAGAGGGATGCAAGATGTATGACTCAATATCATGTCAACTCTGACCCTCGATTTAGGCACTCAGAGCATGAAGCTTGGCTCAACTCAAGTTCATGAGCAAACCACGACACTGGAAGACAATCCTGGATAATTGTAGGACTGTCGACAATATGGTGATGGGAGGTGAACCCAGGTCTCATAAATATGACGGCCCTGCGGTTGCATAACGTAACCTTTGAAGTGCATGTCCTTTGGGTGTGTGGCCTTGCGGGAGGGGGGGGGGGGATATGACCCGGAATGTGCCCTACCCTGAGGTGCATTGGTCTGGGTGGCATGGCCCTGAGTTGCATGACGGTGGGTGGCAAGGCTACAGGTCTGCGTGCCCCTGTCACTAAACACACTGAACTGTGCAGTAAACGTGGATAGAATCAACGGCTGAATTTCACCTCCAATCATCAGCATGGCCACCATGCCATGAACAGCAGAGCACTCGCCTTGACCAACATCTTCAAGCAGCCGGTCTTACCTTCAGACAGTGAATGTAGTGAGGCGGGTCCTGCTCCAGAGTGTACAGCAGTGCATCCAACTTTGTCTGAAAGTCACGCACCAGACTGTTGGGATTGGAGTCGCTGCAGAGCAAACACACAAGTTCTTGTTTCAGTGCCTAAATCCCTGGACATTTAATTCCATGTGCACACAACACTCCTCTTTGTAATGCTTTATCCAGCTAATCCATCAGCCACGCACCTCTCCGGGACAGGCAAATTGTAATTTACTGCTACATGGTGTGCTCAGTAAGTAGACCTTAATTGAAGTACATCTCAAGACAGAGTGCATGTAACCTCCATTGCCGAGCCTACCTGTTTCCTGGCGCTGTGACTTGTGGTGTGATTCGGTACTGCATGCCTCGAGGAGACGGAGCACCATTACCACCTTCACCTAGCACCACAACACAGTAACAAAAAGGACAGGTTATGATCAAGAATTGGTGAATAAAAGATGCCAAGAAAGGATAGGTGGGTAAATGTAGGTATGCAGCCAGGTTGTTATCAAGGAGTGGGGATACATTATATTCTATACACTATACTAGTGCCATCTAGACATACATATATCATCAAGAGTGCATATAAACAAGAGTGTGCAACACATTTTCTGAAGATCATGAATCATGATTTTCGTATGAGGTATGTAGTGCGATTCTGTGGTCGCGTGAACTCGCACTAAGCCTGCAGTATGAGTGCGGTGAACAGCTTCAGCAGCAGAACAATTTAAAAAAATTGTTTCGACAGCGGAAAAACACAAACTCACGATAAAATGGACCCTTAAGCGACACAAACTCACGATAAAATGGACCCTTAAAGTGACATGCAGTAGGTTCTGAAAAAGGTGACAACTAAAATTTTCCAGTCGACCAAACTACCGTATTTCCCCATAAGTTAGTACGTACTAACTTTCGAACTTAGCAGCCAGACGAGTACTAACTTTCGGGGGTGGTACAATCTTTCGGGGAGTACTTTTTATCGGGGGTAAATGACACGCAGTGGGAAGCCTGCGCAACTCTAGTGTCCGTGCGTATGATTATGTACTGTACGGTGTCTGTACATGTAGGACGGGTACGGACTTACTATCTTTCGGGGGAACTGTCTTTCGGGGTGATAACCTCGGCAGTGGAAAGTTTATTTTTTATAGAGGGGTACTAAGTCATTGGGGAGAACTAACTTACGGGGAAATACGGTAGCTGTGGAGTGACACACCTTGTGTATGTACTACTGACATAAAACTACATATCTAGAAATAACATACTGGCATTGATTATTATCGACACCGTTCAACTTTACTAACTAACCCGCCATCTTTGTTTCCGCCGAGAAAAGGTGCGACACGAAGCCAAAATTACAATTCTAGAATAGGGAGAGGGCAGGAAAACACAAAATCAATTCATAGCAGACTCAGCCAAAATCAATTCAGACACATGTGACAATGGCAGAGGAGAAGTGGAAGGGGCATGGCCGCAGCCACCAAATTATGACTGGTCCGGATAGACATTTCGCCTTGAGAAACAAAAAAGCTGTTCAGTAGAAACAGTTGGCACCGCTGGAGCGGCAGGGCATAGCTTAAGGATTTCATTTAGCTCGGACAAATGTCCTTCCGTTTTGAAATCTGTCCAGACATGCCCGGACATTTTCCACAACACATTTTAAGGGTGTTTCTTCTTTTTTTAGTAGTACTGAAGTATATTCACAATGACTCATTATGTGGACGTATCTCACACATTACTATGTACAATTCACCAATTTATTTGTATTAGAAACTGAACTTCTTTTTTTTTACTGACGACAAATGTATGTACAAGAAAGCGGTAAGTCAGTTCGAATTTGCGTCGTGCAATAGTGGCAGCACCATCGTCCATCTTGCACAGTGCCTTCCCAATTGGAGCGAATTCGAGGGCATTTTGAGTGGGACTCTCTTGCCTACGGAAAAGATTCATTGCTCGTTTATGCATCTCCGTTCCAGCATGATCCTTAAAGGCTGATATTCTCAGGTTCTTGAATCCGGTTATGAAAGCCTCGCTGAAGTTTTTACAACTGCGGACTCTGTCTACAAACTTGATGCACATGGAACACTTCAAACATTCTGCTAACAGCCGATGTTCTTCTGCCGGTCATAAATCAGCCAGGCGGAAGTAGTCAGCTCTGCATCATTGTCCGAGATCCACTTACCGCACGTAGCGGCCTTCACACCACGGACTTTATTGCCCGGCAGCAAGTCCTCTGAATCTCCCTTTCGCTTTCCACAAGACATTCTAAAAGACTATCTGCATTTCTGGTTAGTGAAAGAGTGAAAAATAATAGATGACATCTTCCTCTCAAGAGCGAACACTGCAGTTCAACCCATCGATTCAAGTGCGAAGTCGACACCATGACCAAAGGTCGAAAGTGTGAATTGACTGTAGCAACCGGGTTGCTACAGGCGGATCAAGTAAATCTGGTGAAGTCTACGCCTGAGGCTACGGACCGGTGTAGACGTGTTAGTTGTACGACATGCAAGTCGCATTTGGCACGAAGCTCCAAAGAAAGCCCAGCTCTGCACAAAAAGGTCGAAAGGTCGCTGCTCTTTTTTTCCTTTTTGACCGGACACTATGTCCGGTGAAATTGAAAACGTCCGGTCAGTGGCCGAAAATGGCCGGAAAATGTCCGATGTCCGGCCGTTAATCTATGGCCTGGAGCGGTAGTTATGTATTTATTTATTTATTCCTGCACCTCGTAGCATGTCAAGACAGCCAATTGAATTGAGGAGAGGGTGAGACCAACCACGGATCTTGAGAAAAGACAGCAGCGCCTTGCTTTACAGGGGATAACAACCGAAACACACTGGATTTAACTCACCGGTACTTGGAAAATAGTCACCACATCATCAGCAATGGTGTCCTTGTTGACCTCAAGTATAGCGTCGGCATTGTACGTAACCTTCAAAATACACGATAATTGTAAATCTCAGTGACACAATACATCCTTATTGCAACAGATTCCCTAGATAACATGCTAAAGTTAACCCTTTAAGAGCCGCCCCATACTTGAATGCAAAACTTCAAAAGATCGTAACTCAGTCCAATCTCGCTCCAATCCAGTGATCGAAATATCCAGGGCGAAGAGAAAACTCTCACCTGTCGGGAGAAACAATCCGCGAAGCGCTGCGAGCAACGGTTCCCGAGATAAATCACTCGTAAGTTGAGCCGCGATCGCGGCAATTTCAAAAGCGCGCAGTGCGACTTTAGTATTGAGAATTTTGAGACTTTTCGTCACGCTGGTTTACTCGAATTTGCATGGGTTTCACTGTTGATATTGTCAAGAGTACACAGCGAAAAAATTGGAACTCCACGATCGAGTAAAATGAAATATCTGGTGCGGGACGCAATTGGGCGCATTTGGGGCATTTTTCGTACTGTCGCTGCGATCTAGCGCTGGATAGACGGTGTGCTGGCTATCATGATCGACCTCATTCTCTTCCTCTCGCGGAGACTGTTCCAGGAAGCCCTAGATTGTGAGGATTGAGTGAGTAGAACTGAAGCTATGATCCAAGGAACACCAAAAAATGCAGAATTTTGAAATTTTCCTGTGGCTCTTAAAGGGTTAAGCTTCAACCAGGGACATAACATTCGTTCATTGCAACTAAGGTTTGCCTTGTTTGGGCTCCCTGAATTCGGGTTCCATTTTGCACCTCTTAAAATTGCCCCCAAGTTTGGTCCTATGAATTTGGACCTTGATTTGGACCCTCCAAATTAGAACCATTTTGGAGTTCTTTTGTCCTCACGGCCATTGACGGAATCATTAAACTGACTGGAAGTTGTCTAGCAAAACAGCACCGAAGACATGGTACCTTGCCGTTGTAGTGGCGAATGGTGAACGAAGATGAGCTGGAGTCCACAGCAGCCACACTATATACACGTGCACACATACGCAGAGACACACAGACAAACAGACAAGCAGACAAGCAAACAAGCAGACAAACAGACAAGCAGACATGAATGTCCATGTGCACTGTAACAGGGCGTCACACTCCACCCTTACACGCTTAGTCCTATTCACTCCTCTCACTCCTATTATCTCACCCGGTGTTCTCATCTGCATCCTTTATCATGGCTATGATCCTAACAAACAGCCTCTTACATTCCACAGCGTCTCACCAGATACACACAATCACCCGATACCACCGGCAGACTAAGTACAGAACAAAACTCACAATAGGGCTTGAAAGTGCTACGTCACAGCATAGCAACAATTTCAAAAAGTCAAAAACTGGATCCACTTGGATCCAGTTTTTGTATGGATCCAAGCACATTTCAAGCCGTCTTACTCACAGCAAGGTGATGTAGCCAGTGAAACCGACTGATTTGGCTACAGGGGGCGGGGTAACAACTGGTGGTGAAGTAAAAGTCACCGCTGTATACGACATGAGTGGGTTGCTATGCACCCACATACTGAGGCTATAGCAAAGTCACACCTTAGTGGATCCAAAATAGAAATCTGATGTCAACGTACTACTCCCTGGGCGTTTTTTATGTCATCACTTTCAAGCCCTATTGTACTACAGCTGGTCATACCTTCCCAGTATGGGAAAAGTTGAACTTGCAAAAAAATCTGCAGACACGTTAACTCATAGATGCCTTTTTGTGTTAGCACTTACCACGGGTTCCCACCATGTGACGTGCTCAGTTTGCCAATGAAATTCTCCACAGCAATTCTGCAACGGTCACAAGAGAATAGCCATGTTCAATACTACAGAACTACAGTCAATGACAGGGCAGATCCACGATATCCAGGCATCATCAATTAGCTAGTCCCATGATACTCTGCATCAACAGACATGCTACCATGCTGGCATGAAAAGGAGGGAGGGGAGGACGTGGAAGAGGCAAGGGTGGGGGTGGGGAGGGGGGGGGGGGGAGCGGCAGGCAAATGAGCTGACTCATGAACCTGGAGACTATTTACAATGACATTCCAGATACCTAAACCAGAGCGATGAATACGCACACGCTGAATTCCAAGAATGTCACGGTGGTCCACATCAAGCTCTCAAATTTTGTCTCTCACACTGCACAGGACCAGACTAGATACTAGCTATAGGAACCGAGTAGGTTTCATTTGGCTACGTGGGAGCGTTTTGCTCGTATAAGGCTTACCGTGGCATGGCACATTCTTTAGTCATAAGAGGAAATATTCCAGAGTGCTGTCCAGCAGGGTAAAGAAAGCACACACACACACACACATGCACACGCACACACACACACACACGCCGACACGCGCATACACGCAGATATGCTCACATGCACACACGCTGACATGCTCACATGCACACACGCTGACATGCACACATGCACACACGCTGACATGCACACATGCACACACGCTGACATGCACACATGCACACACGCTGACATGCACACATGCACACACGCTGACATGCACACATGCACACACGCTGACATGCACACATGCACACACGCTGACATGCACACATGCACACACGCTGACATGCACACATCGAGACACACGCAGACACACACACACACACACACACACACACACACACACACAGGCAGACACACACACACACAAACAAACAAACACAAACAAACACACACAAACACACACAAACACACACAAACACACACACACAAACGCTGTTAGTCAGCGACGTCCATGCACAATCATGGGCGAGTTGCCGTCAAACAAAGAACTGTGAGTTCTGTATGACCAATATTCGTTGGCTATAAAATGTGCAGCATGTCCAGGGTTCATCACGGTTTCAGAGACACAAATGGCCATAAAACACGGCCGATGCAGCATTTTCGGGCGCAGAAGAATGGAGTGCCGAAGAACAAACAGACTAAACGTTCACCAAGCACAGCACGCCAATTTATATACGGTGAGTGATCCATAGGCTGTAGTACATTGGAAAAACTAACGGTCTAGACTACGAGCTATGGACATACAAGCGGCTTGTTATGCACATGGACATACCTGCTCTGTGAACAGCTGGAAGCAGTCACATCGATTGTCGTATTCTGCTTCGAACATTACGTCTATTCTTTCCAGCCTGCATGTTATCACAATGGCCCAGTCATGGAGAGGCACACACGCATGTATGCGCATACACAACCACAAAAGTAGGTACACATATGCACATGCATGTTTGCCCATGCTCCAGTGAACACACGAACACACACATGCCCAACCATACGTGCAACTATTACTCACATACGCACACATGCACATACATACGCACATACATACGCACACACATACACACACACACACACACACACACACACACACACACACATCCAGTCAGAGGACATTCCATGTTTTTTTACATGTGACAATTGACTTGTCAAGGTTACTGTAGTTTTGAACTGATAGGCGTAAACCAATTTCCTGTGCAACTCTACCATAAGTATGACCTGTTCTTTTGCATTTGAACCAAACAATTGAAGAATTTTCACTCACAAAGCAACTGTTCAGTACATGGGGTAGTGGTCTACCAGAGCAATCACACTCACGATAATGCATAATGCACATGTTGTTACTACCAGCTAGGATATGTAGAAGTGTGTATTTGAGAATAGAGAGTAGATAGTATAGTGATCGTTGGCTAAAGCAGCAGCAGGGTCAACATTGTAAAGCAGCAGCAGGGTCAACATTGTGCCCTACCTGCATTCCATGGCACTGCGTTTGAAGACGGAACTCTGGTAGAGCTGCTGAAGCGCCTCCGCCGTGACATTGCAACACAACGTCTGGAACCGACAGCTTGCCTGAATAAGCACATACAGAAAAAGAAAAGCAAATTATTAGAAAACATATGGGGCTGAAAGATATGCAGTAACATTGGCAGTGGCGTAATAAGGAAAAAATTCAGAAATTATTTGAGTAAGGAAAACTTAGGAAACATTGATCCACTATCCATAGTCGAGGAATGGATGGAGCAGAATTGCGTTTGGTAATTGGTTTGTCACTCATACTATACATAGGGATTATAATTGCACAGTGCAAGGAAAGAAGCATCAAGCATCAAGTCCAAGACATAGCCAGCTTGCTGGTTTCTAACCTGAGAAGCACCTTGGAAGCCAAACAAGTCAATGACCGACACCGACTGCGAGCCGAGGTGAGTGAAGTTGCCGGAACTGGCCAGCCCCAGCCCCAGCGCTGTGGCCGACGCTCCACTGTCCTCCGCCACGGTCATCGCACCAGCAGTGGACGCTGACGGGGCCGACTTGCTGGCACCGGTGATTCCCGGCTTCTTGGTGTTTGAACCGGCCAGTTTGAGATTTGCCGTGATGACAGTGTCTGATTCGGACAAAAGGAAACCATTAAAGAAGTTATAGCAAAACAGTAAAATTAGCAGCATTGTCTTTGCGCCGCTTAGTAGAGAAGTTAGCAGGATTCACACAGCGGATCGGGAGATTAAATAGGGCTCATGGCATTGACACCGAGACCTTTGGTCGGTGGATCCCCTGGCACCTCACCATCACTGCTGCCTAGTGCAGCCCCTACTCAGTACCTGTTTGTTTTTGTCCACATGATTATTTATTTTACGAGTTGCGTTTGTGGAAAAAAATTTAAAACATTCACGGTTCGCGTGAGACTCGGCCAAAGGCCCAGTTTTCCGCATCCGCAGGAACGCCATCACCCTCTTGGATTAAGGCGTTTGTGGATAATAGTAAAAAAAAGAGAAAAGAACACAGTGGTTTGTTGATACTGCCTGTGGTGCGGGGAGTGCAATGCCTTGGTTTGAGAATGCTTGTTCTCCTTCTACATTTGATGATATTTTTTGCCTCCTCCATCCACTAAATTATCTCAACTCTGTCCCGATAATAAAGTAATAATTATAATTTCTTTCCAGGTCATAAGAACCGCAATTAGAGGAAATGCAAAATCAAACGGGTGAGAAATATGCCTATGAGCAAAGCGTCAGTGGCTGTTACTTCCGTGACAACTTACCTCTTCTCTTCGCAACAATACTTTCCTCCTCAGTTGGCTTGCTGCTCCGATTGCCCGTCGTTGTGCCATCATCCTGCTGTACCGGTGGGGTGGCAGAACTCCCACGCGAGTCCGGGAGTGGTGGTGGCGGGGGCAGACTTGGCGGGGACCGCGCTGCACAGAGATACGAAGAAAATTATGAAGTGAATCCGATAAAAATAGAAATAGATTCACGGTTCGCGTGAGGCTCGGCTAGACGCCGAGTTTTCCGCATTCGAATCCGACAGCATAACATTAATTTAAAGTTATGAAAACCCTTTGATGTTGGATCGAGGATGATATGCATGATCGTGTCTATCAAAACTTTTTTTTCAAATGCGACCCCACTACCTTCTCTTGTATAGGTAGCAATAGGTCAGTTACTAAGAGGCCTCTTGATCAGGCGTCTGAGATGTACGAGGACCGGCTATGCAATCAGTTTTCGGTTTGCAAAGCCAGCACAGGTTGAAATCGACCTACCAGCAACAAAGGGCTAACTAATCATTCAAATGATTCTGACATTCAGCACTGTCTACGCAGTGAATGAGGCACAACCAGCAAGGACTCACGTTGCTTGGGAATCTGCGGCAGTGGTCTCTCCTGCCCTGGGGCATCGCTGTCCGAAACGGTACGCCTGGTTTTCTTCATCTCCGCTGCAAGCGGAGCCGGCTTCTGCATAGGTACAGCTGGACACAAGGGAAAGGATAACGAGTACCACAGCGATTATCTCATTTGGTATGCCACGGTAGATTTTGGTGACGACATTGGCTATGAACTGGGGTCGACAAGGTGAACACTCCCTGGTGTTCTATGCCCGGTTTTGCCCATGATCTTGATTTGTTTTGACAGCTGTGATACAGAAATATCACTGTCCTCACAAAACTACAGTGAAACGGTCCATTATCCGTTCTTCATTGCATGAATGTCCTGCTTTAAGCGCATCTACAAAATGTATGTGTACGGGCATGACATCAGGTGCGTAGCTCCGCTGTTGGAGGTGGTCCGACTGGAGGGGGGTCTGGGGTCTCCCGCGAGGGAAATTTTTGAAATTAGTGTGCAATATCCTGCTTTCTAGGCCCTGTATCTCATGCATATCCGGAGGACAGGATGTATGTATGCAGAAAAATATATCAGCTGAAATGCAGAGAATGTCCGGAACAATACGGTGGTGAGACTGGCCGCTTCTTGGAAACGCGGCTGGAAGAACATGAGCCCCAGCCAGCAGAAACCTGAACATGTGTAATTTTTCAAAAATTATTTTTTCGCTCAAAATTGATTCTACACTATTAATCACTCAAGTTATCAAGTTTGGATACAATCTGATAAGCGAAAGCATGGAAAATAGAGTTTGAAGTCACACAGGTCAAGATTTGGTACAGTTGGCGCAGCATCCATGCCCAGTGACTCCATGCAAGTTGATCCTACAGTTTCTGATTGTGATGTGGAACAGGTACATGTAAGTAAATAGAATGCAAGTCAGGTGTGCCCTCTTGGTGCTGCAGGCATGAGTAGTTCAGAAGTGTGACGATATTCCGTATACATCACTACCTTCTTTACAACACCAGAGTGCAAAACGATGATTGGTGGCTGGCCTTCCAAATTGTGTTCAGGGACCTCTGTGCTAGCAGTTTGAGCGTTGTCCCAAAGCTTGCCATACTGATAGATGTACTGACCAATACCACTGACATCCACTCCCTTGCACACTTCACTCAGACCATGATTTCAGCATAATTGTATTTCAATGATATGAGCGAAAACTCGCGTTTTGTAGCGCGTGAAGATGTTGCCCCAAAGCGTTCAGCCGGTTTGACCTTTTAGGAATCCCCTTTTCTCAGCACAGGCAGCAGCCAGCTTGGCGTCGTCTGGCAAGGTAGAGTATAATACTACGCTCTGTTTTGCGCCGTGAGAAGCCCTCCATCAGTGTCTGCAACATCATTGTTGTCGATGTAGAAATACGGATCGCTCAGCGGGTCGACATTCAGCTTCTCCTCGCAGTCGCTTTTACTCCAGCACTGACTATCGTCGTCACCAGTATCCAGTGTCGATTTTATGAGGGCTCTTCGTTGCTATGCATATGAGGCTCGCCACTGCTGGACAAACTCAGCGAGATCGCCACCAAAGAAATAATTCCGATCGCGAACTAACTTTCAGCGCCGCTTCGTACAGGGAGTCTCACGCTGACAACTCTTGACCTTGTCGCGACACCTGTCGCCATCGCTGTGTCTAAACTCAACCTCCGTGTGACGAGCTCTCACCTAGCGCTAAAATCAATTGACCAGACTCACTTGAAGGCACTTAAACTCCTTTGACAACAAAGACACCCACTCGATTGAAAAAGAATCTTCAAAAGCCAGCTCACTGCGCGTCCCAAACTTTGACGTCACATTTTGATGATTGATATCAAGTACACAAGTGCTGGTTTCCGCTGGCCAGGGCTCACATAATGGTGAGGCAAGACGACAAGAACTCGCCAAGCCATGGGATCAACATTTCCGTATTACTCACCCTGGATCCAAGCTCAACTATGGGCAAAGTGCATTCTCTGCAGTTGCAGTACTACATTAGGGAGAGAGCCTGATCGAGCCCGTCGCAAACTACGCGGGGCGATTGAGATACACGATACTAAGCCCCATGTGAACATAAGCACAGGATGGGATATAACAATTATTATGACTCAGCTTGTCCGTGCTGATACTCTTTTTTGTACATCAATATCATTGAATGAGGCAAGTCACTCCAGACCACGCCTCGTTGCGTCCCTGGTGATAAAAATCACGCATGGGAAGTGTGGGATCACGCGGTTGTCTGCTTTTCTCACACATTCTGTGATTAAATACATAGTGCATTGGCACATGGCCTTCCGTGTTCCCCTCCTGTAATGTGCTAAAATTAATACCATATTATTCGGCATGCAGACTCACTTCACAGAGTACAATGGCGCGCTGCCTTCTGCTGCTTCTTCTCCGTGTTGTGCACAGTAGATACCTTTTGAAATGATGGAGGAAGATGCCATGGAGATTCCTAGGCGGCGTCCTGGGAATGGCCTGGTATCGTGGGAATTTTGCTTGCGCCATTGCGTTGCATTGCAGAAAAAGCAAACCCGGTTTACTTTGCCGAGTGACAACTTTGTTTGAAGCTGCTAAACGCAGGGAGGACGAGCTATACCTTCTTGCGCGAGAGCCACTGCACCGAGGAGAGCGTCCGCGGATGGTACCATTGCAAGTGCTACAGTACATACACTAACAGAACGTTGCTGGGTCGGCTGCCACTTGGACGTGGCCATGACTGTTCAAGCGATTCCGAATTGGAAGAGATACATGTATGTGATGACGGGTCACCAGCAAAGCATTGAACAAGGAGATATGTACAGTCCACGTCTGCAGACGTGTGCTTCATGTGTAATAAGATGACCAAATAAATGAAGGAAAGAAACAATCTTTAACTCTGTTCCAATCTCTGTCAGCTAACGGCAGCATACTTGAGGCAGCAGAGTTGGAGAACACAATCATTTGCTTTTGCTCCAGAGTGGCCCAGATTGCGGTGCAGCGGAAATCCACTATCACCGAGCATGCTACAGTGCCTGCACCCACGCGGGCCTTTGATATGATCTGTTGTCCAACTCCCAGTGTGATGACGATTTCTGACGATTATCGCATGAAAACGACGTTCAAATCCTAAAATATTGTTCCATTGTTCTCGTGGTATGAGTGCACTCACTTTACTTTCATCGATACAAGAGTCTGTATAAAACATCTTTGTGTAAACCAATCAATAGGCGCATTAGCATTGGGATCGGCTCAGCGACCATTTCCCCATATGGCAGCGGCAGCAGCAAGACGGACCTGCGGAAGAGATCCTAGTGTTCGTTCTCTTGGTCCTCGTAATGTGCACCGTTCAGCAGGCGGAAAACTGGAATATCATTGGTCCGAGACACAATGGTCCAGCAAAGTGACAAGCTGCAATAAACCCCCAGTTGCTCGTTTCATGCCAGCATTTCGTGGACAACAACCCGGTAGTGCGTGACCCAGGTGTAAAAGGACAAGCAGTCCAACCTAAAATGATAGCTTCACAACTTGCCACAGACAACACGAGAAGGACACCCGCCTATCGCAGTACGTCCGGGCCAAGAAGGATGAAAGGAAGGCATGCATCATTCAATGGGCGGTACACCGCAGAGCAGCGGCCTACAGCAACAAAAGCAAAAGGTGCAACCTGTGCCTGGCGGAAAAATTGGAAATCGCGCAAGCACCCAGGCACCTCTTTCTCAACAAAAGGAGTGAGCTTGTGTCAAAGTGTCGCCATGCGAATATGTACTACCTTCGGAACTTCAAACCATCCACAGCCATCACCTAATTAAGTAAGAGACAACCGGCTCCAGTGGTTGTCACCTTTCACCACTGCTGTCATTCACACTGTTACTCTTAGATTTGCCTCACGATGCAGTCATTCACGCTTTGCACTGCCGCCATTCACAAAATTTAGATTTGCGCCATGCTGCAGCTATTTACACTTTGCTTTGCGAGTATATAAACCAATACTGATCCAGATTTCTCATTACTATCTTCTGATGATCGCCTAGTGCGTGAAACTCGGAGTAAAAACACTTTCCCTGTCCTGCTATTGTTTGAACCAGCTCTACCTCTCGGTATTGAACACTCTCTTGGACAGCCTGGAACCTCTCTATTTTATAGCTTCACAACTTGTAGTGAAAAATGCACTGATTCCAATGGTGAAGGTCCGAGGTGGATTGGAGCAGCCGTTGCCGAGTTATACGAGTTTGAAGTTTTGCAGTAAATTTGGTGACATCATGATGACGGCATTAACTTGCCCAGACTCGGCCGGATTTATGACCTAAGAGAGATAGATAGACTTTGTATGGGAGTAGATGGGGAAAAACCAATTTCTTTCTTGTTTCTCTACAACAACGAACTTCGAAAGAGATTTATTTCCAGCCGGGATACCGGTGGGGTGCCATATGTCCCATATCGAACAACGGAGGGCCAAAAAACTGGTTATTTTAGCTGCTCCTATGAAGCAGGTTGCAGGTTTGCCGAGTCAAAGGTTTGAAATCCTACTAGTGTGCCTTGAATGGCAGTCGGAAATCTACCAAGAGTCCGGCACATCATCTCCACTTAGTTACAACCAGCTTTGTCTACTACGCCAACAGTCAATATCTGGTACACGCATGGGGTGTCGGTACCAAGGGCGGGACAGTCAATATCTGGTACATGCCTAGGGTGTCGGTATCAAGGGCGTCACAAACGGTATGACCAGTATGACCATGGTTGTACCACTTTTCGCCCACGATGGCCTGCCCAGAGTGCCTGTGCAACGCTAGAATGTGTCCTGTTGGCCGAACCGAAAGCTCCAATTTTTCCCCGGGTACACCCACCCTGCACCCCCCGGTCGTACCACTCCACATTGCCCTGTGACGACCCTGAGTACTCATGGTTTCCTTTTCAGAAAATCCGATTTTTCCCCGGGTACACCCACCCCGCACCCCCCGGTCATACCACACTCCACTGCCCTGTGACACACTGGGTACTCACGCTTTCTTTTCGGTGCCGGCGGAGGATTGCGTTGCTTCATGGTGTTGACCCGCTTGATGACGGCGTTCAGTGTGCGAATGTACAGCGCTTGGGCAAGCGCATCGCGGCTGCTGTTTGCCTGGAGCAGAATCGGCAGAAGAAACAGAAGAAACGCGAGAGAGATTGTTTATGGTGCACTGAATCTGCATGAGTGAGAAGCATGTAAGTGGGAAACTCGACTTGAAATACAGCCTTGTTCGTTTACTTAATACCTCCTACACACCACATTCAACGCAAACCGGGCTTATACAGCTGATTTGCAAGAGAAAAAAAGCGTTTGCCTCATTTTTTTTAGAAGCGCACGTATGTATTATCTACCTGTTGACTTTTCACATGAAGATGTCTGGTTTAAAGTTTTTATAATTATTTCGCCAATGACGGTTACTTCACTTCTCCAGTGCTATTCACAGTAACGACTTTGTACAGGACTCACAGCAACTGGATCCGAGCAGGAGCGCAGTGATTGACCGCGGATCAGTCGTGTACGCGTGGTCAGTGCCTGGTACAGCGATACCGGGGATACTCCCAGCAGCGACGCCACAAGCTTCAGCTCATCTGCAGACAATACACATGAGGATGAAGACATAATATTGACAGGTTAGAGGGAAAGATGCAAACGGGAAAAGTCTGAAGAAAAACAAATTTCTCGTCACCACCAGGACTCGAGCCAGGGATCTTCACACGAGGCCAGCGATGCTCTAACCACTGAGCAATGACGTAGCTGCCATGATGAAACAATGTAGGGATTTCAGACCAGCTGCCTTTGGAAATGGTCATTCAAGGCGGCCGTGGTTATGAGTTCATGAGTAACTGGTAAGGCCAAGTTTGACGCTACGCTAAAAGAATATGAGCTGCATTTACATGTTCTAATTGTAGCCAATTGTGGCTTACAAAACAATCAGGAAAATGTCTTTCTGTCTCAGAGTTGAGTATTCTAAATCGTACATTTCAACTTTGCAAGTTCCAACAGGCTTCCTTAGCATCACTGAAGTACATTTGTTAACCCTTTGCGTGTGGATGACGTGTATACACGCGCCTGAACCCCATGCCGGTTCTCTGAGGACGTGTATACACGCACTTTGGTTTGCGTTGTGTACGTGGTGAATAGACCAGTGTACAAAGTTTCGTTACTCTGTGAAAGAGTATCCGATCTCCACATACGATACACCGTTGGAAAGGTATTGAGCTCAGCTTTCCAGAGATATAAAGTTCTTTGCGATAGGATAAAGATTCACTGAGTGGCGACAAAATGAACACGGAAATCACGGGCTGGAGTGATCGCGAATATTTTTGTTCGTGACTTCGCAGTTTTTTGGAGCGTGCCAGGGGATTTCCCTTTTGCCCTGCACATGCGTTATGGACATCAAATGAAGTGCGTAGATCTCAGCTTTGCAGAGCAGTTTGAATCGTGAAAATCGGTTGAATTTGAGCAAGGAGCCGAAATAGAATTTGTGACTGAGTTGTTGTTTCGTTCCGAAGCATGGTGGGCCAGTTTGGAGAGGTCATGGAAGTGGCCCTGGTGGAGCTGTGGAGCTGAGAGCTTCTAGGATGGATTCGCTTGGTCCTGATCTTTCCAACAAGCCCAGGATGAGGAAATTCCATCCAGGTGAACTGAAATGAGAATAAATTTGGTTCCGAGCAGCGCACCCAAACTCCACCAGGAGAGTCCATACTTAGGAGTGCCAGATTACTGTGGAAAACAGGCCAGCATGCAAAGGGTTAAGCTCAAAATTGGTAGGTTACAAAAATCCTTTTGGCAGTAATCGGAGGGACAACAATCCTACAAGAAAGCAGCTTTGCCTGTGCTATAACGAAGTGCAGTAAAGAATATAACACATACTGCTATGACACAAGTGCAGATAACGAAGCCGCTTTCCCTTACTTCCGGTGCCCTTGACGTCGAGCTGCGATCCGGAGCGGCTGTCCAGGACGAACTGGATTCCACTGAGTAGAACGACAGCCATGAGCACGCGCAAGACGTCCGTAATGGGTATTCCGAACCGTGCGATGCACATCTGAATGCAGCACAGCATTAACACGGTCGCCACACAAAATCAACTTTAATTAATTTCAGTACCAGCTGTAAGCTGGAAGATAGATATTGGAAATTCACAAATTTTCGGTGTACTTCTTTTTTCGATAGTTTCAGTGCATCTGTTTCATACCTCAAATTTCTGAAATTGGAGTACACCATTCCTAATATCAGTTTGAGGAATACCAACGTGGCACAGAAACCCAACCCTTCAGCAGGGCAAGCGAAACAGGTCTGGCAATGCAATATCCTCGTACCCATGACCACCCTCAGCAGTCAAACGACCACTTTCACGGTCACATGACTACCCTGGTGGTCGCGTGGCCAGTCTCAGCGGTCACATGACCACCCTGGTGATCACATGACCACCCTCAGCAGTCACACGACCACTGTCATCGGTCACATGACCAGCCTAAGCGGCCAAAAGGTATGCATTACCATGGTCTGACCAACCAGACCCGTTCCAGCGCGCCTATTCATAGGATATTGAGCGTCTGCTTAAACGGCCAGACGAGAAGGCATGCCTACCTAAGCATCAAGTGGAGAAAATAAACACGACCAGGGACTAAATATAATACCGTCCCATAGCAATAGATGATATGCCAAATAAGCGCTCGAAAAATGGAGAGGGCATGCCCAGGCTGAGCTTGTCAAGTGCACGGGATGTGCAAAGTACACAGATTTTAGGCTTGTCACTTGCTTACGCGCTCAAGTGCCGCACGTGCATGAATGGAAGGCATGCAGTTTCACCGTGACTGCATTTAGCATTTCCAGAGAAAAATTTCGGATAAAGAAAAGGAACTCCGACACCTTCGTGCATAGTTTGCTTTCAATTTTTCATTTTGATATCCGGATATGGGAGCAAGAAATATTTCGCCGCCAATCATTGCTTCTCGTTTTGCGGACCCACTTATGGACGAGATGATTTCTAGATGGACTTTTGCTCAGCTGAAGACTTACCTGGGGGCTCACTCAGTGAGATACCGGTATATGGAAACCAAAATGATTTGTTGCAGAGGTAAGATCGAAAGACTTTGTCATTGCTCTTCGGTAGACAAGCATCCCACTGACGACAATGTCCATCCAATGTATTGTTGATGCTGAAGGTCGAAGTATTACTCCAGTGCCCCTGAGCTTCACATGGATGACAAGGATGGCAGCCGGCGCCGCGCAACGAAAGGGCAATCAAAATCCGTTCCTCCTTCACTGGTTGCTACAGCAGCGAGTACCTTGTCACCATCTGCATCGGGAACAGAAGAAGATGCTTCTCCAGTGAATACAGCAAATCATAGATGCTGCTCAGCAAACAGACGCAGAATCTCCCACGGAAGGTTGGAACCATCGCTCGAAAGATCTGCAACATGGTGTTTCTGTTGGTGCTGTACTCCAGTATCTTCAGAGTACCTAACGACACAAAATCATTCCGGCATCAGTTCTTTTTCTGGCCATGCATTCACGGTGGTGAATGTTGCTTCCAGGAACAAAAGAATTTTGGACCGCAGCGAGACTTTGTCAAGGTTTTACATCTCAGAGGAAGAAGGAGAGCTACAGACCGGCTCAAGTATGCGCTACAGTGCTTTAAAAGCATGTAACAAATCGAAGTGATGTCTGCATATTTCACTTACACTTCTGGCATTGCATACTCCTGCCACCGCATTGTTGCACGGCTGCTGACCTTCAACTAATGCGAGATGAAAAGACAAGACCTGCCATCTGCAGACAGGAACTTAGCGACAGCAGCAATGGGGCGCAAGGGTCAAAGAGCGCCGTTGCGTAACCGGCGATGGATGTCAATGTGGAGCGTGCAGGGACAAATCAAACCTCAGACATGAGAGATATCACCGAAACTGATCTGGAGAACTTGTGCGAAGCTATGAAAGACGTTTATGCCAAACTGCCCACTCCTTGCTGTACTGCCTGACCAGCTCAAGTATGTGCTACAGTTCTTTAAAAGCATGGACCGAATCGAAGTGATGCCTGAATATTGCACTTACACTTCTGACATTGCACACTCCTGCCACCGCATTGTTGCACGGCTGCTGACCCTCAACTAATGCGAGATGAAAAGACAAGACCTGCCATCTGCAGAGTCAGGGATCTAGCAACAGCAGCAATGGGGCCCAAGGGTCAAAGAGCGCCGTGACGCAACCGGCGATGGATGTTAATTTGGAGCGTGCATCGACAAATCGAACCACAAACATGAGAGATATCACTGAAAGCGATCTGGAGAACTTGCGCAAAGCTATGAAAGACGTTTATGCCAAACTGCCCTCTGCTCACTGTACTGGCAGCAAAGGTGAAGATCCAAAATGTCCAAGTGAAGTAGGGGCCTGTTCCATGCGGATCAGTCCTATGTCACCACCTGATTCCAGAAGGTATGGAACATTTGCCTTGTGACACTGAGACGGAAGAACAGTCTCACACTGGTAACAAGTTCATTAAATTGCCTTTGTGCCAGGAAATCCCATCTTCCCTATCCCACGTCACAGAGAAGGTGTTTGTAACAGAGGCAATAGCGGTAGAGCGCCAGCGCCGTACCTGACAGCAGATTGGCAGCAACATATGGAATAGGCTGAGAAGCAAGACCCCGAGGGCTCTGCGGTTTCATGCCAGCACTCACCGGAATTAAGGAGATAACCTCACAGTTTGCTCTGTCATTGCCCCAGACAACCAATTTGTTATGTGTTCCTGCTATCAGTCAGGGCCATCGCAAACGGAGTAGTTGTACTTTGGTGTTGTATTCATTTTTTTGCTAGGCCAATCCCCACAGACAATAAGTCTTTTTACAGGATTCCCGAGGTATTAAGTGCGTGAAAAAAGTCAAATGAAGAAACCCAGGCTGCATGCTACGTCAGTATGTGTTGCAAAAGGGGCTGCATAGAGCGTTATAACCTTCTACGCAGCTTCTGCCGCCAGGTTGCCTCCTTCGTCATATCATGATGAAGGAGGCCCGGTGGCTCTCCGATGGAAGAGAACTCCACTACAGTCGTCCCTCTCTAATCCGGCACTTTATAATCCAGCACCCTCGATAAACCAGCACAATTTTCAGTAGCCAAAATGTCCTCTTCATGCACATTGCAGCAGTATATCAGATTTGTTAATCCAGCACCCTCCCTAATCCAGCAGATTTTCGTGGCACAAATGGTGCCGGGTTATATAGGGACCACTGTATCAGGGACCAGGCATTGCAAAGAGAAACCATGCTGTGAAGCAGTATTAGGTAGAGCTCGCACCTTCGCTCGAGGCCAGCGATGATGCTCTGACCACTGAGCTATGGTGTAGCTGTCATACCAGCAGAGACCGTTCAACATTTTCTTCAGACTTTGAAACTCACACTTCCTGTGACCCTACACAGGCGGGTCGGACGCAGCCCTCACTGTTCCCACACACTTCACGCACAAACTAGTACACGGGCAGTCCTAATGTATCAAATATTCATAAGTTGACGGTATGGAAAAGGGAACCAGGACCCAGGTTTGCAATCTACCGTCCCATACCAACTGGCAGGGGCGGATCCAGGCCTGCAACCTGAGAAATGTCGAAAATACAACAGCAAACTTTCTATGGACAGGCACACTTATCATAGTTACACCATGATACCTAATTTCAGAAACCCCTGTGGGTGCGAGAGCGCCTGTGGGTAATCCCCTGGGTCTGGCGTCGATTTGATTAGGTCGAAGGGTTATATTCTTCATGCGTAATGTGGAAGTACTGCAATGACTTCCATACGGTGTCTGATCAATCATTGGAGCTCACCTTCCATCGGTTGTATTCAGCCTGTACATCAGCAATGTGATCAAGCGAGGAGCCAATGAGTTGTTTTAGGGTGTCTTGGGTCAATGACTCAATCTGCAGCTTGACTAAGAGCAACAGGATAATCAAGATAGAACAGTGTGTCAGACAAAACCTACACACACGAACACACAAGCAAAATCGTACCCGCATGCAAGAACATGCTCATAATTATACTCCTGCCCATCGCTGACGCGATGATAGCGAACAGGCTATGTTTAGATATAGCAACTTGCCTCCTGCGTAACATACGCCGCTAGCCCTGAAACCCATACAGCCCCCACATTGACTGACATCCTTCCTCAGAGTGCTACAAGACTAGGGCTGAAACAATTATACCGCTAACTCGCATAACGATCGTTGAGAGTGCAATCGATAATCGTTAATGTTCAAAACGAGTGCTAACGATGAGGTTTGCGGATGTACACGAGTATCGATAAATATACTGGCAGGACAATACCTTTAAACTACTATTCAAGGACGCATAGTACCCTACAACACAAGTTGTGTGGCTCTGAAGATTCAAAGATGAATCGGAGGGATAGCGGAGGGATAGCTAAGCGAACATGAACGATACAAAGTCGAACACCTCACAGTCCTGTTCTTGGACTATGAGAATTCAAATGAAAAATAAACATCTGTAACAAAATAAAATAACATTTTCACACGACGATAGTTTCGACACGTTTACTTAAGGTTATCTTCCATTGTCTGGCTGTTTTTGTCCATGGACGCAGCAACGTTATCAACTCAATCCCTCTTTGAACTCGTCCTACATTAGTGCTGCGAAAACCTTCTACATCTCCATTTCCGGACTAAGCCTGGACTCAAACCATCTCTGGGACATCTACTGGCTTGCTACCAGTGATTTGTGTGGCGAACGTCTTGTATCAAGTCCATATCGACGGCATAACCTCCCACACAGACCTCGATTGCTTGCCCAACTATCGAACTTAGCATTAACGCTACATGAAACGTCGCATCTCGCCCTTCAGTGGAGCAGGGCGGGGTTATTGGTCCACCGTCAGGAGCTCACCGCAGAAGAAGTTAGCGCCTGGCTACCGACTCAAGGAAGTCTGTTCTCGGTGGAACACTAGAAAATGTGACGAAATTGCTCCACAAACGTTTCGACTCGCATGAACAGTACCAGCAAGCTCTTTTAGATGGGCTGGAGCAAGATGTTCCAAAGCTGCTCCCTCTCTTGCACGTTGCCTACCGCTACAGGCGACTTATCGAGTTTGCACACTGCTTTCATAGCACTGTAGCCAGAGATCTATCATTGTTCTCATTGATGGTACGGGATACGAGCAGCAGAACTTCTCATCCGTACCCATTGTGTACGTGGACCCATCACCAGGACCTCCATTGGAAAAGTGTGTATGAATTCAGGTCTACTCCAGAGGATGACAAACATGTCCGCAGGACCAGAGGCCGGATTGACGTGACCATTCAACTTTTAGATCATTCCGTTATGAGTCTCCTGATACCGGGAAAGCTTCGGACCTCCCAGATGACGATTACTTTGAAGCTGTCACTGAGTATAACAAAATCTGGAAGGAGTTGTCGCAGTCCACTCGCCCCAGTCTTGAAGGTATACACCATAAGTTGGGAACGTTTCTCCTGTCATCAACATCACCGACTCCAGGAAGGAATTTACGAAAGAGGAATTGGTGAACGCCATGATAATTTTTGGCAAGAATCTTGTTGACGAAGCAACTAGCAAATCCACCAACTAACAATGGAGAGTAGAGCCGCAGCACGTCGCCTACAGGAACTGTGTGATTGAAAGAGACTGTGTTGTTCTGTGTAAGGGCCATGATATCAATACGTCAGTAGAGTTGGATGCCGATGGTTTGACAAATACCTTTTTGATCCCGTCCACGATGATATCAATACATCAGTAGAGTTGGAAGCAGATCAAACACCTTGTCAATTCTGTCAAAGATGATATCAATACGTAAGTAGAGTTGGATGAAGATGCTTCGACAAACACTTTGTCGATCCCGTCCACGATCATGCTATCTGGCTATGGGCACCGTGGTCTGCTGAAAAGCTATGCGCTGATCGATTTTAACACAGCCGACGTTGGGCAGTGTAGCGGGACCATGAAAAATATCACGCATAAGTGATAAGTAAAATACGGAATGCGTGCGGCAAGGCTAACATCTTTAAAGCCTAACATTTGTGCCATCACTCGCAGTGCTTTGCAACCACCAGTTCCCGACTGTCCTGGGAAATTGAGCTGATCTTTTCCACCTCACTTTCCTGGCCCTACTGGAAAACGTCATACAGTCATCGTCTCCCATTTTCTCTGGTATGGTTGTTGTTGTTGTTGTTGATTTTTATTTTGCTTCGCAAGGCCAAACGGGCAAAGGTGCCCAATTCTATGGAAGCGAATTTCAAAAGGGAGAGAGCTACGGGGGGAGAGAGAGAGAGAAGAGAGAGAGAGAGAGAGAGAGAGAGAGAGAGAGAGAGAGAGAGAGAGAGAGAGAGAGAGAGAGAGAGAGAGAGAGAGAGAGAGAGAGAGAGAGAGAGAGGGGGGAGGGGGGAGGGAGGGAGGGAGATGATAAGCAATTTTGTAGCGTCAACAGAGCGATTTTGCAGTGTCAATAGAGCGATTTTGAAGCGTCAACAGAGGGAACACAAAGAGTTCATAAGCGCACAAGCACGCAGAGAAGAGTAAATGACGTGGTGTGTGGACGGGAAAAGTCAGACAGAGCATTCATTGCAAGGTGTAGGGAATGGAGGCAAGCTTAAATTGCTGGGCAGCCTTGATCTCCCTTACACTCCTTGGGAGAGCGTTCCAGGCCAAGGCTGCCTGAAAGGCCAGGCGAGATCTGCCGGCTTCTGACTGTGCCGAGGGGACAGTGAGGCCCCTGGAAACCTGGTGCCGGGTGGTGCTGCCAGCTGATGGTGAGAATAGGTCCTGGAGGACACTGCTGGCTTTCCCATTGACACAGCGCCACACCAGGACGAGCCGCTTCTGGGCGTAGCACTCCCGAACTCTGTACAGGGACATCCGTTCGAGCAGAGGCTGAGCCGAGGTGTGAGGCGGCAAACCGTATACCGCTCTCGCCGCTCGGTTAGTAAAATTTAGTGAGTTATTCAAATGCTAATGCAACATAGCCCATGAGCATATCGTGGCTCCAGAGGACGATTGATGTAGGATTTCCTAAAGCAGGAAATATGTGCACATATGCACATGCTCATTCGCATGATGTGCACACTCATGCAAGTGACGTATTGATGCCTGGTATGGTATCAATACGTCACTCGTGTGAATGTGCACTTAGTGTAGCTCACGCAGCAGGGTGGCTGCTACACGGAGACTTATCTGCACCGCGACTGCAGTTGATCAGTAGTACCAGCTGCAATTCAACTCTGCTATACCTACACTGTGTACATATAAATATGTACTGTACTCGCCAAAGCAATCCAACCTTAAGAGTGAAATAGCATTGCTGGGCGCTACGCAGCCCTGGCACTCCACATTATTGGTGTGTGCACTCGAACGCGGCGTTTCTCTATTCAAGAGGTTGGATTTCTCCAGCACTGTATATCGACAAGGCTGCTGTTAGTCCTGCTGTGAAAACGCCTTGAAACTCTAAACCTGCTTTAGGAAATCCAACATTCTTCCTCCTCTGGAGCGTTCGCCTGCATTGTTGTATTACCAGTAGTATCAGTACTACTCCCCTTTCCCGCCCCTGTCCCTTCTTCCTGCCCCTCCCCTCCCCTTCCCCCTCTTTTTATCCCTCTTCCTGCCCTCTCCCTCTTCCTTCATCTCCCCGGAAATGGTGGGAGTTCTTACCTTTGTCTTCGGGTGAGATGGAGGCAAGCATCATGCTGAGGATACGGTACATTGACCGATCCTTCGACGACCGGAACACATGAGCCTGCACGAACAACATACCAAAACAATGAACCAGTCAAATAAGAAGCAACAGTGTCCGTGATACCGAACCAAAGCACCAACAGGGCTCTTTCGCACTATCAGTCGAGAACGAGTGAACTGCTCATTCATAATCTGGATTCGATGCTTCGTGCAAGCTCTACAGAAAGGCTCACCGATACTCGTGCACGTCAGTTCATTCGATACTGTCCCTTCAGGTATTGCTGTCACGTCAGCACATTCATAATCTAGAGCTTACACAAGAGAGATTGGAAGCTGTGTCGCAACTATTTCACGTATTACTACGATCATAAGGCAACATTTAATCTAGAGCTTACCTGATCTGCGAAGTAAGCGTGGACTCTGCTTCTCACTATCACACCTGCCGTCAGCTGCAACTCCGTGACGAGTCCCTGAGCAGAAATTGAGGAAAGCAAGACAGAGATGGAGTGAGCAATGCCCCAAATGCGCACGGGGGAAAATCCCTCTTCTTGACTCTGCCATCGTCATGGGCAACGTATTGTGAACATTATCGCAAACTAGGGGCTTGAGAAACTATACAAATGACCTGATTCGAGTACACAGTGCTGCCTTCGATGCACGTATTGAAGATTGTAATGTGACATTTCACCATGTGTACGAGAGAATTCAAAGTTCAGGGCACATGTCGGTTCACGATTACATCATCAGTCAAATACTTTGGACAAACCAAGGCACTGACTGTAATGCACTAGCTCAAGTGAAACAGCCGACAAAGGAGGTAGTGAGTTATCTCCTATAGGAGAATCAGCCGACCAACGCTGTATATTTAAACCCCATAACGAATCCGCTATTCCTTTAGGGATTTGAAAAAAACTGGTCCCCTTGTGCATGTCAAATGAAAGATATCATACCATTATCCTCAGTGACGATTTTTAACCAAAAACGGAGGAAACCTTCAAGAAAATATGCCAAGCATTTTTTTATTCAAACAAAAAACTACTCAGTGACTGGCGCTTGCTTACCACTCTGGAAGAATCCTTGCTTTCACTGGTCTGTGCCGTGATCATGGGCTGCAGGACAGTCACAGCTGCTGCATAGTGCTACAGGCAAGCAACAACATCAAACCAATGGGACGGGCTAGGATCTCAAACATGACACTAGTCACATAAACCGCAATTCGAGCACGAGCAGTACTGGATAGTGGGCATGAACGTATCAGAATTCACCAAATCTTCATTTTGGAATGAAATGATGAGAAGGATTGAGGATAGTCTAATTTCAGAAGTTTTCTGTGCTCAATATTTTCGGTATGAGGGCAAAAGGCCAGGTTAGTGAACAGAAAATTTCGGTACAGAGAAGCAGTTCTCTATTCGAGTACCGTATTTCCCCGTAAGTTAGTACGTACTAACTTCACAGCCACATGAGTACTAACTTTCGGGGGTGGTACTATCTTTCGGGGAGTACTTTTTTATCGGGGGTAAATGACACACAGTGGGAAGCCTGCGCATATGATGTATGTGCTGTACGGTGTCTGTACATGTAGGACGGGTACGAACTTACTATCTTTCGGGGGGAACTGTCTTTCGGGGTGATAACCCTCGGCAGTGGAAAGTATATTTTTCATAGGGGGGGGGGGGGGGGTGCTAAGTCATTGGGGAGATCTAACTTACGGGGAAATACGGTATGTGTGTTAGTGTTTGTTCAATGTATTGAAATCTTAGGTATGAAACAGATGCACTGAAAGTTGCGAAGTATACCGAAATTTTGTGAAAATACAGTACATGGATGCTACACTGTTTAGTGAAGGTCAGGTACGTGGGCGAGCACATAGTCAGGCAGTCAGGCAGTCAGGCAGGCAGTGAGAACTCGGGAAGGAAGGCAGATTAAACACACACACACATGCACACCTCGACAGTACTCACCTTGAAAGGCTCGGCAAGCAGACCATGGCTGGCATTCTCAAAGAGCAGTCGCACAAGAAGCTGCGACGCAAACGTTTTGCCACTGCCACTCTCCCCACTGAGCAACGAAGAGAACCACAATATCAAAACAGAACACTCAGCCATTGTTAACTGGCCAGCTGGATTATGACATTAGCTCCTGGCTCAGAGCACCTCGAGTACGAGACAATCTCATACATCTTACTTCCAATAGCTCCAATAGCTGAAAGGAATTATGGGCAAGAGCAGGGCTATCATTTAATCTTTTTTCCCGAAACGCTCCAATTTTTAAAGTTCTTCCGACAAACCCACCGGAAACAAGAAACATGGATTGTTCATGCTGCTCCCACTAATCCCTTTCAGAGCATTCTTGAGAGGGATTGAACCAAAATGGTAGCAAGAGGTGACCAGTGAAGAAGTTGTATTTCTCGCCGGCCGAGCGCAGCGAGATAGGCGAGAAATGATTTCTCACGAAATATTTTCAGTTGCAAATATGGCATCTGGTGTGTTCTTTGTTGTCGCTTCTTTTGCTGACTTCTTCAGTCAGTTTTGAGTCTCACCAGTGTCCCTGCCCTCCCACCAGTCACATCTGGCTGCGGCCAACTACCCTTCACTTTGTGTGTTGTCGCTATTGCTGTCTATGTCTCTGTGTATGCCAGTATATGTGGAGCGAGAAAGTGTTTGCTCCGAACATCGGAGCTAGCGTTTCCTGCCAACTGACTTCTTGCAGGTTTGGCGAGTGGAAGGTTCGATGGGCTTCTCGTGTGCTCTAGACGCAGTCATGAGTCATTCAAGTGTCCAGTCAGTCGGCAAGAGTTTACCAGATTATTAGTATAAAGAGCCCAGGGTAGAAACCGACATGATTCAGCATTTCAGTCCCCCGCATCGTCTACCCGGGTGCTAAAGACTCCCTGGCAATAGGTTAAAGGAACATAGCATTAGCCGTACCTTAGTAGGACGGAGATGCTGGGAACACCGTCTTGCAGTTGATTGACAATGGTTTGGGTTATCGTACCCAGCTGGTTTGCGGACACCGGTAGCGCACCGTACACAGCTCTGAGGGGCGGCGTTGCAGCGTTGCTCTCACCGCTCGTGCCAGCGTAGCTGTTCAGAACTAGAGTGATGCCGCCAAGCATCGTCTGCAGGGAAAACATAGGCCAGTACAGGAGCACGTGACAAACACGAACCTTCACCAGATAAGACAACTAATCCACAAGCGTCATCAAAAGGAAGTGATGTGCTAAGAGATTTATGTATTTTCCGCAGTGTAAGCGCACTTTGACCGCTCGTAATTTATCTAACAAGACTCGATGCGGCTTTTACTATGGTGATTAAATGAACAGTGAAACCCAGGGTAGATATAATTATGTATTTCATGGCAAAAAATCTGGGTGCGGCTTGTACTCCAGTGCTTGTACTCCACATAATGCGGTAATTTGTTACGAATTGGATTTGCCTCTCGTCCATTGCTGTTTGCCTGCACCGGCACAGCCGTGTCCCTTACCACATTGTGTCCGTGCACTAGTCGGCGACGCAGGTGTCCGAGGATCTCCTTCTCCGACGCAGCACTGTCCAGCTGGACCAGGTCGTAAATCTCGGCCAGAACTTCATCGCTAGCGCCTGCATAAACACATGGTTGACGGAGATACACACATATAAAACAAGAATCCGAAAAAGACAGTAAAAATACACATCACGGATCCTTATGGAGAAAAAAATTACTGATCTAAAATTTATGGTGGTCAACAGATTGTGATGACAGAATCTACCACGTAAAGTAGCTATGAGCGGTATGTGGCTGGGCTCCAAATGACCACATTGCAGAGGTGACGAGAATGATGTGCTGGTAGTGAGTCAGCTGAATCACTTTTGGGTGCTATGTATATAGCGAGAGTCAGCAGAGTCGCTTATGGGCGATATGTCCACACAGTGAGGCAGGGGTTTGGCTTGGGATAGTGCGTTGCCATACGCTGTAACTTTACCTAAACATCTAAATTGGTGCGATACTCGCATAACTTCAGGAGTACGAAAAGGACAATAGAGTTATAAACGCACAGGTGTACGACACACTACTGTATAGAGAGTGTTGAGTATGAATTTGTACTCGAGTATATCGCAAGTAGCTACCCAGGCCAACAGAACGAAAGGTCAGTATGACGTAGTACGAGTGCATGCAGGCCGGCCAGCTTAGGAAAGGTTGTAGGTAAGATTGTACGGGAGGAGGTACCTAACACGAGTTATATTTGGTGTAACTTAAAGCATGCCGTTGGTGTTTCAAGCAATCATTAAATTTCGGTCATTTCGGTAGAGAAACTAGGCACCTACAAGTACTTGAAGTAAATTTAAATTTAGGCAAAATGGCGCCGGAGTATGCACTGTATGTGCAGGGAACGTAGGTCACTTTAAAATTATCCATTTCACCTGAAACCTGGCAGGTGCCGGACACTGAAATGTTACTCCACCTAAAATTACATGTTATACAGTATTGCATCATGAAAACTGCACCTTGCGTTGAGCCGTCGTTGTCCTGCCGCTGAGTCACCAGCTGACCCGACAGAGAAGCTAGCTGCTGGTTGGCACGGCGAAGGCTGCTGAGCAACGAACTGCCACTCAGACGGGATTCGTCTCCTGCAAAACCCCACAACAGATCGGAAAAAGTACCAATAAAACAAAGTCGAATCTTCGGCAGCAGAACCTTAATTTTTGAAACCTGGGGTCATTCCGTGTGTTGTGCCATCCACATTATCAAAAATGAATGACTAGCCAATAGTACATGACGTAGTGTCACTCTGACGTTGCACGGGCATTCCAAGGCATGTAGGACTATACACAGGTGATGTGTGTAGCCTGTGTTAAGCCTTGTCTAAGGATATAAATTATTTGTAAGCCTTATGACTTCTCAATATAACAGACAAACTTCTATTGGGCGCTTTCGATTAGGGGCCATCCGTAAATATAGATATTTATTTTGAAACGAAAACTAGTCGTTTAGGGGAGGGGGTTTAGCACCTGTTCGTTTCTCAAAAAATATCGATGTACATTTGGTATGCGTGAGCATGTCCAGAAAAAAAGACCAAAAATATCGATACTATGTACCATGTGTATGTGTTCGTTTCTCAGGGGGGGGGGGGGGGGGGGAGGGGGGTTGAAGAGAAACGACTAGTTTTCGTTTCTAAAAAAATATCGGTATTTACGGAAGACCCTTACTGTAATTTCACAAATTTTAGGTGTACTTTTATGCGTGTGGTTCATACCTAAATCTTCAATACACCGAATAAACACTAAACACCCCTAATCCAATATGGAACTACTTCTCTGTGCCTAACATTTCTGTTCATCTAACCTGGCCTTTTGCCCTCACACCGAAAATATTGAGTACCTAAAATTTCTGAAATAATTAGAGTACACATTCTGGACCCAGCTTTTATAATTCTGGAATGAACAGAATGATCGGATTGCGGCCATGGTAAACAAACAGCTACATGTAAAATCGTAAAAGGGGATCACGTGGTATCCCATGCACCCTTGGGCACACGTGGACCTAGCAATCATGACGTGTACACTGAGTGCGTCAGTTCTGGCGGAAGAATCAGCAATTTAGAATTGACGGAATTCAAATCGTTGATTCTGACCAGGACATTAATTTCGTGTAATGGAATGATGCATTCACCATAACTAATAATTATTCTAGAATTGACCAATGATGTAATTGAACCGCCCATTGAGATCTCCAAAGCCTGTGTTGCAGCACTTTCCACAGCCCATTATTAACACATACCAGTTACATGTAGGTAATGTGCTAAGTGGACCCACTAGGCATATGCGCATAATGCTGGCAGAAAAATTGGCAGAATTCGGTACTTTTTCTGGTAAGTTTCATGCATGTTTGGCATGTGGATGAAGAAATGGAGCAGAATTCGAGGAATTGCCCGCCATAAGGTTTGTATGGTTCTGCCAATTTCACTGCTTTTTGGAGCAGAATCTGCCAGTCACCTTTTCAAGCATTATCCGCCCTAGGACCCACAGCACTTCACTGCTAACAGTAATAATAATTGTTTTGTACAACCTCAAACCCATTGCTGTCAGGGTAATAGTAATTACTGTACAGCAATCACATTGCACTTGACGAAACTGAAGTGCTACTTCTGAAATGTCACTACGACTACTAGGTCTGCATCCCCACTTCAACCATACAAATAATTGTGTATCCAACACCAGTATAAATCAGGTCAAAAATTAAAAATAGTGACTGACCATGACTACTAGTGGCGGTAGTGCTACAGAGACAACAACGACAATTTTGAAAGTACAGTCTCGGCCCACTGACTGTAGCCGAACTCTGATGAAGCCTTTGAAATTCAAGGTCCAGTAACATGATTGTTCAGGCTATTTGTGCCGGCAGTAACACAACGGGGTGGTCAATACAGAAATCACAGTACCTGTTGGAGAGCGTCGCAGGCTGCCGGAGAGTTGCTTCAGCGGAGAGACGCAGCGCTGGACGTCCGCCACGCGGCCACGCAGCTCCTTCAGTTCCTTGCCTAGCTGCTCGCGTTGCGTTGCCGTCAGAGCCAGCGAGTCTCGCTCGAACATCTTGGCCTGTGCGGACAAGTCGTGCTTCAGGCGCTGCACGTCGCGATTCAGAGCGCCGCTGACCTTTCGCTCCTCCTGAAGATGACTGCGGTGCTCCTGTAGAGAGCCTTCCATGGAGCGCACGGTGCGGATGTGATTCTGCCGCTCATCTTCTAGCTGTCGCTCGCTCTTGCCAAGGCGCTCCTGGAGATCTTGGTTAATGCGCAGCAAGCGGATTGTTTCCCCGCTGCCACCGTAGACCGATTTGGAGCGAGCAAGGCGAGGTGCGTCTATGCTTTCGCCGTGCCAGTCGGGTGCCGGAGGTCGCGGGCCGATAGGAGGCTGCTGCTGCTTGTGCTGTGCATTCTGTTGCGCACTCTTGCTTGCCCATTGCATTGGAACCGTGCCGACCTCGCGACTCAGGGATGAAGTCTTTGAACTGATAGCGGCCTTGACCGCCTGCTGCTGCTGCTGGTGCTGCGTCTTTTGCTGTTGCTGCGCATTTTGCTGCTGCAGAGAGGATAGCGTTTGGTTTGCCTGCGATTGTGGCGGACTCCTGGTTCTTGTGCTGCTACTTGTAGGGAGCGATGGTCGTGTGAAGGGATGCGCTTGCTGCTGCGACGGAGCCTGTGCCTGTGGTATTGTGGGTAGATTTGGCGCTTGCAGCAAGGGCCCAGGGTGTGAAGGATGCGACGTTGTCGAGGCTGGTGCACCTGCAGCTGCTGCAGATTGAGTCTGTGGTGCTTGTGGCAGAGGCACGCTTCGCCGTCGCCATGCAGGCTGAGGGGGTCCGGCACTGAACTGTTTCTGCTGGTGAAGAGAATCGCCCATACTGCTTCAGGAGAGTTGCGTACCTCTCAGTCTGCCCTTGGTGTTCTCCAAACCGACATACACGACGCGTGTGCCACAACAATTATTACCCGGCTATGCACTACTAGTGGAGAGTTTCATCTTTTACCTCTCTATAAAACCACAATTGCAATAGTTTCCACCCGCGGACGGTGTTACTGGAAAAGAAAAGATTCTTCTTCCGACCGGAAAGAAGGACTGGTGCAGTAGTAAATCGGTACTAGTAGTAGGGAGGCGAATCTAATTCGGCCTTCCTAACTTCGGAAGAAGTTTCTCTTCTACATACCACTGGTACATGACTAGCCGGGACTCTGTGCAGAAGTGGTTGCCGAAGGAAAACTAACTTTTTAATACATGTAGTTGTTTGGTGTGCGTGTGCCAGTCGACAACAGCAAAGACACGGCTAGAGATAGCCGTACTGCACGTCCTGTAATGTGTTGTCTGTGGTGTTGGCCCGGATAAGTCCGCAATCCATCGAGCTCAAATTTCCAATCCTGGGAAAGACGACACCTGTCGGACGAGCGGCTGCGAAATGTAGGCAGGATTCCTTCACGGTCATGCTGATGAGCCTTTGAGTTTGAGTCTGCAGATCTGATAGCTGAGGCAGATGCAGAGTCGTATCACTATCAGTCGTAAATCTACGGATCGTAGAGTGCAGACTGCAGTTCATTCTACATAACATAAGCATGATAAGGTCCATTGTAGTAGAATGTACAGCTACACAAGCACATACGTATATACATGTACAGTAATCATTATCATTCACAGCGCTGACCTACATGTATACACTATACTATTTTATAATACATGTACTAGTATTAATTTTTTTTGTTAAGAGGTCGGAGGCGGATAATACTTTAAAACGAAGGTAAGTTATGGGTCGCAAGTATCCACGCAAACACACATCCAGTCACAATAAGGCACTTGTCATAAGTATTCGAACGTTTTCGGTCCCTTCTCAGCAGGGATTATACAGGGAATGGCTCAAGTTGGAAAAACTAAAACTTATATAGCGTAAAGATAATTAGATAACAACACTCGTGACAAGGTGGAAAATTATCAAGTTCAGCACGACACAAAACTCGAAGGAAAATAATAATAGTGACAACAACATAGTGAGCAAATTAAGTTACATTGTTAACACCGCGACGAGGAGTAACACCAAACAATTGTAGCGACAACACATTTTCTTTCTGTACGCAAAGTTCAGGATCTAACTTACGGATATACAAAGCTTCTAACACAGCCAAATGCAACGCAAATCTACCACGTGACAATATTGAGAAAACATTATCACTGTACAACTCACGACAATTGGTACGGGCTGACACATGTTGCTTGATTGACGAAGTGCGATTCTTAGCTCCGTTGGGTGTTGTCTCCTCCAATGTCCCGCATTTTACCTAAGCGAATTCTGTGGATCCAAATGCAAAGCTGCTGTTTGGGATTATCTTGCAGTGGGTGAGTATTTCTGATACAATAGAGCTCAATGTGAAGAAGAGGTTGGTGTGACGTCGTCGATATTTGGGGAATTGTGTGTTGCTCCCTATGTGGGAGTTTGCGCTATTCCTGCCGACTTGAAAACTTCTCACTTGACTTGCTCACGACTGCCATCGCATGCTCTGGCACACGAGAAGTCCATCAAACCTTCCACTGGGCAAACCTGCAAGAAAGCACCACGCCCTGCTCAACCCACCGTGTTTCGGGGAATTCACCCCTCATCAGTTGAGCTTGATATGAGTAGATTGTGCCTGAAGAGCACCATTTAGATGTATAATATAGTGCTGTCCAGGCACAAACGTCACCAGGGATACAAACTTACAGAGAGGCTCCGTTTCCAGCGCGACAACCACCTCGTGAACACCAGATAGCAGCGCGAGTCAGTGTCGCTCATGGAGGACCTCAGGTGCTGAAAGGGGAAGTAAAGGCAAAAATTAAAATTTCACCAGTTGTAGTCTTCGGGGTGCTGAGTCGAATGGTCGTGGTCCGAGGAAGCTGAGACGCTCCCTTCCTACTTGAATCCCAATCGAACTCGCGCACTTCCACCGAAACTGGGTGACTGCGCCCTACTAGATGGGGATTTGTATGCAAAATGTCACTAAAAGCGCCATTTCGTTCTTACAAAAGCATGGATGACCGCGATTGGCCCATATGTTGTAGTCTTTTGGGCGCTGAGTCGATTGGTTTTGGTCCGAAAAGGCTGCGATGCAGCGTTCCTCCTTTATTCCCAATCGAACATGGTTGAACAAGCGGTCACGTGCTCCTGCGTACGCCAGTCACCTGGTCACCGTGCCTGCAGGGTACAACTTACTAGCCTGTTTGACCTTTTTTGGGTGCAGTCCTGTCACTCGAGTTGAACCTTGGTGACCAGTTGATTTGGGCACCCAGGAGCACGTGACCGCTTGTTCAAGCATGTTCGATTGGGAATAAAGGAGGAACGCTGCATCGCCGTCTTTTCGGACCAAAACCAATCGACTCAGCGTCCAAAAGACTACAACATAATGGGCCAATCGCGGTCATCCATGCTTTTATAAGAACGAAATGGCGCTTTTAGTGACATTTTGAATACAAATCCCCGTCTAGTAGGGCGCAGTCACCCAGTTTCGGTGGAAGTGCGCGAGTTCGATTGGGATTCAAGTAGGAAGGGAGCGTCTCAGCTTCCTCGGACCAAGACCATTCGACTCAGCACCCCGAAGACTACAACTGGTGAAATTTTAATTTTTGCCTTAACTTCCCCTTGAACAAACGCTGAGGACCGTTGGCCATTCACAATGTTGTTGCCTCCAAATCATCTACTTGTAATTCGCAAGCCCGCACCGGGGACAACACTGTGAAGAAGAGGTTGGTGCGACTTCGGCGATACTTGGGCAATCGTGTGTTGCTCCCTACGTGGGAGCTTGCGCTATTAGCGCGGAGCTTTATTGAATCGATTACTAGTTCATGTGTGCGAAGAAGGCAGCAAGAGGCATCGGACAAGCGGAGTGCTGAAGCCAGAACGGGGGGGGGGGAGGAGGAGGAGTCCTGATGATGGGATCATGCCGATGTGGAGAGTAGTGGTGATGAGGACGGCAGGGACGATGAGGAAGGGGATGAGAAGAATATCTCGGCGATGTGAACAGTAGTAATAGGTTTACTACTATTAAAGGGGCACTCCGGCTTCATTTTCGACGCCGAGTTTTCGATGCCATGACGAAGGTAGGTGAAAGAGACGACCCATCGAACAAGAACGAGTCTCCAGAAGCGATCGAGTCGAGCAGGAAGACGACTTTTGAATTTCGCCGAGCGAGCGCTGATGACCTAATGAGGGATTAGCTTGCCAGTGGAAATGCATCTGCGCACATACATTTCACATACTTTTTGGCCAATTTTCAATTGAAGAGGAGGTTGTTTTCTATGTTCTCTCAACGTCGTGAGCGATCCCGTCTTCTATACCCTTCCAGGTACCCTCAAGGTCCTCCAGAGGAGAATTTATCTCCAGCGAAGCGTTGTTGATCCGCTAAATTCGTCTCGAGACATATTCACCCAGTGCAGTGCTGATAACTGTAGAATGTTGAATCTGTGATAATTTGTTGACAATGGATAGAGAGGCTGATAGCCGCTGTCACAGGGAGAGTGAAGCTGCTGGAAGTAACAACGGGGAGCCCGTTTGTATCACCTGAACAACCAGACTTCAAAGCAGCTTGACCAAATCGGAGGGTGCCTCGTTGCTTATCGTGAATATTACACCGACATGAATTACTACAAGTACACTGGTGAGTTTTTATCTTGTTTTGTCCGTATGCTAGTACCCTGGCCTGGAGTTCTCGTTAGCAAATTCCTATTCCCTGGCGTTTTCTAAACATTCCGTGTAGTACTGAATATGTGATCAAGTATACCGGTTTGGGTAGATGTGGAATTTGGACATGTATTTTAAAAAATAATTCTTTTTTTCCCAATAGAGCGTTTGTAGTGAAACGGTTGCCCAAATACAACGAAATTGATTCTGCAGTTCTACAACTTGTACTGAAATCCAGTCAAAGTAAAAATGATTCTTCATGACAGTTGGGGTCAGTGAAATCTGATCCAGGCATGACGAATAGTGATGCCTGCCACCCCGAGAACGAATGCCCATTTGGTGGGGGATACCTAAGTACTCGAAAGTGGTGCGTGTTTCAATGTGGCATGGAAGTTTTATAATATGATCCCTGGTTAATGCAACATACGATAGCCATCATGACTTGCAGGCCTCGAACGCAACTCAGACCAGAATTGGCAGTTCCCTAAGTTTATAATTCCATGGCCCCAGCTGTGGTTATAGAAGTTTGTTTGCACATTATTCTTATAGTCGATAGGTTTATACTGATGGCCACAAACAACGGCAGTTCAAACTTAACTGACGTGTTCATGAGCTGAGAGATTTCTCTCCACTATTTCTGTTGTGCATACAGGTCTGTCCAATATGCATTGACCGTATTGGGTATGGTATCTGCTCTGAGAAGGGAATCGCTGGAGCCACAGTCCAATTATACAGGCTTTCAAGAAACAGAGAGGATCCGTCTTTCCAAGCTGATACCTGATGTGTACTGACAGAATTCTCACGAGATACCTTACGGACTACGTGTAGTGTGTACTTCATAGTACTCCTTCGACTGCTATCTAGAATCAAGTCGACTGGAACAAGTTCAAACAACTCTGGCTTCAAACGAGCCGTCGATTAGACAAACAAAACATTCTCTCATATACTGGAGCACTCGGACAACTCACGACCTATTCCTAACGATTTCCACCGCTTATAAATATGTAGAGTGCTGATTGGAATGTGCTCACAATCTCAACAATTCAGTGCTATAATTATTTGAACAATGTGTTAGAAATTATTCCACTTTTCCTTCCATAAATGTTGTATCCACATAATAATCCACAGTGCTCCAAAGTTTCAGAGTTCTCAGGGTATCAAACAAAATTATTTCAAATACAGTGAAATTGTTCGTGGACATTATTATTATTATTATTATTTTGCTTGTTCGCGTTGGCATCAACCTGCATAAAGCAGGTATATAGCCTTCGCTTAAGCTGCCATAAAAAAGAAAGCTCATCCTAAGCGAGAGGGCTAGAGGGAAATATAACGATAACGAGATACAGAATACAAAGAAATCCAATGAGTTCAACGTACAATTCAAAACAAGAAAGAAAGGGAAGAAAAACAGAGCCGAATCTACCGATTGATCCATCAATCGACAAAGGGGACTAATCCGTTAGTGTTGCAAAGTAGAAGCTGATTATAGTTGCAGATCTCCAGGCCAGGGCCAGCATATTGCCGATTCTGGATAGGTCTCCGCAGCA